GAAACGACGCATCATGGGCCACATCTCCGTCGCGCTCGTATCCGCCATCGGGGACCGCATCGCTGGCGCGCCCATCTCGTACGCGCTCAGAACCTCACGTGACTCTGAAAACTTCCACGCGGGCGCGGCAGCGCAAATCCTTTTTATGGAGCCCGACACTGCTGGCGATTTCCACATCGCCCCGGCTTCGTGCGCTCGTGAGGCTCACATGGGTTCCATGAATCCCGTCGTGGGGTTGCTTACTACGTGAGAGGATTGTTCGTAGTGCGGTCTGCTCGCTTCTAGATCACATGTTTTACCCGGATGGGTTAGAGCTCAGTCTTTTTGTAATCAGACCTACACAGTGTACTGTACAATATCGCGCCCCAATATCGCGCCCCCGCGCGGTTCGACGTTCGGCTCTTCGGCATCACGGCAGCGCCAGTCGTCGCCGCGCCGCGCGGGTCTCGCGTCGCGTCGCGATGTCGTCGACGCGTCGCTCCCCGCGCGTCGGCGACGCCGCCGCCGCGCGCGCGTCGTCGCGTCCGTCCACGTCCGGGCCGTCCACGCCGCCGGACGTCGCGCTCGTCGTCCCGTGCCACGACGAGGCGAAGCGATTGGACGTCGACGCGTTCGTCGCCTTCGCGCGCGCGTCCACCAGGGAGTCACCCTGCGTCGTCGTGTTCGTGGACGACGGCAGCGGCGACGACACGCTCGCCGTCTTGCGCGAGATTCGCGATCGCGCGCCCGCGGGCGCGGTCGAGATCCTCGCGGACCGCGCGAACGTCGGGAAGGCGGAGGCGGTGCGACGCGGGTTGCGATTCGCGATCGAACGACTCCGCGCGTCGCACGTCGCGTTCTGGGACGCGGACCTCGCGACGCCGCTGGATCACGTGCGGTTATTCCGCGACGTGTTCGAGACGCGCCCGGAGATCGACATCGTCTTCGGCGCGCGCGTCGGCCTTCTCGGACGCGACATCTCGCGAAGCATGACGCGGCACTACATGGGACGCGTCTTCGCGACGCTCGCGTCGTGGACGCTGAGGTGCGTTCTATACACTGGTCCCCATACGACGGCGTTCGCGTGGTGAACGCCGATCCTTGAGGACTTTTGCCGGCGCATCTCTACGCCCACCCCTCGCTTTCAATCCCGACACACCTCGATGACTTTCAACTCCGTCTGACGCCTTTGAACTCCACCCCGACGTTCGCTCGTATGGAACGACCCCGAGCCTGAGCGTCTACGACACGCAGTGCGGCGCGAAGATGTTCAAAGTAGTAGGGGGGGGGACGTCAGAGCTCGCCGTCGTGCTCTCCGAGCCGTTCCGAACGCGGTGGGTCTTCGACGTCGAGATGCTCGCGCGGTTCCACGCGCTCGCCGTCGCCGACGGGTCCGCGCCCGTGCGCGAGCGCGTGTACGAGTTCCCGCTGTTGCGGTGGAAGGACGTCGGCGGGTCGAAGGTGAAGGCGAGCGACGTCGTGAAGATGGCGTGGGGGTTGCTGGGGATTCGGCGCCGGTACTTCTGGTCGCGCGAGCCGTGGCCGCCGCCGCGACGTGACGACGATAGCTCTTAGCGCACGCCGTCCCTAGGTAGTTGTTCTACGAAGGTCGTTGTTCTGCCGAAGGTACACACTGTGTTAATTCGCGGCTTAAGGGCATAGGCACTGTACTTTATACACATGATGAAACTGAATAAAACAAAAAGGTTGACGTCGGACGTCTACTCTATGTACAATATATATTTGATGCGAACACGCGTTCATCACGCCCACGACCCGGACGCGCCGTAGTCGTTCGCCGCGGCGACAAACGCGGTTTTTTCATCCGCGCCGCCGCCGCCGCGTCTTCCGCCCGCGTGCCCGCGCCTCGTACGCGTCACTACGAAGAGCGCAGCCGCGGCGACGACGGTCGCGACTACCGCCGCGACTACCGCCGGAAGCGTCGCGGCGTCGTGCTCGGGCGCCGCGAGGCGACCGCCGAGCGACGCGGTCGTCGCCGTCGGCGGTCCGTTGAGCAGACGCTTGAAGTACGCGATCCCGCGGGCGAAATTGGCTCGCGCGGCTTGGTTGCCGGCCGCGGCGGCCGATTTCGCCTTTTTAATCAACCCCCCGATGCGTCCTCTGAGCGCCTTCACGTGCCCGTCGCTCCAGGAGATGACGGAATCGGTTTTGTAATTCGCGGAGACGACGAGCGTCCCGCGCTTTTTCATGATCACGTTCACCGCCCGCATCGTACGCGGTCCCGCGGCCATCTGCGAAAACCTCTTCACGCCTCTCGGGTCCTTCCCGACGAACCCGGTGAATCTCAGCACGAGCGTCGCGGACGTGCCGTCCGCGCTCTTCTCCGCGGAGACGCGCGACGGCGCGAGCGAATGGAATTTGATCCCGCGGCTCAGGCGCGACTTCACGACGTTTTCGACGAAATTCAGTTGCGCCTCCGCCTTCGCCGCGGACATGCCCGTGATCGCGTACGTCGCCGTGACGGTCGTCGACGTCACCGCGTCCGCCGGAGTCGAAGGCACGGGAAGAGGAGAAACCGGACCCGGTGACACAGGATGCTCCGATGACACCGCAGTAGAAGCCGATGAGACCGGTGATGAAGGCGCCTCGGGCGCCGCGGGCGCGGGCGTCGACCCTCGCACGTTTTCACCCTCGCTCTTCGCCGTCGTCGCCGTCGTCGTCGTCGTCTCCTTCGTCGTCTCTTTCGTCGTTTCCCCCCACTCCTCCGCGTTCCACGGCCCCGCGACCGCGAGCGTCACCGCGCCGAGCTTCGAGCATTCGCACGCGTACGCGTCGCCGCCGAGAGACGTGATCTCGCAGCCGGCGTCGTCGCGTGTCCTCCACGCGACGTCCTTCTCCGCGAGCGACCCGGCGCCATCCGCGGAGACGGTATTGAGCGTCGCGCAGTAGAGACGCTTCGCGTGCGTCGCCGGGACTTTACTCGCGTGCGTCGCGCCGTCGCGCGTCACCGCGCCGAGACGCGACGTGAGCGTCACGCGGACGCGGAGGCTGTCGAGCGCGTCGATTTGCCCGTAGAACTCGTCCACGACGGCGAACGACGCGACGACGTCGCTCGCGATGATCGGCAGCCCGCACGAGTCCGAGTCGCGGTCCGAGTCGTCGGCGCACGACGAAAACGCGGTCGACGGTATCGCGCCCGCGCTAAACGTCGCGCATCGATCGGACTTGATCTTCGTCACCGTCTCGTGCGTCTCTCCGCTCGCGTGAATCGCGCCGACGACGCTGAGGGTCGTTCCATACAAAGCGATGTCGGGGTAGAGTTCAAAGGCGTCAGTTGAAGTCGAATGGTGTCGAGGGCGGGAATCGAAAGCGAGGGGTGGGCGGAGAGAGACGACGGCAAAATCCTTAAGGAACGGCGTTCACCACGCGGACGGGGTCGTATGGGGACCAGTGTAACTAGAACGCGCCTGAATTTCGGAACCTCCGCTGGCCACGGGTTCGCCGCGTCGTTCATCGCGGCGTGAAACCCCGCGGGGGTTCCCGAGTACGTCGCGCGCGTGTACAGCCGCGCGCGCGGTTCGGCGTCTGTTTCGATTGCGCGAACGGTGACGGGTGCGTTGCACGTCTCCTCGCGCGCGGCAGCCGCGGCGGCGGCGCCGCGCAAAATCCTCGCCGACGCCGCGCCGGACTTTTCATAGCCGCGGAATCTCGCGGCGACGCCGTACGCGTTCGTGAGTCTGGACCACGCGCCGATGTCGTCGCCTCCGGGCATCGTCGCGACCGCGCGCTCGTCGTCCGGCCAGTCGTGCGCGATGCGCGCCATGATCGCGGTGATGTTCGACATCGGCAACGCCTAGGTCGGGGCGAGGTTCAAAGGCGTCGGGCGGAGTCGTGAGGCGTCGCGGGTTTGGATTATCCATAAAACAGAGGGGCGGGCGGAGAGAAACATACGCCGGGAGATGAAGTCCTCGGACGGACTCTTAAGGAACAGCGTTCACCACGCGAGGGATGCGGTCGTATGGGGACCAGTGTGAGATAGAACGGACCTCGGGATGCTCGTCGTTCGGGTCGATCATGCGCTTCGTGGCGACGTACGTCTCAAACAGATCGAGCGCGGCGTCTCGCACCTCGACGGACGGGTTCGACGTCTCGCTCGTGATGCGGACGATGGCGTCGGTCGCTTTCTTGAGCTCCGCGCCGAAATCACTCTCCGAGAGGAGCTTTCTTCGCGTTATCGATGAAGAGACGCCGCCACCAGAGGAGGACAAAGAGAGGCCTAACTTTGCGTACTTTTCCTTGTCCACCTGCTGCAGCCGTCGAAGCGCCGCGGGGAAGACGCGAACGTACTCGCGATGGTCGCCTTGGACGAATACCTTATCGATCACCGCGTGGACGTCCGCCGCGGCCGCGACCGGGACGATCGTCTCCGAGTACCCGAACGCGCCGTCGTCGTCAAACGCGACGCAACGTATTTTCGTACCGCCTCCCTTCTCGCCGCTGTGAGGCAACAGGACATCCTCGAAGAGGGCGTCTCCGTACTGCAAGTCGCTCAGCCACGCCCATCGCGCGTTGTACGCGTCAAAGTTGTACCAGAACCCGAGTCTGTAGTCCAGGCTCTCGTCCGTGTCGATCCACTGCCCGCAGTCGACGGTGAACTTCGTCTGGAACTCGACGCCGCCCTCGGGTGGCTCGAACGAGACGCCGTCGAGCGCGCGCGGCGGAGCGTTCACGGTGATGAGCCTCTGAGCTTTGCCTTGGCATCCGTTTTTGTCGTTCACGAGGCGGACGTACAACGTGAGGACGTACTCGCGTCCGGGAACCAACGTGTTCTTCGCGAGGGAGAAATACGACTTGTCGAGCCAGTCCGTGGAGATTTCCTTCGACCACTCCGCGGAAGCGGAGATGGGCAGAGTGTCCGCCATCGTCCACCGGAATTGCACGCGTCCACGATTGCTCGAGCCGGATCCGTAAATCCGGAACAAATACTGCGCGTTGACGCGCGAATTCATCGGCTCGATGTTCGCGAAAGGGCACCCCGGTCCCGTGGTGAGTATCCCCATGTCAGGCAAACTCTCCCGAAGCGACTTCCGCGAGTTCAGCGTGAACGTGTAATCCTTGCCAAACTCCATCGCGTTCGGGGGCAGCACCAGCGGACTTCCGTTCGGGAGCGCTTCTCCTTCGAAGGTATCGAGTTCCTCCACCGGCCAAAAAGCAACCTGTCCTCGTGAGTTCGTAGGCGTCGCTTTCGGGGGCGTCGGCGCCTTGCCCATGTCGAGCTCGCACCCGTGTCGATCCGCCTCCATGTTTCGGCAGTTCCAGACGTGATCCGCGATCTCTCGATCCGTGCGCCAGTCCGGGTCGATGCGCGCGTCCGCGAGGGCGACGATTTCATTCTCCTCCGTGACGTCCACCGCGCGTCGGGTCAGCCACTCCGTCCGCGTGAGCGTAGGCTTGAGCCTCGTTTCGTCGAAGACCCCTGGTTCGGGCACGTCGTCGGTCCGAAGCTTTTGCGCGTACTCCGAGTACTCGCCGCCGTTGCCGCCGTACACCACACTGCGTATGACGTTGAATTTGGGTTTTACCTTTTTATAAAACGTCTTCGTCAACAGCCGCTCGCCCTTGTACGAGACGACGAACGTGGCGTTGAACGAGTACACGCGCCCTCCGAAGAGCATATTCTTCGGAACGTTGAACATGAGCCCGGCGTCTTTCGCGAGCTTCGCGAGCTTCGCTTCCTGGGACACCACGTCCGTGTGAAGCCCCGAGGGCGTGGGCCAACCAGTCACGCGGTCCGCCGGCCAATTAGGGTCAATCGCGGCGGTCGCGTTCCACGTCGGTTCAACGGTGGTGAACGCGTTCATCCAAGCGACGCACTCGTCCGGCATCCACCCGTAACTTGAAACACCCGTCGCATAACCTGACAAACTCTTCGCTTCCCCAACCGAACCTACGGATATAATGAATGAAGGTTTGTAGATTTTTTTCATGGCCACGCTGTGAGACGCTTTGTCCCCGTGGTTATCGTCCGGGTCATCCGTGTACACGTGCCCAACCTTGTTGGTGACGACCATGGAGAAGTAAAGTTCCCCATCGCAATTTTGCGGATAAAAAAGCAAGGACTCGGGGATCATGACGTTGGTCCTTGTCGGCGGTCGCGACGCGAGGAAAGCGCGCAAACGAGACGCCTTCACCTCGTCCTCCGGGAATTCGTATTCGCAGCCACTTTGCATGCCGTCGTAAGACCACTTGAACAGCAGCGGTTGCGTCCCGAGCTTACCAGTGCTATAAGTCCCGCGGAGCGGAAGGGTGATGTTGTTTACGCAACCGGGGATAAGATATTTGGTCAGCTCAGGGACAGAAGACAACTTCGCCTTCACCGCGATGGGAAATCCTGGTCGTTTCGTGACCATGATCGACGCCGTGGAGCTGGCGCCTTTATCGCGGAACCGATCGGTGTACACGACTCCGCCACGAATCGCGACCAAGGATCCGTCGGCCAACCCGTCGCTCGCTTCGATGACGGCGTGGTTCTCACCGAGGTTCACGCGCGCGGTTCTCTTGTCGAGAAACACCGCGGTGCACTTCGCGCCGAGAATCGCCGTCGTGTTGGCGTCGAAGAGCGCGGAGCACGGGTACACGCCGCCGAGCGTCAGCCCCGCGGTCTCGCCACGGTCCGTGTCCGTGTCGAATTTCACGTCGATCATCGCCTTGGAGTTCACGAAATGCGCCCACATCAGCATCGAGGGAGGCTCTTTGAAATCCAGCGGGTTGCAGTACTCCAAAGACCCGAGCTGCGCCGGGCCTTTGATGAGCGCGGCGTACGCGTCCGTTTTGAGACAGTCGATGCCTTCGAACTCGACGCACCCGGTACCCCATTTCGCATTCTCGCCCCAGACTTGCAACGCATTCGCGGACGTGTAGAACTGACCCATCTCCTTCGTCGGTTCCGCCTCGATGAGCAGCGCGCTCGTGCACGACCCAAACGTAAACGGATCGTCCGGACAATACCCGCCGCCGACGACACCGGTGACGCGTCCACCGCCGCCAAATTGCATGTAATATTGAGCCGAGAACTTATCTTCCGTCTGCACGTGTCGATATTGCGTCGGGTGCGACCACTTCACGCGTCGAATCAGGTTCGGGTCGTAAATCGCGAAGTACGGTTCGCCGCCGGATGCTTTGGCGAGCGGGTACCCGTTTGTGGTTTGAAAGTCGCGATGCTCCACATCGCCGCCGAAATTTCCGCCGAAGATGATGTTGCCCTTGTCGTCGATGTCCATGCCAGTGACGGAAATGGAGTGCAACCCTCTAGTTCCATCATAACTCCTTATACCGAGGGGGAAATGCACTCGTTCCGCATATTTTTTGTAGCTGAACAAGAACTTGCCGCGGATGACGTGCCCGTCGAAAGGCTCGATGAGCCCGACGTACGCGGCGCTCCCGGCGAAGAACTCTTTCATCTGGGGATGAATCACGTCGCCGTATTTATCTTGTCCGGTGGCCGTGATCACAGGGCGTCTTTGCGCGTAAAGAGCCGCGTTCTTTATCGTCCCCGTGACGTTCCTGCCGTCGTATCGAAAAATATTCGCGGCGATCGGGATGTCAAAAAAAGGCTTGAGCTCACGGCCAGTCACGCTGCCGCCGACGAATAGCCGGCCAGCCTTGTCCACGACGAGGACGTTGACTTGCGTGTGCGCGGATTCGTCGTATCGAATAGCCGAACCGGGAAAGTCCCAGGTGGTCCACGAGCGACGGCCCGTGGACATGTCGAACGCGCGGACGAACGCGACCTCCACGGTCCCGGGATCCGTGTTATTATCTCCCATCCAGTTCTCTTTTTTATACCCGCCGACGAAAACCTTGTCGTGCGCAGGCAAATCACTGACCGCGACGTCTGCGAACGTGCCATGTCCGTCCAAACTCAAATCCACGCGCCGAATCTCAGCGCCGCTCGCGGCGTCCAAAATGTGAAGCTTTTTGGCTTTGAGATCGAGCACGGCGACTTTCAACCCTCTCGGGCCGATGTCAATTTTCACGCGCTTCGCTCCGCCGCACATCGCGTCGCACTCGTCCTCAGCCGTTTTCTTACACGAGTCGCACGAGTTCCAAATCGTGACGTTCGCGTACGCGTTTAGCTTCAAAACGCCCTGCGGGCCGTAGACGACGACGCTGCCCTCGGTGATCGCGCGCGCCATGTCCCCCGCGGCGCCGGCGCCGAGGTACGAGATCGATTTCGGATGACCGCACGACGCGCTCGGATCGCCCTCGACGCACCCGGCGCCCTCGAGGGTGAAAACCTGCGACATGCACTTCGAACCCGCGGTGTCGTTGTATTTACCCTCGAGCGAGATGTTCGATGCGCAACCCTTCGCCTCTGGCGTGACGTCCACCCTGGGGAAGCTGAGATTCGTCCCGAGCACGCCCGGCGGACCAAACTTGCCGGCGAATAAAAAGTCCCCGTTTGGTTTCGAAACCCCCGCGGACGCGAACGTGCTGCTGTTTCTTCGGTTCCCGAGGTACGACGCGAAACCGTACCTGTTATTCATAGACATCAACGGCTTGCACTCGTCCGTGACGAGACGTCGGATTCCCAGCGCGCGCTGCACGTCGTAGAAGCCTAGTTCGCCGTTGACGTACCTGGCCTTATTTGTGCCAAAATCGCACTTCCAAAGCGGGTCCTTCATCGGGTCGTATCCCGCGACGAGCATGCCGTAATACGTGAAACCGCCGTCAGGAGAGAAGACGTTGACCAACTTCGTGCACGCCCACGGCGTCGGCGCGGCGTCTTGCGAGAGAGGCATCCACTCGAGTTGAAGGAAATTTTTGTCGTCGAGCATCCTTCGGTCCGCGTACCCGTAGAATTCTTTCAAGTAGTCGTGGCCGATGTGCGTGATACTCCGGCCGCTGAAGATGAATTCTCGCCCTAATGGAATCCCCGTGGTGGACCAACCCCCCTCTCTCCGCGGCGTTTCCTTGTGCCACGTGAACACGAGGTTTTCAGCGCCCCCGACGATGAGAAAATCTTTGTGGTCGCCGGTTTTCAAGAGCTTCCCTTCGACTGATTTGAAGACGGTGCTCTGGGGTGAGTTCACCTTCGCTTCTTTCGCGACCTCGCGGAATTTCGGCTCGGACGTGTTCGCCTTCATCTCGAAGATGCCGTGAAAGGATGCGTTTTTGAAGTCGTCGCCGCAGAGCCCCTCCATCGCGCACGTCGTCTTCTCGCCTCTCAGAAGCGAGATTGCATATTTTACGATAGTGTGCTCGCCAAATACTTCTCCCAAAAAAATAAATGGTTCAATACTAGTTGATTTGGATTGGATCATGATGTCGCCGTCGGCGTTTACCTTCCACGGACCAGTGTGTTCCAGAGGTATCTTCGTCCACCGTCCTTGAGGAATCGGAACGTGATTGACGAATAAATTTGGGTCGTTGCAGTCTGGCTGGCAACGTTTCTTCCAAGCGTCCGGATGCGGCGGCGCAAATTTCGCTCGTTCCGCCAACCTCTCCGCGAGCGCGTCGTCGATCAACACGTCGTCGCCCACGGTAACGACAAAATCGTACATGTCCGCCATCGCCGACGCGGGGCGAAACGGCGCCGCCGCGCGCGAGCTGTGATCGAGCATGTGCGGTTCTTTTATGATCAGCCTATCGAAATCGCCCATGAGCGTCGTCGGTTCATTGGCCCCGCAGTCCTCGTGTTCGCATTGCGTGTACACGGGAACGTCGTTATGGTCCATGTAGAGTCCGTTCGGAACCTCGACTTGGCAGGCCAAAGTCTCGCCGACGTACAAATAAACGTTCTCGCCATCGAACACCGACGCGACGTGCGTCCACTCGCTCGTTGGCACGACATCTTTGCTCGTGCACGTCTGCACCGACGCGTCTGAAGAGGTGCAAACTTTTCGGCACTCCTCGGGCCTTTTGTGTCCATACGAATTTTGACCGTTCCGCGACCACGAAGGGAATATCGGCGAGCATTTTTGACGTTCGGACCCTGGATATGTATTCTTTCTGCAAGAAAACGTCTTCCCTCGGTCCGTCACAGATAGTACGAGCTTCCCTGATCTGTCGACGTACACGGACATGCCCTTCACCGCGAAGCCGCCGCCGGGGACCGTTTCCCAACCCTGCGGTTGCGCATCTCCGGCGTCGACGTAGTGGCCATTCGGGGCATTATACGCGGGAGCGAACGGTTTGCCGATGTGCCAGAGGTTGCCCACCTGCGTCGGTCCGTAAGGTTTGGGCGGCGCCGGCTCCTCCGCAGAGCTAGGAGCGGTCGCCGTACCTTCATCCGCGGTGGCGTCGCGTTCGAACACGAACGTCGTGCCCAACTTCATTACTCGCCTGAAAGGGTCCCAAAGGTACGTAATTTCCCTGTAACGCGCCGCCGTCACCGCGAAAGCGTCGCCGCTGACGTCGACGGAGGCGCCGAACAGGTGACCGGTTTGAGAATTCCCGGGACATGCCAGTTTTTTTCGATAGGACCATTCGCTCGCAACGACGCCGGGAGCATCGCGCGTGTACAAGTACGCGGCTTCGTTCTGATTGGAGAGTGTGCCGATGATGATCGTGTCTTTATCGATGCCGACTGATCTCCCGAACGCGTTCGCTTCGCCGACGCCCAGGTCGGACGCGAGCACCGATCGTTGCGTCCACGTGGACCCGTCGCGCGTGAAAACGTACACCAAATTGGCGCCTTCTGAAGCGACCACGACGGTATCGCCTGAGATGTCGACCGCGCTACCGAATGTTCCATCAACAAGCGGCTCTGAAGCTTTGAACTTCGTGACTTGCGACCACTTCTTCGCGTCAGACTCGTCCACTTGGAAGACGTACGCGGCGCCGTGCTGTTCGGCCCCTTCCGCGCCTACGATCAGCGTCTGACCGTCGTCGCTGACCGCCACGCTCGATCCGAAACCTCGATCCGAAGACTTGTCGAAGCGGGCTGCGTAGGCACGGGGTTGGGCTACGTAGTCATCCGCCGTCAGTACCGCGCTCTGCGAGAAGTCATCAGTATTTTTGTCCTTGCTGAGGACGAAAACCTTCCGAGACCAACCCTCGTATCCTGGTACACCGACGAAAGCTGTGTTCCCGTCTTTGCTCATCGCTAAGCTCCTCTTAGGATCTGAACCCCCGACGTGAACGTGTGACACAGGTACCGCGTCTCCCGTCGCGTCGCGTCTGTAGAAAAATACTTTCCCCGACCTGCCCGTCCCGACGGCGATGAACGCGTCAGAGATGGCGACGTTGTCACCGAACTTACAATTGAAGGGCATGGACATCAGGGATCCGTAGCTTTCCCTAGGTTGGAGCGTCGCTCTGAGCGCCCACTCATTCGTCGCCGATGTCTTTTTGAAGAGATACGCCTTTTCGATCGCGGGAGCTCCGATCACCATCGTGTCCCCGTCGAGCGCCATCGCCTTTCCTCCGTCGTCGTCGTATCCCATTTGGTCATTTTGGCCCGCGTTATCTACCCGGACTGTAGACGATAGCTTCGTGATATACGGCGGCGGAGGGGGCTTTTTCGGCGGAGGCGCATCAGCCGACGGGGCCTCGGCAAAGTACGCGGCCCAATCGATCTTCTCGTCTTTGTTTTCCGGCACCGAAACACTGAGGTTTTGGTAAACCGGCTCGTACTGTCGGAGATAAACGTACGAAGACACGGCGATCTTCTCGCGGGCGTCGCGCGCGCGCGCGGGTAACGTAGGGGGATCCCACGCGTATTGCAAGGAAAGATTCTCCCCGTCTTCGAGAGAACCTGAAGCCCTACTTGACGTGTAACCCTTCCATATGGCCGTCCTCTCCCTGGCAATGACATCCGGGGGGAACGCGCGAGGGAGGCTCCAAGGCAGCTGCGGCTCGCGCCATCTGCCGAGGATATATTTCTTTCCGGGAACGGTCGGAGGGCCGCCCGGGTCGACTTCTTCGTCCGGGTTTTCCCACGCGTAATCCCACGCGATGATACCGTCGCTCGTGTCTTCGCGATCGTATTCGGTGCGACCGATGAAGAGCGTGTTTGGGTACGCCGGGGACTCGTCAAACGAGTACCCGTGGTCCAGAGCGTTGGCGGTCGTCTTTTTTCCCGTCATATCATACGGACTCTTCTCGTATGGCGCGGACCAACGAGTCCAGGTGTCGGACGTCTCAAACAGTGGTTCCCCGAGCGTTCTCGACTTGATGTTCTCTATGAGCCAACCCGGGTTGTTGTCCGAGGTCGGGGTGACGAACCGTCGGATCTTCAGGCTCGGCAACTCCACGTCGTAGCCGGTCTGCTCGTTGCAACCAGTACTGTATCTCATACAGTTGAAGGGAACGCCGGGAACGTTGAACTTGCGCTCCGCCAGTTTCTCCGCGGGCGAGCGCTCGTAGTCGTCCGCGCCGACGATGAGCCACGTGGGACTTTCTCGTACGGCGCGGAACGAGTAGATGTTACTCACGTGCTCGTTCCCCCCGACGCGCGCGACGCCGCCTACGGGGACTTTCTCCGCCTCCAATCTAGGGTCGGTGGCTTTGAGGACGCCTGTTTTCATGTCGACGTACGCCGCGCAGCTGAGGGTGATTCCACACGAAAGAAGTTCATCGGTCGGTTAAAAGGGGACGCGGATCATACGGTACGGTACGGTACGGTGATCTTATCATATTTTGAAACCGAGCGGCGGGTGGAAAACTTTTGTAAAGTACGCACCTGACGTGAGTCCTCCCGAGCTCCTCGTCCGTGACGTGGCCATTTAAGGTCGGGACTGTCTTCGTGCATCGGATCCACTCCTCGCCGTACGGCGTGATCTTGTTGTAGTACGTCCCGTCGAACTCGTACGAACAGTCGTAAATCGTTCCGTTCAGAATGCGCAACCACGGTTTGTCTATGGCGCACCCGTCGCGGAAGACGAAATGCATGAGACCGTGCTTCTCGTAGAAGCGGATCGCGTTCCCGATGCGATTATCGTGAAACTCGGACGACTTCCAGAATCGCGCGAGCTGGGTCGCGTTCAGAGGCTTCTCGCCCGGACTGAGTCTGAGGGTCGTCCCGCGCGATGAAGACGCGTCGGGGCGGTGTTCGGGGGCGCGTCAGAGGAGTCGCGAGGCACCGCGGTCGAACGCTGCGACCGAGGGATGGGCGAAGAGAGACGCGCGCGGGCAGAGTCCGTCCTCGAGGAGCGGCGTTCAAGGAGCGGCGTTCACCACGCGCGCGAACGGGGTCGTACGGGGACCGGCGTGAGGAGCACGCGCGCGAACGGGGTCGTACGGGGATCAGCGTGAGGAGGACGCGCGCGAACGGGGTCGTACGGGGACCGGCGTGAGGAGGGAGGACGCGCCTGATCACGTCGACGGGCTCGAAGCGATCGAGTCGTCGCTGGCCGCGGATCGGCGTCGGGCGATACTCCGAGCGCTGACCGAATTTTTGCCGACTGTCGCGCTCCTGATCTTCTGCGCGCGCGTTGCCGACGTAGCACGACGAGAGCGGGTCGCCGCAGTTCTCCGCGCGCGCGGGCGTAGGGAGGAGGAGCGCGAGGAGCGCGACGACGACGCGCGCGAACGCGCGAGGAGGGGCGAAATTCATGCGCGAAAACTTAGATCTCGACGGCAGCGCGAGCGCGCGAGCGCGGGTGGAACGCATCGCGCGCGCGGAGGATCGGATCGCAAAGAACGTTCCGCGATGCCGCGGATGGTGGTGCGGCCAGGTGTCGGGTGCGTTCGACGACGTAACGAGCACGCGACGACACAACGAAACGCGCGCATGCAGAATGACACTCGATGTAACACGCCGCGCGACCTTTCGCGAAGATATTCTGTTCCAGATCTACCAGACTAAAAACTCTAGTGCTCGAATCACGTCCGTCGTACTGTACTACTCGTGCCACGGGCACGCGCATGCGGGCGTACAATCGACGCGATGCCCAGGCGGCGCGGGTCCGGGTGTCGCGCGCGGCGCACGGCGAATGTTGTTAATTTTCCTCGCGGCCTCCATCGCGACGTCAGTCCTCTCGCGCGCGCCGCCGTCGTCCATCAGCATGGTTTTTAATGAGATATCCGTCGAACTCGCGGCCGCCGTGCTCTCGCACGTCGATGACCCGGTCGACCGCCTTCGCCTCGCCGCGGTGAGATCGGTGTACTGTACTGTAGATCTGATTAGACTGTGTGTGTTGTAACATCCGGGATACCTGACCTACCTTCGATCAATCGATCGGGGATTTTCCTGGGATAAAAACTTTGATAAGGTTAGGGTGTTTTCATCGACAGAGTCGATCAAATTTACGCACGGCAACAGCATCAATCTGATCGCCGCGTCGCGCGCGGTTCGGACCATCGGACGTTCGGCTCTTCGGCGTCACCGCAGCGCCAGTCCCGAAAATCCTACGCGGTACACGCCTCGTCGCGCCCCGTCCCGAGCTCGCTCGGTCGCGGGGTGAGCGGAGAGAGACGCCGGGAAGTAAAGTCCTCAAGGATCGGCGTTCACCCCGCCGACGCGGCCCCGGCGTACGGAACGCGCCGTATTCTCTCGCGTCACGCGCGCGCCTCCTCCTCCTCCTCCTCCTCCTCCTTCCGATCGCGATCGCGCTTCTCCTCTCCCGCCGCCGCCGCCCTTCTCTCCGCCGCGCGCGTCCGCCGGTCGCCGATCTTTCGCGCCGGGTTCCCCGCCACGATCGCGTACGCGTCGACGTCCCGCGTGACCACCGCGCCCGCGCCGACGACGGCGTGATCGCCCACGACGACGCCGTCTAAGGGCCATTCCATACGAGCGATTGTCGGGGTGGAGTTGAAAGGCGTCAGAGGCGGAGTTGTGAGGCGTCGAGGTGTGAGCGTCGGGATTGAAAGCGAGGGGCGACGGGCGGAGAGAAACGACCGTCGGGAGATAAAGTCCTCAAGGTTCGGCGTTCACCGCGCCGACGCGGTCGTACGGGGACCAGTGTGGTAACAGAACGCGCCTAACACGCACGCGTTGGCGCCGATCCAGACGTCCGCGCCGACGACGACGCCGACGCTTCGAACGCCCTGATCCTTCACCGGGACGTCCGCGTCGTCGAACACGTGATCGAACGCGTAGACGTGCACGCCCGGGCCGATCCGCGCGTCGTCGCCGACGACGACGCCTCCCGCGCCGGACTCGAAGTGGCTGGAGACGGAGCGACGAAGGGCTTTTAGTCCTTAAGAAACGGCGTTCACCACGCGAACGGGGTCGTACGGGGACCGGCGTGAACCAGAACGTCGTCGTCGTCGTCGTCGTCGTCGGTCGTGGTGTGGTCGCGAGGTGTGGGCGGAGAGACAAGGCGGCAAAAGTCCTTAAGGATCGGCGTTCACCACGCGAACGCGGTCGTATGGGGACCAGTGTGACATAGAACGATCACGGCGCGTCGTGATCGATGAGAGCGAGGAATCGGCGGAGAGAGACGCGCGCGGGTGATGAAAGTCATGAAAGTCCAAGTCCTTAAGAAACGGCGTTCACCACGCGAACGGGGTCGTACGGGGACCAGTGTGAATCCTCACCACCGCGCGTTGATCGAGACGTCGTTCCCCAAGACGACCGGCCCGTGGACGTAGACGTGAGACGCGATCTTACATCGGTCGCCGACGACGACGTCCCTTCCCGGCTCCGCGAAGATGTGCGCGTCCTCCGCGATGAAGCAGTCGACGCCGAGGCGCACGGTCTCGGTCGCGCGGAGGCGGTCCTGGACGTCGCGCTGCCACGACGCCGCCCACGCGCGGTGTTTCGGGATGTCGTGGAGCCAGTGCATCCACGACAATCGATGTTTCTTCTGCTCGAGGTACGGGTCGACGGGCGGCGCCTCGTTCGACGACGACGACGACGACGACGACGACGCGAGCGACGCGCGCGCGCGACGGGCGGAGCGAAGGGATCCGCTCCCTCGCGCGCGCGCTGCCGCCGCGAAAACGCAGGATACCGCCGCGCGCGGCATCGCTGCGCCGAGCGAGGTAACAATTAAATGAACTTCTGTGATGACGCCGACTGGACGCGAGCGCGAGTGTGGTACAGTAGGGCCCTACTCGTGGAGCCCACATCCTCTTCTGTCACTCTGAGAACTGAGCTCCTATCAACGACCGCGGGGTCGCGCCCTTTGAACGACACGCCTCATAAAGAATTGATCGATGGCGCTGGGTTCAACGCGCGCGATCAGAAGAATCACGATATTTTATTTCTCGCCGTCGATCGAACGAAGCGTCGCGTCGATCGAACGCGTCAGTCCAACGCGCGCACGAGCTTCATCGCACGCCGTACCTCGCGAACGCACATCTCACGCCGTACCTCCTACCAATGGCCGCCGCCGCGATGCCCGTCGCCGCTCCCGTCCTCTCCGCGCGCGCGTCTTTCCGCGGATCCTCGAAATCATCGGTTCGCCGATCGACCGCGAAAGCCGCCGCGACGACGACGCGCCGCCGCGTCGCGACCGCGACGACGTCGGAGTACAAGGTTCGTCAGCGCGTCCGCGCGCCCCGCGATCGTCTATCGTCCGCGCCGCGACTCCCACGCGGCGTCGCGCGCTCGCGCCGCGCGCGGTGTCGCGGCGTCGCCGCGCGCGACCGCGAGATCGCCGCGACCGTCGCCACGCGATCGATCGCGCGGGAAAGAAAAAAAAATGCGTTCTGATTCACACTGGTTCCCATACAACCCCGTCGGCGTGGTGAACGCCGATCCTTAAGGACTTTTCCCGGACTCTCTCTTCGCCCATCCCTCGCGTTCAACGCCCGACCGCGACGCCTTTCAACCCCGCTTCTGACGCCTTTCAACTCCACTCCTCTCGCCTCTCGTCAATCACACACGACACAGGTCGCGGTCCTCGGCGCCGCGGGCGGGATCGGCCAGAGCCTCTCCCTCCTCCTGAAGATGAACCCAATGATCGCCCAGCTGAACTTGTACGACATCCAGGGCACCCCGGGCGTCGCCGCGGATCTCAGGCGCGTTCGTTCTCCTCGCGCTGGTTCCCGTACGACCCCGTCGGCGCGGTGAACGCCGATCCTTAAGGACTTTATCTCCCGGCGCGTCTCTCCGCCCAGGGTCCCTCGCTTTCAATCCCGACACCCCTCGGCGCCTTTCAACCCCGCTTCTGACGCCTTTCAACTCCACCCCGATATCATCGCTCGTATGGAACGACGCTCAGCCACACGAACACGCAGACCAAGGTGACGGGCTACGCCGGCGCCGATTCGCTCGCCGACGCGTTGAAGGGCTGCGACCTCGTCATCATCCCCGCGGGCGTCCCGCGCAAGCCCGGGATGACGCGCGACGACCTGTTCGAGATCAACGCCGGGATCGTGAAGACGCTGTGCGAAGCCGTCGCGGCGAACTGCCCGGGCGCGCTCGTGAACATCATCAGGCGCGTCGAGTCGTCGCGGGACAATATATATTTCTCACCGGTTCCCGTACGACCGCGATCGCGTGGTGAACGCCGATCCTTGAGGACTTTTCCCGTCGTCACTCTTCACCCGCGCTTCCCTTTCAACGTTTGACCGGTAAGACGTTCGACTGACCGATCGCTTCACCCTCGATGCACCACAGCAACCCGGTCAACTCCACCGTGCCCATCGCCGCGGAGGTGTTCAAGAAGGCTGGCACGTACGACCCGAAGAAGGTGCGTTCTATACACTGGTTCCCATACGACCCCGTTGGCGTGGTGAACGCCGATCCTTAAGGACTTTCGCCGGCGCATCTCTCCGCCCACCCCTCGCTTTCAATCCCCGCCCTCGATGCCTTTCAACTCCAACCGACGCCTTTGAACTCCACCCCGACGTTCAAGGTCTTCGGCGTGACGACGTTGGACGTCGTGCGCTCGAACACGTTCGTCGCGGAGGCGAAGGGGCTGGACGTCAACGACGTCGACATCCCGGTCGTCGGCGGACACGCTGGGATTACGATCCTGCCGCTCCTGTCTCAGGCGCGTTCTGTGGATGATAGTACCGCGCCGGTCCCCGTACGATTCCGTTCGCGCGGTGAACGCCGTTCCTTGAGGACTTTATCATCTCCCGGCGGTCGTCTCTCTCCGCGCACCACCCCTCGCTGGTTTCAATCCCGACGCGCACGCCTCGACGCCTCACAACTCCGCCTCTGACGCCTTTCAACTCCACCCCGACGTTCGCTCGTATGGACGATTACCCTCGACCCTCGTCAGTCGTACCCGGCGACAAAGTTCGACGCGGATGAGCTCGAGGCGATGACGGTTCGCATCCAAAACGCGGGCACGGAGGTCGTGGAGGCGAAAGCCGGCGCGGGAAGCGCGACGCTTTCCATGGCGTACGCCGCCGCGAGGATGGCGGAGGCGTGCCTGCGCGGGCTCTCCGGCGAGGCGCGTTCTGTTACCGCACTGGTCCCCGTACGACGGCGTTGGCGTGGTGAACGCCGATCCTTAAGGACTTTTCTTCCCGACGGTCGTTTCTCTCCGCCCAGGGTCCCTCGGTTTCAATCCCCGACCCTATGACGCCTTTCAACTCCGCTTCTGACGCCTTTCAACTCCACCCCGACGACGCGATACTTCCAGGCGGACGTCTACGAGTGCTCGTACGTCGCGTCCTCCGTCACGGAGTTGCCGTTTTTCGCGACCAAGGTGAGGCTCGGCCCGGGCGGCGCGGAGGAGGTTCTGCCCGTGGGCGATCTCACCGAGTACGAGAAGGGGTGGCTCGAGAAGCTCATCCCGGAGCTGAAGGGCAGCATCGACAAGGGCATCGCGTTCGCGAACAAGTAAGTTTCCGTCGTTTGATCGATCTGATGAGGAGGAGTCCTTAAGGATCGGCGTTCACCACGCGAACGGGGTCGTATGGGAAGCAGTCTGCCCATCTGATCGATCGACGCGCGGGATGGATGACGGACGAGAAGGACGCGTCCCGTCGTCGCGATCTCGACGCGAAGACGCGATCGGAGAGCGACGCGCGCGTCGAGCGCGGAGTGTTGTGGTGTTTATTCTACTGATTTAATTAAACAGATGGATTATTCGGATTCGAACGCGTTCGCATTCGCGCGCTTCTTCGCCGAGACGAGACTACCTTCTTCTATAGATTCTACGCTTCTACTAGTCAACAGCCGTCGCCGTCTCGCGCCACGCGACGTCGAACGGGCCCGCGCCGACGCCGCGCGCGCGCTCCCTCGCGCGCGCGAGCTTCCGCTCCTGCGCGAAGACGTCCTTCGCGAGCGCGACGAGCGCGCGCGCGCGCGTCCCGCGCGCTGCGTCCGCATCCGCGTCCGCGCCGTCGCCCGCGCCGTCGCCGTCGCCGTCGCCGTCGCCCGCGAGCACGATCGCGGCGCCTCGCTCGCCCCACGCGCGCGCGATCCTCGCGCGTCGCGCCTCCTCCGTCCGCGCGTCGCCGCCGCGCTCGAGCGCGCGAAACGCGTCCTCGGCGAGGACGACGTCGGCGACGACGACGTCGGCGACGACCTCGCGCGGCGCCGGCGGCGGCGCGCGCGCGACGTCGAGCGCGCGCGACGCGTCCGCGACGTCGTCGCGAGCGCGCGCGAGCGCGCGCTCGCGCTCGCGAAGGCGCGTCGACGCCGCCTCCGCGCGCGAGAGCGCCTCGCGCAGGACGCTCCCGCGCGTCGACGCGCCGCGCCGCGCGGACGCGACGAGCGCGACGAGCGCGTCGCCGTCGTCGCCGCCGCCCCCGCGCATCCGCGCGCGTCGTCGTCTCATCTCTCGTCTTCCGCCGACGGCTCGCTGCGGCTGCTGTGTGCACTGCCTACTGCTGCTGAGGTCGTTCCATACAAAAAACGTGCACCGGTCAGTTGAAAGGGAACGCGATCAAGTGTTGAAACCGGGCGATGGGTGAAAAATGTTTGAGGTGCGAAAAAAAAAGCGCGCGGCGCGCGGAGCCTTTTAGTCGGCAGAAATACAAATAATCAGTGCTCGGCACCCCCGCGCGATCCGAGCGAGTTTAAACCCGAAACCACGGTTAAACGAGGCGCCACCTGTCGCGATCGTGCCAGGTGGCATCCACCTTACCCAAAAACCAGCACCGCAGCAGCGAGGGCGATCGGCGCGCCGTCGCGCGCGCATAACGAGTCGTCGCACCGCACGCGAACGTCCACGCACCATGCAGGCTGTCACCATGAACACCACGCTCGGCCTCGGCCTCGGGCTCCGCGCGCGCGCGCGCGTCGCCGCGAAGGCGAAGGCGACGACGCTCTACGGCGCGCGGGTCGTTGGGAAATCGTCAGTCTCCATGCCGGCGACGCGCAAGGCGACGCGGCCGTCCCCCGTCGTCGTCCGCGCGTCCGCGGAGCCGCTCCTCGAGGCGCCGTTCAAGGGCATCAAGGACGACATCGCGGGCCGCGCGCCGGTGTACCTCGACGATTTCAAGCAGGGGCTCAACGGCAAGGCGCTGGTGCGTCGTCGTCGTCCAGTCAGTGCCGTCGTCTTTTCGAACCGCGATCTTCGCGCGATCCGAGACGTCGGATGATTTATTCTCGCCCTCTTCCTCCGTCTCCGTCTCATCCTCATCCTCGTTCTTCTCGCACTGGTTCCCATACGACCGCGTTCGCGTGGTGAACGCCGTTCCTTAAGGACTTCCTCATCGTCCCGTCGTCGTCGTCGTCGTCGCGCGACCCATCCGCTCCTCCCGCCCGCGCCCGCGCGACGCCGTCGACCCGTCCCGCCGACGTCGAGGACGCCCCCCTCCGCCGGTGTGATCTGATGATCTGAAAATGATCCGACGTCCGTCCCTCTGCTCCCATCACGCAGGCGTCCGTGTGCTTCCTCTTCTTCGCCGCGCTCGCGCCCGCGATCGCCTTCGGCGCGGTCCTCACCGGCGCGACCGCCGGCATGCTCGGCGCGACCGAGGTCATCGTCGGCACGGCCATCGGCGGCATCATCTACGCCATCGGCTGCGGTCAGCCGCTCTCCATCCTCGCGTCCACGGGTTCCGTCGTGACGTACACGGCGATCCTCTACACGACGTGCATGCAGTACGGCCTTCCGTTCTTCGGCACGTACGCGTGGATCGGGATCTGGACGTCCGTGATCCTCATGGCCGTCGCGGTGACGTCGTCGTCTAACCTCGTGCGCTTCTTCACGAAGTTCACGGACGAGACGTTCGCGTGCCTCGTCGCGTGCATCTTCTGCGTCGAGTCCGCGAAGAAGATCATCTCCATGTTCTTCAACCCGGCCATCTCCGGCACGCTCGCGCTGTCCTCCGCGCTCATCGCGCTCGTGACGCTCTACGCCGGTCTCTTCCTCTCCGGCCTGAAGCGTCAGCCGTACGGCCCGGAGGCGATCCGTAACATCGTCTCCGACTTCGCGCCGACGATCGCCGTCGCCGTCGGCTGCGCGTTCGCGTCCTGGCTCACGGCGACGTACGGCCTGTCCCTCGACGCGCTGTCCCTCCCGGCGTCTCTCGCGCCGACCGCGGCGCGGTCCTGGGTGATCGACATCTTCGCGGTGCCGAACTGGGTCAAGCTCGCGGCGCTCGCGCCCGCGCCCGCGTGCGCGATTCTCCTGTACATGGACCAGAACATCACGACGCGTCTCGTGAACAACTCCGTCGGCCTCAAGAAGAAGGCGGCGTACCACCTCGACATGTTCTGGCTCTCGCTCATCACCGCGGCGACGTCCATCTGCGGCCTCCCGTGGATCTGCGCCTCCACCGTGCACTCCATCACGCACGTCAAGTCGCTCTCCGACACGAAGGTGAACGAGGCCACCGGCCGCGAGGAGGTCACCGGCGTGATCGAGTCCCGCTGGACCCCGCTCGTGCTCAACATCCTCATCGGCTGCGCGATCCTCTACCTCAAGCCGATCCTCGGCCAGATTCCGATGTGCGTCCTCAACGGTCTGTTCTTCTACCTCGGGCTCTCCGCGATGAGGGGCAACGAGTTCATCGAGCGCGTGTTCATGTGCATGATCACGGACTCGAAGAAGATGCCGAAGACGCACCCGCTCTCCGCGGGCAACGACCGCGCGACCGACCTCGGCACGCTTAAGAAGTTCACGTACATGCAGATCGCGTGCCTCGGCGTGATGTGGTGGATCAAGGGCTCCCCCGCGGCGATGCTCTTCCCGATTCTCATCGCGGCGCTCGGGCCGGTGCGCATCGTCGCGGGCAAGGCGGGGTGGTTCTCCCAGAAGGACCTCAACAACCTCGACGAGCAGGTCGAGACGGACCCGGGGTACGTCGCCGCGTAAGCGGTACGCTGATGCATGATTGATCACGCATCATCACGAGTAGACGCGCGGTTTGGCGGCGGCGACGCGAGCGGCGGCGGCGGCGGTTTGGCGGCGGCGGCGGTTTGGCGGCGGCGGCGGCTCGACACGATTCATTCCATTCACGTTTTTTTTTTCACCCGGCGGCGTAGGACTAGTCAAAGGTTCTGTTTGTCAAGACGACTCCGACGGGTCGTGGGTGGGCTTTCTTCTGCTCGCATGCGCGCGCGTTAGCATCACTCCTGACCCAGGGCTACACACATCGCGCGTACGACTCGCACTGTCTCATCCTCCCAAGGCGGTTCGGTTCTTCTATCGCGTCGACCGATCGAAATAGGGCCCGCCTATCTGTCGCAAAAACGCGAGCTACCCATAGCTACGCGTCCGTCGCGCCGCCGCCGCCGCCGCCGCCGTTTCCTCGTTCCTCCGCGTCCAGCCAGGACGCGTATTCGTCGCCTTCGTCGCCGCCGCCGCCTTCGTCGCCGCCTTCGTCGCCGCCGCCGCGTTCGAACCGCGCGCGTCCGATCGCCGCGGCTGAGACGTACCCGAGCGTCGCTGCCGCGGCCAAGACGTACCATCCCCAACCCAACGACGTCTCCACGTCGAAACACGAGTCGACGCCGCGCATCCCGGGAAGGATATCCGCGCCGCCGCCGCCGTTCTCCTCCGCGGATCGCATCCGACGTAAGACGTCGTCGACGCCGTCGCACGCGTCTCCGAGGATAAACGCGGCGAATCGTCGGATCTGCGTCGCCGCCGCGAGCGCGGAGACGACGAAGACGTCCAGCGCGCTCCACGCGCGCGAAATCTCCGCGGCGACGACGAGCGCCTCGCGGAGATTGACAATCTTTCGCCGCGGCGGAGATTCCGCCGACCGGCGGCGCGATTCCCGGCCGCCGCGATTCCCGTCCGCGGCGCGAGCGTCCGAGCCGTCGTCGTCGTCGTCCGACGCCGCCGCCGCCGCCGCCGGCCGCGGCGGGAGGGAGAGCGCGAGAAGCGCGGCGAAGAAGAGCAGCGAGAGCGCGGGCGCGAGCAGCGCGAACGCGAAGAGCGCGACGGAAGCGGCGGAAGAGCGTCTTCGAGGCCAGCCCCGCGTCGTCGTCAGCGACGTCAACGAAAACGCGCGCGGGTTGGCGACGTCGTCCGCGTTCGCCGCCGCCTGCGTGGGTGAAGCGATCGGTCAGTCGAACGACTTACCGGTCAAACGTACGTTGAAAGGGAAGCGCGGGTGAAGAGTGACGACGGGAAAAGCCCTTAAGGAACGGCGTGCACCACGCGAACGGGGTCGTATGGGAAGCAGTCTCACCGCCGCGGCGTCGGCGCCGTTCGCCGCGGCGACGCGCAGGGCGAACCCGGCGAGGCCCTCGAACTCGAACGCTATCGATCGCGCGCGCGCGCCGACGACGAGGAGGAGGAACGACGCGCCGATCGCGACGCCGACGACGCGGCGTCGGACGTGTCGGACATTACGTGTCGGACGGGCGTCGGACGCCGTCGCAGCAGCCGCCGCCGACGACGACGACGCGCGGACGTCCACTCTGTGCGCGTGCGTCGCGACGTGACCGAGCAGCAACGACGCGATCGTCGCGAGCAAAAACGCGTGGAAGCCGTACTTTTGGTCGACGGTCACGTCGAGGGTCGTTCTATACGAGCGAACGTCGGGATGGAGTTGAAAGGCGTCAGAAGCGGCGTTGAAAGGCGTCATAGGGACGGGGGTTGAAAGCGGGGGGACCCTGGGCGGAGAGACGCGCCGGAAGAAAAAGTCCTTAATAAGAAACGGCGTTCACCGCGCGAACGCGGTCGTCATATATGGGACCAGTGTAAATATGAACGCACCTGAGACTGTTCGCCGACCCGTGACCGCCGTCGCCGCCGTCGTCGCCGCGGAGCTCGAGATGGAACTGAAACGCAGCCTGGAACAGGATCATCACGAACGCGTCCACGAGCGACCACTTCCCGTGCGCGTCGAGAAACGTCAAGACGCGACCGCGAAGACGAAGAAGCCGCCGCGCGTCGTGGCCGCCGCCGCCGCTGAGGATCGTTCCATACGAGCGAACGTCGGGGTGGAGTTGAAAGGCGTCAGAAGCGGAGTTGAAAGGCATCGAAGGCGGGGATTGAAAGCGAGGGACCCTGGGCGGAGAGAGACGACGGCAAAAGTCCTTAAGGAACGGCGTTCACCACGCCGACGCGGTCGTATGGGGACCAGTGTGATGATAGAACGCACCCGCCGCACGGAACGAACCACGACACGAGCATCGCGCCGAGCTTCAAATACGGCCATCCCCCGGAGAAGACCGCGATCAAGCTCGCGAGCGCGTACGCCTTCGCGCGCCACATCTCCGAGACGGTGTTCACGAGCGAGAACTCGTACAGCGGCGGGAGCTCCATCGCCGCGATCGTCGCCGCCGCCGCGCCGCCGCCGCCGCCCGTCGATGTCGATCCTCCTCCGCCGCCTTCGTCTCTCATGAGGGCCACAGCGAGTTTCACCGTCGCCCCGGTCGCGGTGTTCGACGAGACGAACAGCAGGACGTTGGCGCAGAGCAACAGCGGCAGCGCGACGCGGAGACGCGGCGGCGTGCGCGGGGAGGTGAACAGCGAACATCCGTCGTCGTGACTGGTTCCCATACGACCGCGTTCGCGTGGTGAACGCCGTTCCTTAAGGACTTCGTCGTCGTCGCCGCCGTCGTCGTCGTCGTCGTCGTCGTCGTCCGCGTCGTCCGCGTCCTCGTCCGAGTGCTCGAAGCGCGCCGCGAGCAGCGGCGCTTCCGCGTCGCCGCCGCCGCGGCGCGTCGTCCGTCGCGAGAGCGACGGCCGCGCGACGACGACGCCGCCGACGACGCTATAAAAAATCGCCGCCGCGACGGCGACGCCGGCCGACGCCGCGGCCGCCGCCGACGCCGCCGCCTTGACGCGTTCCCCCCCCGGCCCCGACCCCGTCCTCGAGGACAGCGCGTCGCACGCGCCGTCGTCCCGGTCCCTCCGCCGCGCCGTCTCCGACGCTTCCCGCAATCGCTCGTTCGCGGCGTCCCTCCCCGCCGCGCCGACGCGCGAGGACGCGACGCGCGACATCGCGTCCGCGTACCGCGCGGCGGCAGCGTCGAAGACGACGGCGACGGCGTCCTCGACGTCGCGCGCGAGACCGTCCACGTCATCGTCCATGTCAGCATCGCCGCCGCCGCGCCGCTCGCCGCGCACGCGCACGCGCTCGATCCTCCCGAGCGCGGACAGCGAGCTCAGCTCCAGAGTCGTCGCGACGCGCGAGAGGACGCACGCGGGGTCCGCACGTTGCCTGTAGGGTCGTTCCATACGAGCGATGATATCGGGGTGGAGTTCAAAGACGTCAGAAGCGGAGTTGAAAGGCGTCGAGGTGTGTCGGGATTGAAACCGTGGGACCCTGTGCGGAGAGAGACGCCGGGAAAAGTCCTTAAGAAACGGCGTTCACCACGCCGACGCGGTCGTATGGGGACCAGTGTACGGGACGCGCCTCGCGCCGAGTGCCGAGAGCGCGTCCGCGTCCGCGAGCGCGCCGACGCGCGCGGCGATCGCGAGGTCCGTCCACGACGCGTTCACGCGCACGACGTCGATCAGCGGCGGCGCGCGCGTCCCCGTGCCCGTGCCCGTGCCCGTGCCCGTGGCCCTCGGCGTGCGGCGCCGCGCGGCGGAAGCGGCGGGGAAGATCGCGTTGACGCGAAGCGTGCCGGTCGCGCGGATCGTCCCGTGGGGGCGCGTCGCCATCGGGATCGCCGTCGCCGACTCCGGGTCCGGCCCCGTCGTCGTCCACCGCGCGTCGTCTAGCCCCGCGACGCGCGCGTCGAGGACGGAGACGGTCAGAACCGCGCCGCCGTTTAACACGACGCGCCACGGCGGCGGCGCGTCGGGAGCGTCGCCGCCGGGGAGTGAGCGCGAGGGAAGCGCGAACGCGCCGAGCGCGCGATGCGCCGCCGCGCGCGCCCGCGCGATCGGATCGTCGGAGGACGCGTCGGACGCGTTGTGTGTCGGACACAAATGTCGGACATCGTCGCTGCTCCTGTCGGACGTGTCGGACGTGTCGCACGGCGCGGCGGCGGTGACGGCGTCGAACGCCGCGCGTCCGAAGAATCGCGCGAGCGGCAGCGCGGGCGCGTCGCGCCAATCCGCGAACGACCTCGAGCTCGATTTCGGCGGCGGCGTCGGGTCCGGCAGATCTGGCGGCGCCGCCGCCGCGCGTCGCCAGCCGTCGCCCGCGGCGCGCAGCGCGCCGCTCGCCGCGTCGATCGCCGCCGGTGCGGCGGTCGAGCACAGCGCGGCGTTCGCCTGCGACCCCACGACGTTCTTGAGGATCCCCGCGAACGGCCGCAGCGCGCCCGCGCCGTCGCCGGAAAAGGACAGCTGAGGGTCGAGGGTCCATACGAAGCGTTATTGTCGGGGTGGAGTTCAAAGGCGTCAGAAGCGGAGTTGAAAGGCGTCGAGGCGCGTCGGGATTGAAAGCGAGGGACCCTGGGCGGAGAGAAACACACGCCGGCGAGCAAAAGTCCTTAAGGATCGGCGTTCACCACGCGAACGGGGTCGTACGGGGACCAGTGCGAGGAGATAAAACTACGCGCCCGAGTCACCGTCGCCGCCGACTCGCACGCGTCGAGCGTCAGCGCGACCGGGATCGTCGGCGGCGGCGCGTCGTCGCGCGCGTCCACGAACGACGCGCGAACACTCGCGCGCGCGTCGCCGATCGTCGCGCGCACGCGTCCTCGCGTCGTTCCCGTCGCGACGCTCTTCGCGGTCCACGCGCCCTCGCACGCGCACGCGACGCCGGAGACGTCGAGACGCGCCCACGCGCCGAGATCTCGCGCGTCGGCGTCGGATGGCGCGCTCGCGGCGAGCGCGCCGACCTCGAACGCGCCGCACTCGAGCTCCGTCAACGAGACGGTCACGAGCCCGGAGAGCGACGTGGACTGCGACGGGATGGACACGACGAGCCGTCGGAGCCACGCGCGGAGCCAGTCGTCGGGGGAGATGGTCAACTCGTCCTCCACCACGCCGAGTTTTGAGGATTCTCCCTCCGCGCCTCCTCCTCCTCCTCCTCCTCCTCCTCCTCCTCCTCCATCGCCGTGCTCCCCGCGAACGTTCGCGACCTCGACCTCGCCGCCCGCCGCGGAGACGAGGAGGAGGAGCGCGAGGAGCGCGAGGAGCGCGCGCGCGCGCCGCGACGACGTCATCGCGCGCGCGGCAGGCACTCTGCGCCGCTGACGCGACATCGGCATCGTCGTCAGTTTTGCTGAGGGAATAAATACAAAACAGTTCTCCGGTCAGTTGAAAGGGGATGCGATCAAGTGTTGAAACCGGGCGATGGGTGAACAACTTTTGTATAGAACGCACCTGAGTTCGGGCGCGCGCCCTCGGAAGAGACCAGCCAGACCACCCCGCGCGGCTCCCATGGCGACCGCGGCGTGGACCGCGTCCCCGACGCGCGCGCTCGCTCCCTCGCGCCGCGCGTCGTCGTCGTCGTCGTCGTCGTCGTCGGCCGCGTCCTCCTCCTCCTCCTCCTCCTCCTCCTCCTCCAGATCCTCCTTCAGACGCTGGCGTGGGGGCTGCCGAACGCGCCTCGCTTCGCGGATGGCGCGCGCGACGTCGAAGCGCGACGACGACGACGCCGCCGACGCCGTCGCTACATCAGAGAACGTCGGGGATAAGGCCAAGTCAGCGCTCACCGAGCTGGTGGTGCGGCCGTTCACGTCGTTCATCGTCGAGCGCGTGCTGTCGCCGCTGTACGAGACGCGCGACGCGAAGCGCGACGAGTGCGGCCCGGGGATGTACACGGATCCGCGCACGGAGACGTGCGTCTTCATATGTCGCGAGGTGCGTGATTTTCACACTGGTTCCCGTACGACCGCGTCGGCGTGGTGAACGCCGATCCTTAAGGACTTTACTTCCCGGCGTATCTCTCCGCAGGGCTTCGCGTTCGACGAGGAGACGAGAACGTGCAAGCCGGTCGTCTCGGGCGCGCGCGCGAGCACGATCGACGGGTTCGGCGCGTCAACACGCCGAACCCGGAGAGGGGACAACGCGCGCGCGGCGGCGGCGCTCCCGGGGAAGATCGAGGCGCGTTCTACCTGTATTACCACACTGGTCCCCATACGACCGCGTCGGCGTGGTGAACGCCGATCCTTAAGGACTTTATCTCCCGGCGTCTCTCTCCGCCCAGGGTCCCTCGCGTTCAATCCCCGCCCTCGACGCCTTTCAACTCCGCTTCTGACGCCTTTCAACTCCACCCCGACAACGACGCTCAGCGACGCCTCTACGCGCACGACGGCGAGGGGATCGTCGATCGCTTCGTGCGATTTTTCGTCAACAAGCTCACGGGCGCGGGCGGCGACTGCGACGTGGGTTTCTTCTACGACCCGGCGACGCGCGCGTGCGTGCCGATATGCAAGCCCGGGTACGTGTACGATCCCACGGTGAAGAAGTGCGTCGCCATGGAGGACGAATTGCGGACGTAACCTTAAGGTTACAGTAGTGTGATGCGAGCAGCCGAGAACGAACGCGATTCAATCTACGCGCGAGAACGGCATCGCGCTCATCATCGCTAATACGGACTGTGACGCCGCCGCCCGCGGTCGTGGTATTCCGTCTCCGCGCTCTCGCTCCTCGCCGCCTTCCCGCCGCCGCTCGACCCATCCCCACCCCCCGCGCCCCCCGCCGCGCCCCAGAGCACGACCCTGGAATCCTCCCCGCCCGTCGCCGGCGCGGCGGCGTCGGCGTCCCAGTCCCACAAGACGCACGCGCGAACTGTGTCATCGGGCCGATCCGTGGTGCGAAAATACGAATACACGCGTTCATCGGTCAGCATCGATCAAGAAGGGACCGACCGACGCGATCGAGTGTGTGTTGAAACCGAGCAGAGGGACGCCGGGTGAAAAAAAAACAACGCGCGCGTAGGGTCGGTCAGAACAGGACGCGAGGAATGAATGGGCGGAGAGAGACGACCCAACGCCGGGAAGAAAAGTCCTTAAGGATCGGCGTTCACTGCGCGAACGGGATCGTACGGGGACCGGTGTGAGATGAATAAAACGCGCCTATGTCCGCGTGCCCGCCGTCCAGCACGCGCGTCGGCGCCGCGAGCTCGCACCTGGCGACGTCCCCGGAGCCGTCGCGCGGGGGAACGATCGGGAACAGTCCGACCGCGCCGTCCTGCGTCCCCGCGGCGACGACGACGGACGACGCGCCGTCTCCCTCTCCCTCGCCGGGCCTCACGCGAAAGCAGCCCAAGAGGTAATCGACGCCGCGCGAAAACGACGACGACGCGGTCGCGTCGCTCGAAGCGCCTCAGGGTCGTTCCATACAAAGCGAAGTCGGGGTGGAGTTGAAAGGCGTCAGAAGCGGAGATGATAGGCGTCGATGGCGGGGATTGAAAGCGAGGGACCCTGGGCGCAGAGAAACGCCGGACGAAGTCCTTAAGGATCGGCGTTCACCACGCCAACGCGGTCGCATGGGGACCGGTGTGAGGTAGAACGCGCCTTGAGCCGCCGCCGAAAACGCCGCCGCTCTCGTGTTCGGGACGTGCGCGAGCGTGGACCCGAGCGTCTCGAGGTCCGCGCCGGCGTCGAACGCCCACGCGTCCTCGTTCCCGGTGAGCACCCACGCGATGGAATCGGCGTCGTTCGACCCGGCGGCCTGTTGAACGCGGAGGAGTTCAAAGGCGTCGGTCGAAAGGCGTCAGAAGTGGAGTTGAAAGGCGTCGAAGGCGGGCGTCGAAACCGAGGGGTGGCGGGCGGAGAGAAACATACGCCGGGAAGAAAACCCCGAAAGTCCTCAAGGAATGAAGTTCACGACGCGAACGCGGTCGCACGGGGACCGGCGTAGTACCTCGCGTCCGCCGCAAAACCCGAGCTCGACGATGGAGCAATCCGTCGTCATCACGCACAGGAGTCCGTCTTCGTCAGGGTCGTTCCATACAAGCGAACGTCGGGGTGGAGTTGAAAGGCGTCAGGTGGAGTTGAAAGGCGTCGAAGGCGGGGATTGAAAGCGAGGGGTGGGCGGAGAGAATCGCCGGGAAAAGTCCTTAAGGATCGGCGTTCACAACGCGAACGCGGTCGTATGGGGACCAGTGTATAGAACGCACCTTCGTCGTCGACGTCCGCGGGGCACCCGCCGACGTCGAAGACGCACGCGAGGCCGTCCACGGACGCGGTGAACAGCCGGTTCCGTCGCGTCGGCTGGAACCGCACGCGCGTGACGTCCTCGCTGTGCGCGTCTTCAAAGGCGCGGAGACCCTCGCGCGTGCGGCGGTCCCTCGCCGTAAGGTCGCATCGGGAGAGAAAAAAGTCCTCAAGGGATGAAGTTCGCGACGCGAACGCGGTCGTATGGGAACAGTCACGCGTGCGTTCATCAAAGCCAGGTGAGTCATCGACAAATATACGTTTGTGGCATGGATGACGAGAAACAGGGCGGGAGAATCAGACAGGCCCTGCCAAAACACGATCTGATTCGTCCATCCCGCGACCACGAGATGATCGCCGACTGATGAGGGCCATTCCATACAAAAACAGTTCACCGGTCAGTTGAAAGGGGCCCACGCGATCAAATGTTGAAACCGAGCGGTGGGTGAAAAACGATTGCATCGAACGCACCGCCCCCCGCCGTCGCCGTCGCGAATCCACCCGTCGCGCGCGTCGCGAACGGCGCGACGTACGACGCGCACGGCCTCTCGCCGCCCTGCCGCAGGTCCCACGCGCGAATCGTCGCGTCCGCGCTGGACGTGAGCACCGTCCACGGCTCCGACGGGATCGGGAACGCGCAATCCGTGACCGCGCCATCGTGCGCGGAGAGCTCCGTGACCGCGCGCAGCTGAGGGTCGTTTGATTGGTGGGTGATGTGGCGGGAAGTGATGTGATTGGTTAGTTATTTGATGACGTGGATGTTTCATTGGACGACAGTGACGGAGAGACACGCCGGGGAAAGTCCTTAAGAAACGGCGTTCACCACGCCGACGCGGTCGTATGGGGACCAGTGTAAATATAAACGCGCCGTGCCGAGATGGCCTCCGCCGCCGCCTCCGCCGCCGAAATCGCCGCCGCTCGGGGCGTCCCCGCGCGCGTAGATCTTCACCGCGTTCGTGGAGAGCGACGCCGCGAGGTGCGCGCCGTCGGGGCTGCGGCGGGGGAGGGGAGAGGGAGGAGGAGGGAGGAGGCGCGTCGGCGCCAGAGATCGATCGACGCGCGCAGATCGAAGGGTGGGTGGGACGTGGGGAGGGACCCTAACTAAACGCGCGCGGACGGACCTCGGCGCGAGCGCCATGACGTAGCACGGGTCGTGGCTCGGCCCGAACGCCGCGACCGTGGTGCACGCGGGCGCGAGCCTCGAGGGCATCGCGGCGACGACGAGGCGGCCGCGCGCGGCGCGGGAGTCGAGCGACCGCCGCGCTGTTCGATTCGTGTCGCTGCGCTGCGGCCCCGAAGTTATTATTACTTCCGTAAAAGTTTTCTTCCGTTTTAAACAACCGTTTTTCACCCATCCCTCGGTTTCAACATTTGATCGCGTCCCGTTTCAACTGACCGAGGAACCGCGGTCTCGGGGTCTCCGACGGATTTCCGTCTCGGACGACACGAAACGAAACGGGGGGAAACAGCTGCAGTGCGCGTCGGGAGATCGCGTCGCGCGCGCGCGAAGCCGCGGCATGGACGCGACGACCGCGCCGCCGCAACCCGCGCGGTCGCCGTGGGAGCTGCTCGAGCGATGGGCCAGGGAGGACGGACGAACGTGGGGGAGGACGGACGACGGTGGGGACGGGGACGGGGACGGGGACGGGGACGGACGGGGACGGGGACGGGGACGACCGTGGGGATTCCGCCGACTCGAACGCGCGCGCGTCGCGAGCGACAGATGCGCGCCGCCGCGAAACGCGCGCGCGCCGCCTCCGCCGGGGCGACGACCGCTCGCGCTCGCGTCTGACGACGTCCTCCGTCGCGGCGGCGCGTCGAGCGTCGTCGCTCTCACGGGCGAGCGCGCGGAGGCGGCGTCGAGGGAGAAACCACTGGACGCGTCGCTCCCGCGCCGGATCTCAGGTGCGTTCTATATTACACTGGTCCCCATACGACCGCGTTCGCGTGGTGAACGCCGATCCTTAAGGATTTCGCCCGGCGTGTCTCTCCGCCCACCCCACGGTTTCAATCCCCGCCCTCGATGCCTTTCAACTCCTCCATCTGACGCCTTTGAACTCCACCCCGACGTTCGCTTCGTATGGACAATTACCCTCAGTGACGACGGGCCACGACCTCGAGCGATGCCTCGTCGCGGAACCGATCGCGCGGGGCGCGATCGCCGCGCGCGTTCGCGCGCGGACCGCGCGCCGCGTCGTCTCCCTCGCGGTCGACCCGTCGAGGCATCGCAAGTACCGGTACGTCGACGACGTCGTCGACGACGCGGACGCGGGCGACGCGCGCGTCCGCGTCGTCGCCGCCGCGACGGCGACGGCGCGCGCGCTGACGGCCGCGCTGCTCCGCGTCGCGACGCGCGCGACGGCGGCGGCGGGCGCGCGCGCGAAGGTACGTTCTATATTACACTGGTCCCCATACGACCCCGTTCGCGTGGTGAACGCCGATCCTTAAGGACTTCGTCGTCGTCGTCGTCGCGACTGCTTTCCGTACGACCCCGTTCGCGCGGTGAACGCCGTTCCTTAAGGACTTTACTTCCCGTCGTCACTCTTCACCCTAGGCGCTCGCGCGCGTCGCCGCGATGCCGCCGTGCGCGCCGTGCGGGTCGCCGAACACCGCGGCGATGTGCCGCGTCGCGAAGCGCAGCGCGCGCGACGCGGGACGCGCGCTGGCGGCGAGGCTGCGCCGCGGCGCCGCCGCCGCCGCGCGAAAAGCGGCGAAATCGCGAGGAGGGAACGCCGCCGACGCGGCGAGGAGAGCGCGGTCTCGAGCGGCGGCGTCGACATGCACGGCGAAGGAGGACGCGATGAAGGAGGCGAAGGCGAAGGCGAAGGAGGAGAGGGAGAGGGAGAGGGAAGACGCGGCCGCGCGAGCTGAGGCGTCGAAAGCCGCGGCGGCGGCGGCGACGCGCGTGGCCTCAACGTCCGGCGCGCGCGCGCGCGCGCGCACGCCGCCGCCGCGCGCGGCGCGAAGCGCGACGGCGAAGAAGCAGAGCGACGGCGACGACCGCGCGACGCCAAACGCCGCCGCCGCGGCGGCGGCGATCGCTCGACGCGGGTTTGGCGCGGACGCGTCGAACGCGGTCGCCGTCGCCGCCGCGCCGTCGCCCGCGCGACTCGCCGCGCGGTGATGCGTTTACACTGGTCCCATATATGACGACCGCGGTGTGTGATGCGTTATTACCTTCTGTCGAGACGCGAAGTAGACGGGTCGCGTCGATGATTCCAAACAACAAAACGGGAGTCGGTCGTTCGTCTCGATTACGATTCCATTCGTCGCAAAAATTTCATCTCTCGATTCCTCCCTCCGTCGTTCCGCGCTCCCTCGTCCACTACTCCCTCGCTCACTCCTTCGCGACGACGTCCGACCCCGCGCCCGCGGTCGTCGCATCCTCCGGCCCCGCCGCCGCCGACGACGACGACGACGCCGCCGCCACCTGCATCTTCGCCGTGTCTGGAAACTCCCACGGGTCGAACGCGACGTCGTCGACGCTCGCCGCGCCCGCGCCCGCGCCGTTCTTCTCCGCGAGACGACGCGTCAGCGACTCGCGATACTCCGGCTTGATCTCCCACACGTCCGTGCCGATGTCCTTCTCGAGGTCGTGCAGCTCCGCGTTCGAGGACTTGACGAACCACCGCGGCGTCCACGTCGTCCCCGCCGCGTCGCGTCGGCGACGCTCCGCGCGTTGCATCTCTTCCAGCGCGTGCTTCGCCGCGCCCGCCTCGGGGTCGTTCCATACGAGTGAATGTCGGGGTGGAGTTGAAAGGCGTCAGTTGGAGTTGAAAGGCGTCGAGGGCGGGGATTGAAAGCGAGGGACCCTGGGCGTAGAGACACGGCGGCAAAAGTCCTTAAGGATCGGCGTTCACCACGCCGACGCGGTCGTACGGGGACCAGTGTACAGAACGCACCTCGGCGTTGGCGCCCTCCTCCAACGCGACGCGGTCCGGCCGCAGCCTCGAGTCGCTCGCGAGCAGCCCCGGCGGAGCGGTGGACATGAGGTTGCACGCGCGCGTGAACTCCGTGAACCCGTACGGGTTATCGTCGGTCGGCATCGGGAGCTTCGTCCACAGCGTCTGAGGGTCGTTCCATACGAGCGAACGTCGGAGTGGTGGAGTTGAAAGGCGTCAGAAGCGGAGTTGAAAGGCGTCGAGGGCGGGGATTGAAAGCGAGGGACCCTGGGCGGAGAGAAATGCCGGGAGAGAAAGTCCTTAAGGATCGGCGTTCACCACGCCGACGCGGTCGTATGGGGACCAGTGCGAGATGGGACGCGCCTCGGTGCCGCCGCCGGCGGGGCGCGTGACTTCGACTTTTTCGTTCCACTTCCCTCTCAGCGACATCCGCGGCTCCCCCGCGGCGTTCAAAATTTCCCCGGAGACCTCCCATCGTCCTCCGCCGAGGAGGCCGCACTCCTTGAACTTGATCACCGCGCTCGCGCCCGTGGTGAGGTTGCACACCTTCAGCTCCCCGAAGGAGTCCATCCAGGTTCTGCCGACGATGATGTTGTTGATTCTGCGTGGGTGAAGCGATCGGTCAGTCGAACGTCTTACCGGTCAAACGTTGAAAGGGAAGCGCGGGTGAAGAGTGACGACGGGAAAAGTCCTTAAGGAATGGCGTGCACCACGCGAACGGGGTCGTATGGGAAGCAGTCTCACCGCGTCGTCGGGGTGATGATGTTAAACGCCTCGTTCGTGCGCTTGAGCACGATGCGCGTCCGTCCGAGCGGGTAGATGTCCACCCAGTTCCCCATGAACTTCGTCTTCACCGCGGAGGTGATGTCGTACGTCCACTTCGGCGTCTCCGCGTGCCCGGCGCCGATCGGCGGGTGGTGGCACACCTGCGACGGAGGAGTTGAAAGGCGTCGGGGGTGGAGTTGAAAGGAGGAGTTAAAAGGCGTCCGTCGGGGGTGGAGTCGAAAGGCGTCGAGGGCGGGCGGGGCGGGGATCGAAAGCGAGAGGTAGTAGTGCGCGGAGAGAGACGCCGCGCGCGCCGGGAGAGAAAGTAGAAAGTAGAAAGTCCTCAAGGAACGGCGTTCACTACGCGGACGCGGTCGTACGGGGACCAGTCTGGCGCGACGAGATGGATGGGCCGACGCGCCTGCTCGGCGACGTAGTGCCCGTCCACGTTGGGCAGCGCCATCTCCCACGTCTCGCCGAGGATCGGATTGAACGGCTTCTTCGTGCGCTCGGAGCACGAGTACGTGGAGATGGCGAGCGTCGCGATGAGCGCCAGGCGCGCGTGCTCGTCCTCTTCCTCGCACGCGCGGTCTAAGATGTCGCAGTAGTGCATGATCTCTCCCATCTTTTGAAGCGTCGTGAGCGGCTCCATGATGAACACGGGCACGGAGAGGAGCGACATGACGTCCGCACCCATCATTCCCTTGAGCTGCGACCAGAGCGCCTTCCGCTCGCTCGCGGTCTCGTCCGGCTCGGCGTCGTCCGCGCCGTCGCCCGCGTCTTTGCGTTCAAACTCGTCCGGGTCTTCTACGCCCGCGAGACTGCGATGGAGAGGGAGGGGGGGGGATGGGGAGGGACGACGCGGTCAGCGATCGGAGCGGCGCGCGCGAGCGCCGGCGCGGATCGCGCCGGCGCGGATCGGACGTCGCGAGGGCGCGAGAGGAGGAGGGCGCGCGAGCGTCGACGGAAGGCGTGGGTACACTGGTCCCCATACGACCGCGTTGGCGATGTGAACGCCGATCCTTAAGGACTTCGCCCGCGAGCGGACGATCGATCGGGTTTTATCCGCGGGGTCGTACGGGACGAGCGGGGCGCGCACTAGTCGAGGCCCTCGTTGAACGACTTCGCGAGCCCCGCGCCGAGGCGCGAGAGCCATCCCGCGCTCTTCGGATCCGCGGCGTCCATGGACATCGCGGCGGTCGCGTGCGCGTGCGCCGCGCGCCGACGCGAACGGTCCAGCCGCGGCTCGAGGAAAGTCAAGTCTTCAGAAAAGCTGCGGCTGCGGCGCCGGCTGCTATTAGGCTGCCGGCTGGCCGGCGGCCCAGAGAACGGAAACCCTGCTCTGCCTGCCGACGTCTGGTTTAAAGCTGTTTGAGTTTCAAACCACTCCCCGATCGAGCCAGCCGGTCAAACTGACCCACACTTCTCCCAATTGACCGGACGCGGATCGAGTCAGCAGTTGAGCGTCCGCGAGAAGATATTTTTTGAGGCCTTTTTTGAAGCAGACGGATCACGCGGTTAGAGCGGTTAAAAATCATGCCGTCTCGCGCTGTACACGTCTCTCAAGTTCGTAGCTTTTATGTACAAAAACTCGTGTATGCAAATCAGTCTGACTCAAAAAAAAAATGTAGGGCCTACAGTATGATACACGTTTCATCACGTTTCATCGTTTGAACCGTTCACGCGGTTCGTGAAAGGAAGAAAGTAACCCCCTGCGCCTATTCTCGATCACGCCCCCCCCCCCGCCGCACCAAACCAAACCATGTCCCCCGTCGTCCGCAACGAAGACACGCCGCTCCTCGAGAGGAGGCCGACGACGCAGCAGCGTCCCGGCGGCGGCTGGTCGACGACGATCAAGTCCGTCGCCGTCGGCGCGCTCTGCGTGTCCGCGGGCGTCGCGGGCACGCTCGCCTTCACGCGCCACGGCCACCACGGCGCCGGCGTCGCGTCGTCGGCGCTCGGCGCCGCGAAAGGCGGCGCGAAGGTTGAGCATCTGGGAGCGAAGAAGGCGTCCATCGAGGACCGCATCTCCGCGCTGGAGGCGACGACGGCGAAGCACGCGACCGCGATCAAGGCGGTCGCGCAGCAGACCGTGAAGCACTCTACCGCGATCAAAGCGGTCGCGGGCGAGGCCGTGAAGCACGCCACCGCGATCAAGGCGGTCGCGGGCGAGGCGAAGCAGGCGAAGACGGCGGCGAACGCCGCGGCGAGCACCGCGTCCGGCGCCGCCGGCGCGGTGCAAGCCACGCTGTCGAACACGGAGACGAAGGTCGATAGCGACGTCTCGAACGACGTGTCCAAGACGGAGAATCAGGCGCGTTCTATACACTGGTCCCCATACGACCGCGTTGGCGTGGTGAACGCCGATCCTTAAGGACTTTGCCCGGCTCATCTCTCCGCTCATCCCTTGCGTTCAATCCCCGCCCTCGACGCCTTTCAACGCCAACTGACGCCTTTCAACTCCACCCCGACGTTCGCTTGTATGGAACCAGATCGGCAACGACGTGACGCAGGTTGAGAATCAAGTCGAGGGTCAGGCGACGCAGGCGCGTTCTGTCATCTCACACTGGTTCCCATGCGACCCCCGCGTTGGCGTGGTGAACGCCGTTCCTTAAGAAGGACTTTACTTTCCCGGTGGTCCCCGTCAGATGCGACCGCGATCGCGCGGCGCGCGCCGTTCCTCAATCAGACTGCTTCCCATACGACCCCGTTCGCGTGGTGAACGCCGTTCCTTAAGGACTTTCTCTCCCGGCGCGCGCGCGCTCGTTTCTCTCCGCCCGCCGCTCCTCGCTCACGATCCCGACGCGCCTCGACGCCTCGCGACTCCTCCCGTCTGACGCCTCTCGACTCCTCCCCGACATCATTCATTCGTCGCCTCGCGCGGACCCTCCACCCTCCCCGCAGCTCGAGGACGTCGCGAAAAACACGGTCGCGAACACGGAGTCCGCCATCGCGAAGGGGAACTACGGCGGCGCCATCAGTGACGTCGCGTCCGGCGTCGAGACCGAGATCGCGGACACCGAAAAGGACGTCTCCGCGGACGAGACGCTCGTCGAGAACGACGCCGCGGGCATCGTCAAGGTGACGTTCTATACACTGGTCCCCGTACGACCCCGTCGGCGGGGTGAACGCCGTTCCTTAAGGACTTTTGCCGGCGCATCTCTCCGCCCACACCTCGCTTTCAATACCCGCCCTCGACGCCTTTCAACTCCACCTGACGCCTTTCAACTCCACCCCGACATTCGCTCGTATACGCGCGCAGAACGTCACCGCCGACGGCGAAAAGATCGTCGGCGACATCGCGTCCGGCGCGGAGTCGCTCGTCTCCGGCGCGGAGTCCACGCTCAGGCGCGTTCTATACAAAAGTGTTTCACCCATCGCCCGGTTTCAACACTTGATCGCCTCCCCTTTCAACTGACCGATGAACTATTTTTGTATGGAACGACCCTCAGCTCGTGGACGGGGGGGTGGCTGTGATCGTGCCATCCCGATCGGCGAGAGTGGAGAGGCGTCCGTCCGTCCGTCCTCGAGGGAGCGGGGGAGTTCTGACTAAATGCCCGCAGACGGTCGCGCGGGCGCGGGAGCGGGAGCGGCGCGTCTCGAGACGAATCGAGCCGACGACGCGCGATTCGCGACCGTCTGTTGCGCGTGCCCTCGCCGCGTTTTATATGTTTATATGTGTGCGTATCGTTCTTCTCTGCTGGGTACCTTCGAAGGTACCTTCGTGTACCTGTATTGTACAGTACGTGTACGAAGGTACAGTACTCTGTTTGTTAATAATAAGTTATTAAGTTCGTGGCTCGTCAAAGCTTACACGACGACCCCCTTCGCGACGTCAAACCACAATACTCCCAGCAACTGAGGGCCATTCCATACAAAAAACGTTCACCGGTCAGTTGAAAGGGAACGCGATCAAATGTTGAAACCGGGCGATGGGTGAAATACGTTTGTATAGAACGCACCTGACCAGCGGCCGATGATCGAGGAAGATTCCGGGTCCAGTCAGCAGCCTGCAGATATCTTTTTGATTTCGAAAGCGCCCACTGTCAGATCTGTCTGTGCCTCCCGCGCCAGTTCTCGCGCGCGCGCTTCGAACCGCGCGTCCCGCCGCGCGCATACCACCGCATCGCTCCTCGCGTCGATCCCTCATGGCCGCCGTCCGCGCGTCGCCGCTCGGCGCCGTCGCGTCGCGCGCGAACCCGCGCGCGCGCGCTTCTTCGATGGTCGGAGGACGCCCGCGAGTCGTCGTCGCGATCGCGAGACCCCGGGCCTCGAACCGTCGCCGCGTCGCGAGCGCGTCCGCGGACGCGTCGTCCTCCTCCGGCGCGCTCGCGGTCTCCTACCGGACCGACGCCGACGGCGCCGTCGTGTATCGATTCGGCGGCGAAGGCGACGACGACGACGACGACGACGCGTCGCGACGCGCGCGCGGAGAAGGTGAAGACGAGCGCGGATCATCCGACTTTGAGATCCTGCGCGCCGCGGACGGCAGCGTCATGTTCCGGTTCGCCGACGCCGCCGCGGACGCGTCCGCGGCGGTGAACAACGTCGTGACGCGCGTGGAGGACGACGTCGCGGCGACGGCGACGGCGACGGCGGCGGCGGCGGCGGCGGCGACGGCGACGACGACGACGACGAAGTCCTTAAGGAACGGCGTTCACCACGCGAACGCGGTCGTACGGGAACCAGTCACGACGACGGTCGGGGAGAAGGCGGAGGAACGACAAAAAATATCCGCCGGAAAAACCGCCGCGGCGGGCGCCGTCGCGGCGCCGCCGCCGGCGCGGCCGCCGCCTCGCGGCGGCGGGTCCGCGGACGCGCTGCGACCGCTCCCGCCCGCGCTGCGGCGGATGTCGGAGCTCGGCGTGCGGACCGTGCTCGACGGCGTGGAGTCGGCGTTTGAAACCGTCAGGCGCGTTCTATCGTCGCGCCGGTTCCCGTTCGTGCGCCGGTCCCCATACGACCGCGTTCGCGTTGTGAACTTCATTCCTTAAGGACTGCGACCGCGTTCGTTCGCGTCGTGAACGGCGATCCTCGAGGACTTTCTCTCCCGGCCGGCGCGCGTTTCTCTCCGCCCACTACGTACCCCTCGCCGCTTTCGATCCCGACGCGCCGCGACGCCTTTCGACTCGAGTCACACTGCTTCCCATACGACCGCGTCGGCGTTGTGAACTTCATTCCTTAAGGACTTTCGACTCCGCTTCTGACGCGCCCCCGAACTCCACCCCGACGTCGCCTCGCGCGGACCCTCGACCCTCAGGGCGACGTTCGGAGGCGGTCGCGAAGGCGCGGCGAAGTCGAAGGCGCCGCCGACGACGCCGTCGCGGCCGCGTAAAGCGGCGTCGGACCGCCCGGTGCGGATACCCACCGCGCCGAAGGATTCGCCGTGGGCGACGGTCGCCGCGGAGAGCGACGACGACGACGACGACGCGGCGGCGGCGGCGGCGATCGAGATCGAGGTCGACGAGACGGATCGCATCGAACCCGTGCCGTCCGAGTCCGCGTCGTACGCGTTGTACACGTTCAACACGATCGACGAGGAGGAGGAGGTGGTGGTGGTGGACGCGGCGGAGGACGGACGCGCGGAAAAAAACAGCGCCCGCCCGGGTTCGAAGCTCTCCGCGACGACCGTGAGCGCCGCGACGTTCCGTGCGAAATGGGGCGCGTACGGCGCCGTCGACGCGGTTTGTGCACTGGTCCCCATACGACCGCGTTCGCGTTGTGAACTTCATTCCTTAAGGACTTTTGCCGGCGCATATCTCCGCCCACACCTCGCTTTCAACGCCCGACCTCGACGCCTTTCAACTCCATCTGACGCCTTTCAACTCCACCCCCACCCCGAAGCGCGGCGCGTGGCGCCCGAAGCCGATCGACGTCGACGTTGGTGGTTTTCGCTTCGTCGCGTTCGTCACCCCGAAGTTCGTGAAGACGCTTCCGAGCGGCGACGTCGTCGTCGACGTCGTCGCGCGCGGCGGCGGGGGCGGGAGCGCCGCGGGGGGGGCGGCGGCGGCGGCGGCGGCGGGGGCGGCGTCCGAAGACGTCGGCGATCAGAGCACGATCATCGTGTGCGAGCCAAAGTCGGACGGGACGAACGTGTTCATGTTCGGGCTGACGCGCACGGTGCTTCCGAACGGGTGCGTGCTGTATAGTTTCCCGGGGGGGGGGAAGGCGCTCGGGCGGACGAGTTGACGCGACGGAAAGGCGCGGACGAGAGCGAGAGAGCGACGCGACGTCGCGACTGACGAATACGTGACTGTTGTGACTGTTACGAGTACACGTACACGTACAGTACGGTGATATCAGATACACAGTACGTGTACACGTACGGTGAGGACGCGCGACGAACCTATGACGATCGCCAACCCTCGACACCTTGCCTGTAGCATCAACGCCGATAATTCCGAGTGCTTCAAGCAGGCTTGAAAGGGGGAATTTGATACTGCAAGTCGGGTGAATCGTCCTCGGCGATTAGGGTCTGGTTTAAGTTTCACGTACTGTACAGGAACAACTTAGGGCAGGGTATTTAGTCTGAAAAGTACGGAAGTTCGGGATATTTCCAAGATATTTCTGGTTCGGGAACAGTTCGTGTACAGTTAACAGTGTACAGTAGACCGCGGACAGTAGACCGGCGCGAAGTACTTTCGTACTCCGGAAGTAGTGAGACTGTGTACTTGGACTACGCGTGTACTTTCGTACTGGACTACGCGTGTACTGTACTACGCGCGTCTCTGCCGCCGCCGCCGCCGCTCCCCGCGTCGTCCTCGCCCTCGCGCCGCGCCGCGCGCGCGCCGTCCTCCTCTTCCCCCCCTCCATCGCCAGTGAACACCTGTAACGCCTCCACGAGATGCGTTTTCACGCGCGCTCGCGTCGCGTCCGCCGCGCGCGACAGCGCCGCCGCCGCGTCTGCGGGTGCGTCCGGGGTGGTACGACAGGTACGCGCGCAGCAGGACACGTGATAATGTTCGTCGGTCAGTTGAAACTGAAGGGGTCGCGTCAAACGTCGACACGAAGGGCGGGTGAAAAGAATGTGCGCGCGCGTGCCGACAGAACGCACCCGCCGCCGCCGCCGCAGACGGAAACGACAGCACCCACCGCCCGTCCCTCAGCGCCCTCGCCCTGGAGCGCGACGATTCAGATCCCGAACCGTCGCGCCGCTCCTCGAGCTCGCGCAGGCTCGAGGCGGGCGACCTGCGTGGGTGAAGCGATCGGTCAGTCGAACGTCTTACCGGTCAAACGAACGTTGAAAGGGGAGCGCGGGTGAAGAGTGAAGACGGGAAAAGTCCTTAAGGAACGGCGTGCACCACGCGAACGGGGTCGTATGGGAAGCAGTCTCACCGCGCGCGGACGCGGAGCCACGTCGCGCGCGTCGCGTCGACGACGGCGTCGCACGTCAACGCGGGCGCGGAAGCTCGCGCCTTCCCGGTCGCCTCGTCGATCAGCGTCGCGCTCGCGACGACGTCGCCGCCGGCGGGACACGCGCGAGCGACGATCGCGAGGACGACGTCGCGCTCGTCGCCGACGTCGAACGCGACGCGGCAGCGACGCGTCGTATTCGTCGGCGTCGCGTTCGCCGCCGTCGTCTCTTCGCCGCCGCCGCGGAGAAAGCCGGCGACGCGATCTATACGTTCCATACGAGCGAACGTCGGGGTAGAGGCGTTCAAAGGCGTCAGAAGCGGAGTTGAAAGGCGTCGAGGTGTGCCGGGATTGAAAGCGAGGGGTGGTGGGCGGAGAGACACGCCGGGAAAAGTCCTTAAGGAATCGCGTTCACCACGCCGACGCGGTCGTATGGGAACCAGTGTGAGACAGAACGCGCCTCCGTCGCGAACGTCCAACGCGCGCGGGTCCTCCACGATCTCGACCGCGTCCACCATCCCGCGCATCGCCGTCGCGATCTCCGACTCGAGATCCCGCGCGTCGCGGCCGCGCCCGCGGCCGCGGAGGAACGACGACGTCGACGACGCCGGCGCGACGAACGCGGCGAGCGTCGCGAGTCGACGCGCCGCGGCGACGATCCTCGCGCCGGCGTGCGCGCTGTCGTCGTCGGGAGTCGAAGCGTCGCGACGGTTCGCGTCCTCCTCCTCCTCCTCCGCCGCCGCCGCCGCGGCGGCTTCCTCGGCGGCGGCGACGCAGATCGCGACCTCGGCGTCCGCGTCCCTCGTCCCCGCGCGCGCCGCCGCCGCCGCCGCCGCCGCCGACGACGCTTTTTCGAGCTCGGTCGCGAACGTCCGCGCGGCGACGTCCCCCCACGCGCCGTCCGCCTCGTTCGCCAGCGCCGCCGCCGCGTCCGCGAGCGCGCGTCTGGCGGCGGCGCGCCTCGCGAGTTCGCGCGCGCCGCCGAACCGCGCGAGTTTCTCGAGCGCATACTTCGCCGCCGCGCGCTTCGTCGGGGTCGTTCTGTACGAGCGAACGTCGGGGCGGAGTTGAAAGGCGTCAGGGGTGGAGTTGAAAGGCGTCGAGGTGTGTGCGTCGGGATTGAAACCAGCGAGGGACCCTGGGCGGAGAGAAACGACCGCCGGGAAGTAAAGTCCTTAAGGATCGGCGTTCACCACGCCGACGCGGTCGTACGGGGACCAGTGTGAGAACAGAACGCGCCTCAGACGCGCGGCGTCCACGAGGAGAACCTCCGCGAGCGCGTCCGAGAGGTCCTCGCGCTGTTCGCGCATCACGCGCGCGTCGACGTCGACGACGACGCGCGCGGAGGACGCCGTCGCCGCCTTCTCGTCCTCGTCCTCGTCCTCCGCGCCGAGCAACGCGGCGACGAAAACGCACGCCGCGGACGCGTTCTTAGGTCCATTCCATCGTTCAAAGCGATGTCGGGGTGGAGTTCATAGGCGTCAGATGGAGTTGAAAGGCGTCGAGGTGCGTCAGGATTGAAAGCGAGGGACCCTGGGCGGAGAGAAACACACCCCGGCGAGCAAAAGTCCTTAAGGAACGGCATTCACCACGCGAACGGGGTCGTACGGGGACCGGCGTAAGATAGAACGCGCCTCGCCCCCGCCTCGCAGCGCGCGAACCAGACCGCCGCACGCGTCGACGTCGCCGACGGTGTGGTCGAGCAAGCGCCCGCGGAGACGAGCGTCGCGGACGCCCGCGGCGAGTCGCCCGAGGACGAAGCACGCCGTCGCGACGGAGATGGAGGTGGTGGACGACGGGCGTCCCGCGTGAGGGCCGTTCTATACAAGCGAACGTCGGGGTGGAGTTGAAAGGCGTCGGTTGAAGTTGAAAGGCGCCGAGGACGGGGATTGAAAGCGAGGGCTGGGCGGAGAGACACGCCGGGAAAAGTCCTTAAGAAACGGCGTTCACCACGCCAACGCGGTCGTATGGGGACTAGTGTATAGAACGCACCTGAGGCGACGTCGGGGCGGCGTCGGCGTCTTCGCCGCCGCCGCCGCCGTCGTCGTCGTCGCCGCGAAGGGCCGGGAGCAACGCGCGCGCGACGAGCCCGTCCCATATCTCGTTCGACGCGGCGGCGGCGAAAGAGAGCGGGGGGGAGGCTGAGACGGCCTCTCTCTGGGCGGGTCCCGCGTCGTCGTCGCCGTCGCCGTCGCCGTCGTCGTCGTCGCGCAGCTCCGGCGTTCTATACGAGCGAACGTCGGGGCGGAGTTGAAAGGCGTCAGAAGCGGAGTTTAAAGGCGTCGAGGTGTGTGCGTCGGGATTGAAAGCGAGGGACCCTGGGCGGAGAGAGACGACGGGAAGTAAAGTCCTTAAGGATCGGCGTTCACCACGCCGACGCGGTCGTATGGGGACCAGTGTGAGATAGAACGCGCCGCAGCGCGTCGTCCAGGTGCGCGATCAGGTCGCGCAGCTCCGAGACGGCCCGCGACCGACGCGGCTTCTTCCCACCCGCCGCTGCCGCGTCGTCCCCGCCCCACCCGCACGCGTCGATTCGCGCGCACAGCGCGACGACGCGCCTCGTCGCCGCCGGCACGTGCGGCGCCCACCCGCGAGGGGACAGCAGGTACTCCCGCGTCGAGCGGTCGCGCGTCGCGCACGCTCTGAGAGTGTTTGCCCGTACGAAGCGACGTCGGGGTGGAGGCGTTCAGGGGTGCGTCAGGCGGAGTCGAAACGCGTCGCGGGGTGGGCGGAGAGAAGCACACGCCGGCCGGGAGAGAAAGTCCGAGAAAGTCCTCAAGGAATCGCGTTCACGACGCGAACGCGGTCGTACGGGGACCAGTGTGAAAACAGAAACCGGCGTGAGATATCGTATCATCAGATTGAACGCGCCTGAGCACGACCCAACGCGCGGCTGTCGTTCGCATCCGCTCGCGGTCCTCGTCGTCGTCGTCGTCGCCGCCGCCGCCGCCGCCGCCCGCGAACGCGAACGCCGCCGCGCGCTCGTACAACGGGAACGAGCGCCCGCGCGCCTCCCCGATGTCGCCCGCCGCCGCGGTCGCCGCGTCCGCGTCTCCCCCTGAGGGTAATCGTCCATACGAAGCGAACGTCGGGGTGGAGTTGAAAGGCGTCAGAAGCGGCGTTGAAAGGCGTCGAGGTGTGACGGGATTGAAAGCGAGGGACCCTGGGCGGAGAGAGGCGACGGCAAAAGTCCTTAAGGAACGGCGTTCACCACGCGAACGCGGTCGTATGGGAACCAGTCATACCTAGGAAAAACTGCGCGACGCCATCCTCCTCCAGCCTCGCCGCGATCGTTCGCAACACGGAGACGTACCGCGAGCGAAGGTCGTCGTCGCGTCGCAGCAGCGCGTCGTCCAGCTCGACGACGCCGTCCAGCCTCCCTCCGCCGAGGACGTAAAACGAGCGCGTCGATCTCGCGCGAACGCTCTGCACGACGATCGCGACCGCGACGAGCGCTTTCGAGGCGAACGCGACGCGCGCGTCGTCCTCGCGCGCGTCCGCCCTCGCCCTCGCCCTCGCGCCGACGCCGCCGACGCCGTCGCGCGCGTCGCCGATGGCGTCGCGCGCCGCCGCCGCCGCCGCCGCCGCGTCGCGGCCGCACTGGCGCAGCAGGCGAACGACGTGCGTCAGCGATCCGAGCTCGGCGAACGCGTCGAACGTCGTCTCCGCGTCGCCGCCGTCGCCGCCGTCGCCGCGCGCGACCGCCGCCGCGACGACGCGCGCGGCGTCCGCGAGGGAGGAGACGTTCGCGCTCGTCGCGCGCTTCGCGCGCGCGAGCGTCGAGGTCGCGCGCTCGAGGTCGGCGAGCGAGGGAGGCGCGGACGACGACGACGACGACGACGACGACGACGGCGCGGGCGCGGACGACGATCCCGCGCGGGAGAGCAGCGCGCGCGCGGCGGAGAGCATCTCGACCTCCGGCCGGCGACGCGGGGGGGAGGGCGGAGGGGCGCGCGCCGCCGCGGTGGACCCTCGCGCGCGCGCGAGGGTGCGACGCGCGCGTCGTTCGTCCGCGTCCGCGCGAGGTTGCGAGTGCCTAGCGAGTGCCTAGCTAGCTTAGGTGTTCAAGTCAGTATCTTATTTCTGTCTGTCTTGAGGTGACCCACCGCTCAGTTTCAACATTTGATCGCGTCTCCTTTCAACTGACCGGTGAACTTTTTTAATGGAATTTCCTTCATCAATTCTAAATACAGTGAGTTGTTCTGCATCAATGCGGCTTCAATCATTCAACATTCGACCGCGACGACGTTCAACCGAAGCCTATCAACCCGGCCACCGCCCGCGGTCGAGCGCGCGAACGAGCCCGGGCGCCGCCGCCGCCGACGACGACGACGATCCCCCCCCGGACGCCGCGAGCTTCCTCGCGAGCGTCGCGTACGCCGCGCTCGGCGTGGGCGGCGGTCGACGTCCCACCGCCGCGGCGCCCGCGCCCGCGCCCGAAGACGCCGCGAAGGCGAGACCGCGCCCTCCTCTCACGCCGTCCTCGTCGCGTCCGCCGCCGCCGCCGCCGCCGCCGCCGCGCGCGACGCGCGTCGCGAGCTCGCGCTCCAGCGCGGCCGCCCTCGCGGCCTCCTCCTCGCACCTCCGCTCCGCGTCGCGCGCTCGCCGCTCGCTCTCCGTCGCGCGATTCGCGGCGGCGGCTCTGAGGGCGTTTGCACACGCGAAGCGACGTCGGGGTGGAGTTCGGGGGCGCGTCAGAAGCGGAGTCGAAAGTCCTTAAGGAATGAAGTTCACAACGCCGACGCGGTCGTATGGGAAGCAGTGTGACTCGAGTCGAAAGGCGTCAGATGATGGAGTTGAAAGGCATCGAGGTGTGTCGGGATTGAAACCAGCGAGGAGTGGTGGGCGGAAAGATGCGCCGGGAAGTATTTTTGTCCTCAACGAACGACGTTCACCACGCCGACGCGGTCGTATGGGAACCAGTGTGACCAGAACGCGCCTGTCGCGCTCGGCGTCGGACAACGCCTTCGCGGCGTCTTCGACGACGCGGAACATCTCTCTCTCTCTGGCGCGCGCGTGCGCGATCGCGGTCGCGAGCTCGCGCGCGGTCGCGTCGTCGACGCGCGCGGAGCCAGGGCCGGAGCCGGAGCCGGAGCCGGAGCCGCGAGCGCGCCCCGAGCCGCCCTGCACTCGCGAAGAAAAGACGTCGGCGGCGGCGCCGCCGCCGCCGCGAACGCCGCCGTCGCGATCGCGCGCGACGGCGTCGCGCGCGATGCCGAGCGCGCGCTCCAACGCGCGTATCCTCGCCCTCGCGTCCGCCGCCTCCCTCGCGACGCGCGTGGCGTCGATCAAAACCTCCTCGAGCGCGCGCTCCGCCGTGACGGCGGCCGCGCGGCGCGTCGATCCTCCGGCGGGGGCGCGCCCCCCCGCCGCCGCCGGCGCCGGCGCCGACGCGCGCGGCGCCGCCGCCGCGCGTCGTCGCGCTGTCGCGAGAGGCGGCGTCGGACCCGCGCCCGCGCCCGCGCGCTCGAGTCGCTCGAGTCGCTCGACGCGCGACGCGTCGGGGGGGCGGAACACGGACCCGCCCGCGGACGCGCGAGGGCGCGACGACGGCGGCGGCGGCGTCGACGACGACGGGAACCGGAACCGATCGTCGTCGTCGTCGTCGTCGTCGTCGTCGTCGTCGCCGTCGCCGTCGCGCGGCGACGACGACGACAGGACCGCGCGGAGCGCGCGGAGCTTCTCCGTCGCGCCCGGGCCGAGCGCGCGATAGCGATCGCGATGCCGCGACGACGACGACGACGACGACGCGCGCGGCGTCCGCGGCGAGCGCGCGGGGGGCGCGATCGACGCGCGCGGGCTCGCGCGCCGCGGCACCTCGTCTCCGCGCGCTCGCAGCGCGGCGACGGACGCGCGCAGGGCCTCGTTCGCGCTCGCGCGGTCGCGCCCGACCGCGATCGCGCGCTCCGCGCGATCGCGCGTCCCCGGCGACGCGTCCCACGGTTTTTGCGCGGGGTGGATGGGCATCGCGCGCCCGCGCCCGACGGTCTGCGGCGCGGGCGGCGACGATCGCGAGAATTGCTGACACGTTTTCCGAGAACGGGGACAAAAAGCGGTCGCCAGGCCAAAATTTGTCTCGGCGTCTCCCAGACGCGTCGCTCCGCCACTCCGCCCCGCGCGCGACTCGACCGTCCGCTCTCGACGTGCGCGCCGTCGAGTCGCTCGCCGCTCGCTCGCCGCCGCCGCCGCCGCCGCGCGCGAACGACGAGGCGACCGAAGCGGCCGACGAGGTGGACGAATCTGACGGGAGGCGCCTCCGGCCCCGCCCGCCCGCTCGCCGAATATAGGCACTGCGCTCTTCGCGACGACGCGGACGCGACGACGCCCAAATGCCGCCGCCTAAGCCGAAGAAGCCGCCGCCCGAGCCGCCCGCCGCCTCGACCGCGGCGGACGACGCGACCGCGATCGCGATCGCGCGCGAGGAGCGCGCGCTCGCGGACCGCCGCTGTCGCGACGTCGCGGCGCGCGCGACGCACGCGGCGACGTCCCAGCGCGCGAGGGACGTCGACGCGGAGTGCGAAGAGCTGCGCGCGCGTCTCGCGGCCGCGTCGTCGTCGCTCGCGCGCGTCGGCGCGGACCTCCGCGCGCGTCTCGAGCGCGAGGACGACGCGCTCGACGACGCGACGGCGCGCCTCGCGCGTCGCGCGAGCGACCTGAAGGCGCTGCGCGTCGCGAACGAGGCGGCGTTGAGGTGCGTATTTTATCTCATCACACCGGTCCCTGCGCGACCGCGTCGTCGGCGTGGTGAACGCCGATCCTTAAGGACGTTTCCACCCGGCGTATTGTGTTTCTCTCCGCCCACCACCCCTCGCTTTCAATCCCGACGCACACGCCTCCCTCGACGCCTTTCAACTCCGCTTCTGACGCCTTTCGACTCCGCCCCGACGTCGCGTACGGACAATCACCCTCGACCCCGAGGGATTCGCGCGCGGATGCCATCGCGGAGGAGACGCGCCTGCGCGACGAGACGGCGGCGTTCGACGCGTCGATCGCCGACCTCGAGACGTTCGCGGCGACGCGCGGCGCGCTCGAGGACGAGCTCGGGGAGAAGCGAGCGCTGCTGAGCCAGAGACGCGTCGCGCACGCGGCGAGGCTGGAAGAGATCAGGCGCGTCCGACCGGTGACCCACCGCTCAGTTTCAACATTTGATCGCGTCTCCTTTCAACTGATGACCGGTGAACCACAATATATCTGTATTGAATGGTTTCCGCGCGACCGACCGCGTCGAGAAGGACTTCTTTCCTTTCCCGTCAGTCCTTTCGTCTCTCCGCCCCCACCCCGACGCGCGCGCCGCGACGCCGCCCGCCTCGCGATTCCGACTCACCTCGACGCTTCTTCGTCGCTTCTTCGTCCGTGCTGTGTGGGCAATTACCCTCGTCAGGCTGCGCGCGTCGGAAGAGTTGGACGCGGCGCGAAAAGAGCACGCGAAGACGTTTAAAGGCGCGTCCCGTGCACTGGTCCCCGTACGACCGCGTTGGCGTGGTGAACGCCGATCCTTAAGGACTTTATCTCCCGGCGCGTCTCTCCGCCCAGGGTCCCTCGCTTTCAATATCCGCCCTCGACGCCTTTCAACTCCGCTTCTGACGCCTTTCAACTCCACCCCGACGTCGCTTCGAACGGACCCTCGACCCTAAAGCCGTCAAGACGAACATGAAGGCGTGGACGGACGCGCGACTGGAGGAGGGGACGAAGCGGACGATCGCGGAGAACGCGCAGATGCGCGGCGAGCTCGCGTATCAGTCGGAGCACACGAATAAGATGTCCGTGATGGACGAGCAGAGGGGGAAGAGCGCGACCAAGGCGCGCGACGCGACTCGACTATCTCACGCCGGTCCCTGTACGACCGCGTTCGCGCGGTGAACGCCGTTTCTTGAGGACTTTCGCCGTCTACGTCCCCGCGCGACCGTCCCGACTTCGCGGTGTTTCGCTTCTCCTAAACCACCCTACGCCCTAAACCCTAAAAACCCCTATGCATCTGAACCCTACGTGTAACCACAGGCGGCGACGGCGCTGAGCGTCGCGCGGCGCGTCGAGACGGAGCACGCGTCGCGGAACCGAGCGTACGCGTCCCATACACTGGTCCCCATACGACCCCGTCGGCGTGGTGAACGCCGATCCTTAAGGACTTTTCCCGGCGCATCTCTCCGCCCACCCCTCGCTTTCAATCCCCGTCCTCGACGCCTTCAACTCCAACTGACGCCTTTGAACTTCGCCCCGACGTCGCTTTGTATGGAACGACCCTCAGGTACGCGCGTTCGGCGAAAACCTTGCGTCGCAAACTCGCCGAGCAAGCGCGCCAATTCGAGCTCGAGCGCGCGCTCGACGACGAGAAAGCGCGCGAGCTGTTCGAGACGCGAAATCGCGCGAGGGAGCTCGAGCGGGATCTGCGGGCGTGGGACGGCGCGTCGAGCGCGACGGCGGCGATCGCGGCGCGGCTGCGGTCGGCGAGGGACGCGTCGCCGCCGCCGACGCGCGCCGACGCGGGGATGACGGAGCGCGCGTACGCGCGCCTCGGCGGGGCCCAGCTGGGTGTGGCGTCAGCGAACGAAGACGGCGGCGGCGACGGCAGCCTCGAGGAGGAGCGGGAACGGCGCGCGACGACGCGCGAGGGAGGAGGAGGAGGAGGAGGAGGAAGCGGCGCGGGGCGCGGTCCGGCGGGTGCGTTCTGTACACTGGTCCCCATACGACCGCGTCGGCGTGGTGAACGCCGTTCCTTAAGGACTTTGCCCGGCGTTTTTCTCCGCCCAGGGTCCCTCGCTTTCAATCCCCGCCCACGACGCCTTTCAACTCCACCTGACGCCTTTCAACTCCACCCCGACGTTCGCTCGTATGGACAATTACCCTCAGCGGCGGCGGCGAGCGCGGACGGGCGCGCGGCGGCGGCGAGGGCGGGCGCGCAGCGCGAGTGCGCGGCGCTTCTCGTTAGATGCGCGAAAGACTTGGAGGAAGACGCGGGCGAGGACGCGGGGTGGCGGAGAGACGCGCTCGCGCGACTCGCGCGCGCGTTGACGGACGGCGGCGGCGGCGGCGACGACGAAAACCAAAACCTCGTCGACGACCAAAACCAAAACCAAAACCAAAAGTCCTTAAGGATCGGCGTTCACCACGCCAACGCGGTCGTATGGGAGCCAGTCCAAAACGACGACCACAACGACGAGGCGTGGCGCGTCCTTCCGCCGCCGCCGCGGACGTCGCCCGCGTCGCCGCGATCCGACTACGTCCCCGGCGCCGGCGCGACGAAGACGCTCGACGCGACGGCGCAGACGCGCGCGGTCGGTCGATGGCAAGAGCGTTCGCTGGACGCGTCGTCGTCGTCGTCGACGCGCACGCCGACGGCGTACAGTCGCGACAACGACGTCTTCACCGACGCGGGGTTGAAGCGCGCGACGTACCGGCTGTCGGGACGCCGGCGGCGGTGAGCGGCGGCGGTGGCGGCGGCGTCGGCGGCGACGACGCGCGGGTTTCGACTCGGTGAAGCGCGACTGACGTGACGCATAAGATATCTTCGTGAGGTTATTATTATTTCGCGCGCGTCGCCGCCTCTCCGCCGGCGCCCCTCCTCTCACGCCGCGGCTTCCTCCGCTAACATCTCCTTCGCCTTTTCCTTCTCGTCCACGTCCACCGGGACGCCGTCTGAGGGCCATTCCATACAAAAACAGTTCACCGGTCAGTTGAAAGGGGCCCACGCGATCAAAGGTTGAAACCGAGCGGTGGGTGAAAAACGTTTGTACAGAACGCACCTAGTTTCACGAGCTGCGGCACGCGTTTCAAAACTTCGATGCGGTACTCGCTCCCGAGGCTCTGCGCGTCCTCCGACGCCGTGTACACCGGGTTCCCCACCAGCAGCAGCTCTGATGATAGAGTCGTTCCAGGGTACAAAAAATGAAACGTTCATCGGTCAGTTGAAAGGGACCCACGCGATGTATAGTGTTGAAACCGAAGAACGCCGGGTGAAATACGTTTGTTATTTGCACGGAACGCGCCTGATAAATTCGCCAGCGACGACAACTTCTCGAGCTCTTTAAAGTCCGCCACCTTGTTGTTGCTCATGTACAGCACGCGGAGATTCGTGAGCTTGTCGATGTTCGTGAGCTTCTCGATGTTGTTGTACGAGATCCACAGTTCCTCGAGCGTGGCCGCCACGCCGTCCAAGTTTTCGATCTTCTTGATGAGATTCTTTCCGAGGCTGATGGTGGAGTTGAAAGGCGTCAGAAGTGGAGTTGAAAGGCGCCGAGGTCGGGTATTGAAAGCGCGGGGTGGGTGGAGAGAGACGACGGCAAAAGTCCTTAAGGAACGGCGTTCACCACGCGAACGCGGTCGTGCGGGGACCAGTGTGAATACAGAAGAACGCGCCTCAAGATCTTCAGGTTGTCCAGGCCGCTCAGCGCGCTGATCTTCTCGATGTTGTTCGTGCTCAGGGACAAGTGCGCGCACGCCTTGAGCGTCGAGAGCGACCCGTCCATCTTCTCGATCGGCGGGACCTTCGCGAAGAGGAGAACCTGCGGTCGGGAGAAGGACGACGGGGGGAGGAGGACGGTCGGTCGCCGCTTCATTCGCTCGCTCCTCGCGACGATGATTTCGAACGCGCGGGGCGCGCGCGCGGAGAGAGACAGAGGGAGAGAGAGAGAGAGAGACGGACGACGCGTCGCGCGCGATGCGCACCTTCTCTTGCTCCGCGGCGACGACGCCCTTCTCCGCCTCTAACGCCTTGATCGCGTCCTTGCACGTCGTCGCTTTCGCCATGGCGACCGTCGCTAAGCGAGGAGATGGAGGAGTGTTGTGTGCGGTACCCTTATCGGGCGCGCGCGACGACGCGCGAACGGCGACGACGACGACGACGACGAATGCGAACGCGAACGGCGACGCGCGCTCGCTCGCTTCGAACGCGGCGCGGAGACGGCGACGCGGGGAGCGAGGGGGGAGGGGGGGACGCGCGGTGGGCGTTCGACCCGCGCGACGCGACGTTGTGATGCGCCCGCGGCGGTCGAGCCCGCCGGTTTGCGCGGGACAGGACGACGACGACCAGCGCGACGTGTACGTGAACAGTACGAAAGTACGAAAGTACGTGTGTACGGTGGGGTGCCCGACTTTGACCCGTGGCTTGGCTTGAAATGTCGTTTGGTCTTTTGTTATTGAAAGGAGAATTATTCGTTTTCATCGCGCCGGACGAACGAACGCCTCGGACGAACTTTGTGTGACGCGAGAGCCGACGGTCTGTCCGTCCCCAGAATGGACGGCGCGACGGCCGCCGCCGCGACCACCGCCGCGGCCACCACCGCGCGCTGGCGCGCGATCGTGGACGCGTTCGCCGCGGGCGACGGCGCGAAGGCGGTCGCGGAGGAGAGGAGGAGCTCCGCCGGCGTCGACGCGGAATCGAATTCCGGCGGATCCAACTGCAGCACTCATTCGCGCGACTCGGAGTCGCTGACCCTGGACGAGCTCTCGAAGGACGAGCGCGCGCTCGTGCACGAGCGCTGTCGCGCGTTGGGGCTCGGAAGTCGAAGCGAGGGCGACGACGCGTCGGGGACGCGCGTGGTCACGATATTCCGAAGAAGAGACGTCGCGGCGACGACGACGACGACGACGAAGACGACGAAGACGAAGACGACGACGATGCCGGCGGCGCGCGCCGTCGCCGAGGACGACGACGACGACGACGACGACGCGCGCGTCAGCGCGCACGACGACTCGCTCATGGACCTCCGCGACGCGCCGTTCGACGTGTACCGCGCGCTGAAGATCCCCCGGCGCGACGGCGGCGGATACGGCGGCGGCAACGCGCGCGCGCGCGCGAGCTACCATCGCGAGATCTCGCGCTGCCATCCGCGCGACTTCCCCCCGGGGCAAGGCTCGTGCCACGGCTGCGGCGGCGTCTTGAAACCCGGGCGGTGGTTCCACCGCCCGTCGCCGTGCGCGGCCGCGGAAGAGGGCGCCGACGGCGGCGGGGTGGAAGAAGACGGAAGGGTCGCCGTCGCGCGCAGCCTGAGGTGCGTTCTATACGACACCGGTCCCCACGCGACCGCGTCGGCGCGGTGAACGCCGATCCTTAAGGACTTTTTCTCCCGGCGCATCTCTGCGCCCACGCCACGGTTTCAATCCCGACACACCTCGGCGCCTTTCAACGCCACTTCTGACGCCTTTCAACTCCACCCCGACGTTCGCTCGTATGGACAATTACCCTCAGCGGCGGACGACGCGATCTGTGCCCGCCGTGTCGCGCGCGCGAATCGTCCAAACGGAAGGTCTGGACCCGCGACGACGACGACGACGACGAGACGACGACGACCTCGTCCGCGACCGCGTTCGTGAAGATAAACGCGCTCGCGGATTTAGGAGGGGAACGAGGCGTGTACGACGCGGCGCTTCGCGGCGCGTACATGGAGGTGCGTTCATATTATTTATTACACTGGTCCCCATACGACGGCGTCGGCGTGGTGAACGCCGATCCCTAAGGACTTCACTTCGCCCGGCGCATCTCTCCGCGCACCCCTCGCGTTCAATCCCGACACACCGCGTTCGACGCCTTTCAACTCCGCTTCTGACGCCTTTGAACTCCACCCCGATATCATCGCTTTGAACGGACCCTCGACCCTGATGAAGCGGCGGAGGAAACTCGCGGCGGAGACGGCGCGCGCCAACGCGCGGGCGATCGCCGCGGTCGCGGGGCCGGCGGCGCGCGCGCACATGGACGACGACGACGATGATGATGATGACGACGACGACGATGATGATGATGATGATGATGATGATGATGATGATAACGCCGCATTAAATGCGTTATCGGAAGATGGAACGTCAACCGTCGCGACCAGAGAGGGCGGATCGGAACAGACGCGTTTCGCGCGCGCCGTGCTCAAATTCCATCGCGTCACCGTCGCGTATCTGATCCTGAGAGACCGCGAGCGCACGGCGGTGCTCGACGCCCACGGCTGGAGAGCGCTCGTGAGGCACGAGAGTTATCTGAGCGAGGACGTGTTCGATTGCGATCCGTGGGACGTGTACGAGCGGTTCTTCGCGGGCGAGGACCCCGCGGACCGCGAGTACCTTTTGATGAACGGCGGCGACGACGACGACGACGACGACGACGAGGGGGACGGTGAGACAGACTGCTTCCCATACGATTCCGTTCGCGTGTCGATCGTCGTTTCTTAAGGAGTTCTATCGCGCGCTATGAACCTCACGTTTTGACGCGTGGGAACGCTATCCACCAATCACATGCACGCGCGACTGACACGTGTCTTCCCTCGGCCTATCACAGCAGCCGGCGGGGCCGGCGACGAAGACGACGGCGAAGGCGAAGGCGAAGCCGACGACGACGACGCGTTCGTCGAGGTCGCGCTCGCGAAAGCGAAGCATCAGCGGTTCGAGACGACCGCCGGCGCCGGCGAACCGAACCAGAACGCGACCGATGTCGACGCCGCGAACGCCGACGCCGACGCGCCGCCGCCGAACCCGCCGGTTTCGGTGCTGATGGCGAATCCGTCGATCGCGACGCGGTGAGACTGCTTCCCATACGACCCCGTTCGCGTGGTGAACGCCGATCCTTAAGGACTTTCCCCGTCGTCACTCTTCACCCGCGCTTCCCTTTCAACGTTTGACCGGTAAGACGTTCGACTGACCGATCGCTTCACCCACGCAGGTCGCGCGGCTTTGGCGGCGACGACGACGCGCTCCCTGGTCTGAGCGGCGGGGACGTGTGGGCGGCGATGGCGAGAAGGTACGAGGAAGAAGGCGGCGGGGGGTGCGGGGGGGAAGAGGAGGATGGAAAGGAGGAGGAGGAGGAGGAGGAGGAGGAGGAGGAGGAGGCCGAGTCTGACGACGACGACGACGACGACGACGACGACGACGACGAGAGCGATTCCGATGGACCCCCGGAGGAAGAGATCGGGACGAAGCGCAAGCGCGAGGACGACGACGACGACGACGCCGCCGACGCCGCCGCCGACGACGAAGCTTAGACTACGTTTTGATAGCGCTATGATATCACTGGAACCACGATCAGCGTTGATGCGACAGAGTTATTCCGAGGGGATCGACCCTTCGCCTTCAGCGACCACGCGTGCGACATCGGTTAAAAGTAAATAATTGAAATTGCATACTATGTACAATTATATAAGGATAGACTCGGAGGTACTGACGGTCGACGCGTTCGCGCTTTCGCGCTTTCGCGCCCGTCGAAGTAGAGCTACTTATATAAGGGCGCCTTGCCAGGCTCATGTTCATGTCACCCCTTCCACACTCTCGTCCGTTTTAGATATGTACACACGCACGACCCGGAGGCCACGCGCGATGAAGCGCAAATACTCAGTGGTCGTTCGCTCACGCGTGCACGGCGCCGTACTTGGTACCCTCGACGAGGAGCGTCTCTTCGTCCGCCCCGACGCGGCGGCGCCGGTCGAGTCGAGACTTGCTCAACGCGGCGCCCGCGACGGCGGCGACGGCGGCGAGCGCGAGCGCGGGCGCGCCGACGCGCAAAGCCGCGGACGACGAGAATCGAAGCGCAGCCCCGAGCGCGGACGCCGTCGTGGCTTCGTGACCGGTCACGTCGATGGTGATGGCGGGATTCAACTTGATGATCTTGTCGCGAATGGCGTTCACGTGGGCGATCTCTTCCTTCACGACCTTGGTCTTCTCGATGACCTCGTCGTGCTTCTTTTGGTAATCCGCGACGTATTCCATGATGAGCGTCGAGTTCGTCGCGGGAGTCTCGCCGAGCGCGGCGCCGCGGGCGGCGGCGGCTGACGCGTCCGAGCCGCAGTCCACGACGGGGACCGGCGTGTGTCCGACCATCAGGTCGACGATCTCGCCGCGCTTCACGCGAAGATAGTCGATCTCCTTTTGCAGTTCCGTGGTGTCTGCGATGACTTTGTCGTGCGCCTTCTGGAACTCCGCGACGAGGTCCACGGCGTCCGTCGACGTCGACGCCGCGGCGTCGCCGAGACCGGAAGTCGCGTTCTCGCCGACGGTCACGTTGTCCACGCTGAGCGCGCTCATGTCGATGACGGGGAGCGGGGGGTCGTCCACGGTCATGTTGATGAGCGCCTCGCGCTTCTCGCGCAGGTTGGCGAGCTTCGTGCGGACCTCTATGGCCTCCGTCGTCAACGCTTGGTTTTGCGCGAACACTTCGTCGTGCTCGGCCGCGTATTCCGTGATTTTTTGCATGATCGCGGTGCCTTCGAACGTCGAGCTTTGTTCGCCCGACGTCGATACAGTATCGGCGCTGTCGACTCCGCGGTTCATTCGATAGAAATACACACCGGATTTTGCCATAACAACGATGGTTGAGCCTTCGCACGCGACGGACTTGCCGAAGTGATCTTGCGCCGCGCCGTCCGCCGCGGTGAGCTTGTCGACCTGCACGAACGCGCCGTCGTCGGCGTCCTTCTCGAACACGTACACGGACCCGGAGTTGGCCCACTTGTCGTCGTCATATATCGCGCCGACGACGATGGTGGAGCCGCATACCGCGACGGAGTAGCCGAAGTAATCGGACGCCTCGTAGTCCTTCGAGATGAGTACATGCTCCTTCTTGCTGCCGTCAGCTTGCTTTTCATAAGCTTTGAGGCCGTCGGAGAGCAACATGACGGTGATGGAGCCGGTTGTAGCTAATGATAATATTTTCCAGTTACCAGGGAGTTTGATAGGGGACCCGACATCTGTTATCCCGACACCCGGGTTATACTCTAACTCGTGTAAGTTATAAATGTCGGCGGCGAAGACAGTGGAGCCGGAGAGTGCCATGTACTGTCCTAGGTTCACTCTGGGTGTTGGACCCCGATATTCTCCAGTCAGCGTAACATTCTCGTATTTGTGTGCTCCCACCTCGTAAAGGAACACCTTGCCGTGTGCGTAAGAGTTAACATCGTCCCGATCGCTGGTGATGATCACATCGCCGTCGATCGCGGCATTGCCTTGCCCGGCAATAGACTTGAGGAGCGCAGAGCTGCCATCGTCACCCAATTCGTAAACGTCAGTCGTCTGGCTGTACCACATGCTGGTGTCAGGGTACTCGGTCCCCCGGATGACGATGGAGCCGGAAAGCCCGCGGACGTCGTTTTTGCTCTGCGTACCGTCCGGGATCGTCGCGGTCTTTGTCACGTTGCCGTTTGTGCCCATTTTCCATACGACCATGCCGCCGCTAGAAGTACCGCCGACGATTGTGGAGCCAGACAGTGCGACGGATGTGACAAGCGACATACCTGAATTTGTATTGTCATACTTTCCAATCTGCGTCGCCTCGAACGGCTCGTCCGCCGCGCGTACGCCGGCGACGCACGAGATCGCGAAGATGAACGCGAAGAAGAGCGCGCGGGTCACGAACCCGGAGGAACTCCCGCGGTTGTCGCGCTTCTGAAGACGACGAGAAGAGAGGACGGCGGGTGGGAGACGTGACGTTCGTCGTCAGTACGAGGAACGCTCGCGAGCGGGCGGCGGATTTAAAAAAAAAACCGTTCCCGAAACTGTTCCGCAACTGAAGTCGCGTCTCGAAGCGCGAACAGATTTGTGATGATGATGATTTGTGCGCGAAAGGTCGCGCACGATTATTGAAAACCTGGGACCGGACACTTCGGAACGGTTCGTTCACGCGACGACGCGACGACGCGATCGCGTGGACGGGGGTGTCAACGGGACGACACGCACCGTGGAAGGCATCTTCGTCGTGAAATCGACTCGACGGCTCGCGCTTGAGGGGAAGGGAGCGCGCTTTCGGAGCACGATTTGACGCGGGATCGGTGGAAACCACGAAAAAGGTCCGGTCGATCGATCGACGGGCGCGGAAAGCGTTCTGTCGCGCGCGACGCGACGGTGTTTGTTCGCGTGTGCGCGCGGAGCGTCGATGCGAACGCGGGCGGGCGGTGCACTTCAGGTCACCGGTCGATGCGGCGGTCGCGATGCGTGCGACCGTGCGTCGGGAAGTGTGCCTCGTGCGGAGGGAAAGGCCTACTGTAAGTTGTCCGAACCAGAAATATATCGCCGCGGACGATTTCATCACCCGACCTCCGGTATCAAATTCCCCCTTTCAAGCCCGCTTGAAGCACTCGGAATAAACGGCGTTGACGCGACAGAGGCGAGGGTCACGGTCAACCCTTTCCTCCAGTGCGGTCGCGGGTCGCGCGACCAGAGGGAGACGCGCCGAGGACGACGCGGTGGCTTCGTCGTCCGTCGCGCTCGCGCGCGCGACTTCGGCGTCGGCGTCGGCGTCGGCGTCGGCGTCGGCCACCCCGCGCGCGCGATCGTCGGCGTCGGCCGCGTCGTATCATTAGGATGCGCGCGCGCCTCTTTCGTCGCTCGCTCACGCGCGCCCGTCCCCCGCGCGACTCCGCTCGCGCTGGATCTCGTCGATCGCTCACGCGCGCCCGTCCCCCGCGCGACTCCGCTCGCGCTGGATCTCGTCGATCGCCCTCCGCCGTATGAGCCTCCGGCCGTAGTGCGCGACCGCCAGCGCGCCCGCGGGCGCGGTGCACACGATCGCGAGCACGCCGAGCGACAGCACCGTCTTCCCTCGATCGTACGCCGTCTGCGGGGTGAACTCGATCGATCGCGGTCGGGTGTTCATCGGTCAGTCGAACGGCACCGGTCGCGGTGAAACGTCACGTCGAAAGGGAAGCGCGCGTCGTGAAGAGAGAGAACGTCCTCGAGAGACGACGCGCGACGCGCGACGCGCGAACGGGAGGGATCGCACGTATGGCGAGCAGTCTGAAGAGAGAAGAAGAGAAAAAAACGCGCCTCCCCGGCGACGCCGCCGCTCGCGACGGCGGCGTCCAACGGAATCGCGCTGAGGGTAATTGCCCATACGAAGCGACGTCGGGGTGGAGTTGAAAGGCGTCAGTTGAAGGAGTTGAAAGGCGTCGAGGTCGTGGATCGAAAGCGAGGGGTGGTGGGCGGAGAGATGCGACCGCTGGGAAGTAAAGTCCTTAAGGATCGGCGTTCACCGCGCCGACGCGGTCGTACGGGGACCAGTGTGAATACAGGTGAACGCGCCTCAGCGCAGCCTGGACCGTCGCCTTCGGCGTCCACGCGATCGCGAGGAACGTTCGCTCGTGCGACGTCAGATGCCCGCCGCCGCCGGTGGAGGCGTACGCGGTGACGAACCGCGCGAGCGAGCCGCACGCTGAGGGCCGTTCCATCGTTCAAAGCGACGTCGGGGTCAAGTTCATAGGCGTCAGTTGGAGTTGTGAGGCGTCGAGGTGTGTCGGGATTGAAAGCGAGGGACCCTGGGCGGAGAGACACGCCGGGAAAAGTCCTTAAGGATCGGCGTTCACCACGCCGACGCGGTCGTATGGGAACCAGTGTGAGATAGAACGCGCCTAAGATGAGAAACCCCCACGCCGTCTCCGCGCCGTCCTGCGACGCGACGCGATTTTTTTATTGGTCGTCGGAGGAAACGGAGGAACGGGATTGGTCAATACGCCGACGAGATTCGCTGACGTGGAAGAAAGTGAGATGGAGAGAGAGAGAGATGGAGAGATGGAGAGATGGAGAGAGAGAGACGCGGGGTCGGTGACGGTCGGACGACGCTACACGCCCTGCCGCGTGGAAAGCGGTCTCGACGCGCGACGGACGCACCAACGACGAAAAGTCCACAGACGCGCCGATGAGAGAAAACAACGCCGGCTCCGCGAGCTGAGGGTAATCGTCCATACGAGCGAATGTCGGGGTGGAGGCGTTCAAAGGCGTCAGAAGCGGAGTTGAAAGGCATCTAGGGCGGGTGTTGAAACCGGGGGGTGGGCGGAGAGATGCGCCGGGAAAAGTCCCTAAGGAGCGGCGTTCACCGCGCCGACGCGGTCGTACGGGGACCGGCGTATAGAACGCGCCTGACTCCATATCACCGCGAGGGGTTTCTCCGCGCGCGTCGACGCCGCGTCCCCGTACATTCGCGCGGCGAACGCGCTGGCGAGTATGACGCCGACGCTCGCGCCGCCGGTGGCGTCGAGGTGCGACCCGAGGAATAAGATGGACTGCGACGTCGTCAGCAGCGCGAACGCGCGCGCGTCGTCGACGTCCTCGCGCGCGGCGCGATACGAACCGTCACCGTTCTGGGGGCGGACGGAACCCGAACCGTCACCGTCGGTCACCACGCTCCCGTTCACCGCGCTCCCGTCCGCGTCCTCGTCGTCGTCCTCGTCCTCGTCTCCGCGCGGGAAGAGCGCGCCCAGGCCCACGCCGGCGACGACGCCGACGACGACGCCCGCGAGCAACGCGACGGGCGCTTTCCACGCCGCCGTCGTCGGATCCGTCGACCCGTCGATCACGCTCCTGTCGATTCGATTGGTTAGTGAGTGTATCAGATACGATATGATTCGCTGACGTGGCGCATCGTGTGGTCGTCGTGGATGAAGAGGAGAATCGAAACGAATCGAATCGAAACAGAATCGAAACAGAATCGAAACGAATCGAAACGAAACGAAACGAAACGCACCACGCGACGTTGAAAGCGAGGTGTGGGCGTTGAAAGCGAGGTGTGGGCGGAGAGATGCGCCGGCAAAAGTCCTTAAGGAATGAAGTTCACAACGCGAACGCGGTCGTATGGGGACCAGTCTGACGCACCACGCGACGCCGAAGCCGGCGATGGCGTACGTCACGTCCACGCTCGCCGCGGTGACGCCGATCGTCGCGAGCCCGTCCTCGCCGATGCCGCCGCCGCCGCCGCCGCCTTTCGGGTCGTCTCCTCCTTTGGGGCATCCGATGGTAACGCGCCCGCGCCGCGCGTTACGAGGGGGGCTCCGCGACCCCTCCTCCCTCCCGCCGCCGCCGCCGCAGAGGATTTTTTTCCTGTCCTCGTCGTACTTATGATAGGGCCATTCCATACAAAAACAGTCCACCGGTCGTCAGTTGAAAGGGGCCCACGCGATCAAGTGTTGAAACCGGGCGATGGGTGAAAACGTACGTTTGTATACTATAGAACGCACCTTAAGCAACGACGGCACGACGATCGCGGGCGACAGCGCGCCGAAGAGGAACCCGACGACGACGCAGTACCCCCACGGCAACCCAACGCACGCGCGCGTCGTCAGCGTCACGACCACCACCTCCGCGGTGCTCGGCGCGAGCGCGAGCCGCGCGACGGGCCCGCGCAGACGCCTACGCAGAGGGGTGGGCGGAGAGACACGCCGGGAAAAGTCCTTAAGGAACGGCGTTCACCACGCGAACGCGGTCGTATGGGGACCAGTGTGAGATAGAACGCACCAGATGGCGTCGAGGTCGAGCGCGATCCCCGCGCGGCTGATGAGATGACATGGCCAGAAAGGATTCCAACGTGCAGTACGAAAAGTGTGTACACCGGTCGTCAGTTGAAAGGGGTCCACGCGATCAAATGTTGAAACCGAGCGGTGGGTGAAAAACTTTTGTATAGAACCGGACGCACGTGAGGATCACCCCGAGCGCGGCGGTGCGCATCCACGCGCTCGTCTCGTCGTTCACCGCCTCGCCTACCGCGGGCCCGATCCCCGGAAGGTTACGCAGCGCGAATCCCGCGACTGAGGGCCATTCCATACAAAGCGATGTCGGGGTGGAGTTGAAAGGCGTCAGGTGGAGTTGAAAGGCGTCGAGGTGTGTCGGGATTGAAAGCGTGGTGTGGCCGGAGAGATGCGCCGGGAAAAGTCCTTAAGGATCGATCGGCGTTCACCACGCGAACGGGGTCGTATGGGGACCGGTGTGAGATAGAACGCGCCTAGGTGCCCGAGCAGCGGCGGCGTCGGCGGGAAAAGCGCGCAGAGACGGCCGAGCGCGGCGGCGGCGACGTAGAGGACGAAGACGGCGAAGACGGCGCCGCGCGGCGCCGCGGACGCGCCGAGGGCGAGGTACAGGACGCATCCCCAGAGCGTCGCGGCCGCGAGCGCGAGGGCGGCGTCGCGCGAGCGGCTCGGGGAGGTGAGCCAAGTCAGAGAGCGGGCCGCGGCGGCGGCGCCCTCGCGCGGCGGCATCGTCGCGGCGAGTCGCGCCGCGCGTCGTTGTGTCGTCGGATATCGGAGAACGCGAAAGGACCGGAAGGGTGCCTCTTCTGTGCAGCAGAGGGACCACTCATCGACATGCGACGCGTGCACGCGTGTTTCTCGTACGTGTACAAGTACGAACAAGTCGTTCGTATGTGCTTTTAGTTTGAATCGAATACAGTTCTGTTGTCTCGGGATAGACGGAGGAGCACTGGAGAGACCAGACGGGCGCGGCGCGGCACTCTCGATGACCGCGTCCATCGCGCCCCACCGCGCGTCCCCGCGACATCGCGCGCCGTCGCCGTCGTCGTCGCCGTCGCCGTCGCCGTCGCCGTCGCCGTCGCGTCGCGCGTCGAGACCGAGACGGACGACGACGACGACGACGACGACGCGCGCGGAGCGGCGAGACGACGCGTCGTCGTCGTCGTCGTCGACGCTCAGGTGCGTTCTATACACTGGTCCCCATACGACCGCGTTCGCGTGGTGAACGCCGTTCCTTAAGGACTTTTGCCGGCGATTCTCTCCGCCCACCCCTCGCTTTCAATCCCCGCCCTCGATGCCTTTCAACTTCAACTGACGCCTTTCAACTCCACCCCGACGTTCGCTTGTATAGCCTCAACCTGTCGCTCCCTCTCGCCATCGTCGACGCCGCCGCGAAGAAGCTCCGAGCGGACGTCGCCGCCGCGACCTCCGCGCCGCCGCCGCCGACGTACGCGCGCCCGCCGACGCTGCCGATCGCGGGGAACAGCGTCGACCTCGTCGGCGGCGGCGCGGAGACGCTCCTCCGATGGGCGAGGCGCTACGGCGTCCAGGAGGGGCTGCACGAGGTGTCGATGCTTCAGGCGCGTTCTATCATACACACTGGTCCCCATACGACCGCGTTCGCGTGGTGAACGCCGTTTCTTAAGGACTTTATCTCCCGGCGCGTCTCTCCGCCCAGGGTCCCTCGCTTTCAATCCCCGCCCGCGATGCCTTTCAACTCCGCTTCTGACGCCCCTGAACTCCACCCCGACAACGAATGCTTTGTATGGACCCTCGACCCTCAGAAGCGCGTGTTTCACGTCACGGACCCGACGATCGCGAGGGCGCTGATGTACGACGCGAGCGCGACGTTCCCGGACCGCGGCATGAGCGCGGTCGCGAGGTACTTCCGCGAGGACGCCGCGGGGTTCGTGAACACGAAGGGCGGGCGGTGGATGAGGTGCGTTCTATTTCACACCGGTCCCCATACGACCCCGCACGCGTTGTGCTCGCCGATCCTTAAGGACTTTTCCCGGCGTTTCTCTCCGCCCACCCCTCGCTGCTTTCAATCCCGACGCACCTCGACGCCTTTCAACTCCGCTTCTGACGCCTTTCAACTCCACCCCGACGTCGCTTTGTATGGACCCTCGACCCTGAGTTACCGAAAGATGGGCACCGCGAGCGTCAACGGCGGCGCGTTGGATCGACTCGCGGGGAAAGTAACGGACACGTCCGAGGCGTTAGTCAGGAACTGGAACGCGCGGATAGACGATACGTACGGGCGCGAGAACCCCGAGAACGGCGGCGTCGAGGTCGACGTCGCGGACGCGTCGCAGGCGGTCACCCTCGAGGTGATCCACGAGGCGTTGTTCAGGCGCGTTCTCTTCTGTCTCGCACCGGTCCCCGTACGACCGCGTTCGCGTCGTGAACGCAAAAATTCCTTGAGGACTTAACTTCCCGGCGCGCGGTCGGTCGTTTCTCTCCGCCCAACAACCCCTACAACTGTGTTTCAATCCCCGACCTGCGCGATCCCGTTCAACTCCACCTGACGCCTTTCGACTCCGCCCACCCCGCGTTTCGCTTCGTACGGACGATCCGACGCGCCTCGACGCCTCGTGACTCCGCTTCTGACGCCATTGAACTCCACCCCGACGTCGCCTCGTATGGTCAATTACCCTCGTCAGCGAATCCATCGACGTCGTCGACGCTGACGATCCCGACGGCGAAGCCGCGACGCTGAAGCGGTCGTTCCGCGAGTACAACGTCGCGAACCAGGACCTCATGAACGACGTCCTGCAGATGTACCAGCGGTTCGACACGACCGAGGTGCAGAGAAGAGAGATGCACCGATCGCGGCTGAAGTCGCACTTCGCGAAGCGGAGCGACGAGCGCCGCGCGTTGATCGACGCGGGGGAGGATTTCAGGCGCGTTCTGTCTCACACTGGTCCCCATACGACCGCGTCGGCGTGGTGAACGCCGATCCTTAAGGACTTTTCCCGGCGTTTCTCTCCGCCCAGGGTCCCTCGCTTTCAATCCCGACACACCGCGATGCCTTTCAACTCCTCCATCTGACGCCTTTGAACTTCACCCCGACGTCGCTTCGTACGGACCCTCGACCCTCAGCGTGCCGAAGGACCTCCTGACCGCGCTGCTCACCGCGTCTGACCCCGACACCGGCGCGCCGCTGACCCAGGTGCGTTCGAGTCACACTGGTTCCCATACGACCGCGTTGGCGTGGTGAACGTCGATCCTTAAGGACTTTTGCCGGCGCATCTCTTCGCCCACCCCTCGCTTTCAATCCCCGCCATCGACGCCTTTCAACTCCAACTGACGCCTTTCAACTCCACCCCGACAGGACGAGATCGACCTGACGCTGACGGAGATGATGGTCGCCGGGCACGACACGACGGCGGCGACGGTGGCGTGCGCGTTGTGCGCTCTGTGCGCGGCGGCGGAAAAGTCGGATCCGTACGAGGCGCGTTCTACTGTATTATCTCACACGCGCTGGTCCCCATACGACCCCGTTCGCGCGGTGAACGCCGATCCTTAAGGACTTTCGCCGTCGTTTCTCTCCGCCCATCAGGGTCCCTCGCTTTCAAGACCCGACCGCGATGCCTTTCAACTCCACCCCTGACGCCTTTCAACTCCACCCGCCCCGACGTCAACTCGTCAGGCGTCCGCGCTCGCGGACGTCGTCGCGGAGATCGACGCGTTTTGCGACGCCAACGGCGGCGCGCTCCCGCGGACGACGAAGGTGCGTTCTGTACAAAAGTTTTTCACCCATCGCCCGGTTTCAACATTTGATCGCGTTCCCTTTCAACTGACCGATGAACTATTTTTGTATGGAATGGCCCGAAGGACGTCGCGAGCCTGGTCTTGACCGAGGACGCGATGAAGGAGGCGATGCGGCTGTACCCCGCCGTGCTCGTCGTCGTTCGAGAGGTGCGTTCATATTTATTACACCGGTCCCCGTACGGCCGCGTCGGCGCGGTGAACGCCGATCCTTGAGGACGGACTTTTTTTCCCGGCGGATCTCTCCGCCCACCAGCCCTCGGTTTCAATACCCGCCCTCGGCGCCTTTCAACTCCGTCTGACGCCTTTGAACTCCACTCCGACGTTCGCTTCGCTCGTGTGGACCCTCGACCCTCAGGCGGAGGAGCTCGGCGACGGCGGCGATATCGTCGTCGAGCCCGGACCAGACGATTCCGCCCGCGGGAGGAGAACGATTCGCGTTCCCCCCGGGACGGGCCTGTGGATGTCGCCGTACGTGTACGGCCGCCTGCCGAAGTGCTGGGGCGAGGATTCGGACGAGGCCGTCGCGCGGTACCGACCCGAGCGGTGGGCCGCTATGCGCGAGAACGGCGAGAGCGCGCCGGACGCGTACATGCCGTTCGGCGGCGGCCCGCGCGTGTGCCTCGGCTCGCGGTTCGCGACGTTGGAGGGCAAGGCGCGTGCTATCTCACACTGGTCCCCATACGACCGCGTTCGCGTGGTAAACGCCGATCCTTAAGGACTTTACTTCCCGGCGCTTCTCTCCGCCCAGGGTCCCTCGCTTTCAATCCCCGCATATGATACCTTTCAACGCCGCTTCTGACGCCTTTCAACTCCACCCCGACGTTCGCTCGTACGGAACGGCCCTAAGACGCTCTTAGCGGCGATTCTGCGCAACTTCGAGTTGGAGTTGTCTCCGGGGCTTCGACGGCGGATGCGCGAAAACGGCGGGGAGCTGCCGGTTACGTACGCCGCGGGGTTGATGACGTTTCCGGAGCCGTTGCGGTTGATCGCGCGGCCGCGGCGGCGGGAGTGAATTTTAGGTGAGATTTTTGGTTTTAATCTCAACCAAAAATAACAGAACTTGTACTTCCGCGGAGGATATTTCTGACTCGTTACTCATACAAAACGTACACGTACACTACAACTACTACATCGCTCGCGCGTGACGTGGCCGGCCACAATCCGATTCCGCGTCGAAGCTCTCTCAGCCATGGAAATCCATCCGGCCGGCGTGAATTAGTGCTTTTTCCACGCGACGCGACGTCGCCGCCGTTCCGCGCACTGCGACGCGCGCGAGCGAGACGACGACCGCGCCGCCGCCGCCGCCGCGCACGCACGCCGCCCGCCCGCCCTCGACGTCTCGCGCCGCCAGCAATCGCCGCGATGGCGTCCACCGCGGACGTCGCGCTCGAGGAAAAGAACGACGACGCGAAGTCCTTCCGGTCGCTCAGCTTGCGCGAGGCGAGTTCTGGTCATCGCACCGGTCCCCATACGACCGCGTTCGCGTGGTGAACGCCGATCCTTAAGGACTTTTCTTCCCGGCGTTTGTTTCTCTCCGCCCATCACCCCTCGCTTTCAACGCCCGCCCGCGATGCCGCCATTCGACTCCACCTGACGCCTTTCAACTCCACCCCGACGCGACGCGACGAAATGTTGAAAAAGAGCCACGGCGGCGACGACGAGAAAGGCCGCCAGGTCGTCTCCGCCGCGGACCTCGAGCCCGTGCGATGGATCAAGCCGAACGTCTTCCAGCAGCTCGTCTTCGCGCAAGCGACGCCGCTCATCTCGCGCGGGCAAGTCCGCCGCCTCGAGCCGCACGACCTCTGTAGGCTCCCGGAGATGGAATCTCAAGCGCTGTGGCACGCGTTCGAGCGCGACTGGGCTGAGGAGCGAGAGCGAAATCCGGATAACCCGTCGCTCGTGCGCGCGTGCTTGAAGGGGTCGAGGCCGACGTTCGTGGGCACGGGGATTCTGTACGCGATCGCGCAGGCGTCGCTGTTCAGCGGGCCGGTGCTGCTGCAGCAGATCGTGAAGGCGATCGAGTGCAGGCACGTTTTGATTTGATTCCTCACACTGGTTTCCATACGATTCCGTTCGCGTGGTGAACGCCGTTCCTTGAGGACTTTATCTCCCGGCGGGGCGGTCGTTTCTCTCCGCCCGACGACTCCTCGGTTTCAATCCCCGCCTGCGATATCTTTCAACTCCACCCCTGACGCCTTTCAACTCCACCCCGTCGACCCCGCAGAGAAAACGGCGGCGACGGGTGCGCGTCCACGCGACAGATGTACATATACGGGATGATCCTCACGCTCGCGGGGGTACTTCAGTCGTTCTGCCAGGCGCAGAGCGACTACGCGCTGCAGCGGCTCGGCGTGCGCGTGCGGAACCGGCTCATGTGCGCGCTGTATCGCAAGTGCCTGAAGCTCTCGCCGAAGGGATTGCAGGCGCGTTCTGTGCAAACGTATTTCACCCACCCACCGCCCGGTTTCAACATTTGATCGCGTGGGCCCCTTGCAACTGACCGGTGAACTACATTTTTTTGTACCCTGGAATCGCCCACTCGCAGGAGGAGACGACGGGGAAGATCGTGACGCTCATGTCGAACGACGTCAACAAGCTCCAAGACGTGTTCCAGCTGCTTCATAACCTGTGGTGCGCGCCCATCTTCATCGTCGCCGCGTTCGCGATGCTCTACCTCATCATCGGCTGGAGCGCGTTCGTGGGCTTCCTGTGCATCCTCGTCGCCGCGCCGTTGACGTTCAAAGTCGCGAAGACGCTGTTCATGATTCGGTTCAAGCTCGTGAAGTGCGCGGATCGACGCGTCAACATCCTCAGCGAGGTCATCAACGGCATGCGCGTCATCAAGTACTACGCCTGGGAGAAGGCGTTTAAAGCGCGCGTGGATAAAATCCGCGAAGAGGAGGTGAAGCTGATTTGGGCGTCGCAGAAGGTTGGCGCGCTGTTCGGCGTGGCGCTGTTCAGCACCCCGGTGTTCATCGCCGTGTGCTCTTTGGGGTCGTACTCGCTCGCGGGGAACGACATGGAGGCTAGCACGGTGCGTCGTCGCGTCTTCGTCTTCGTCTTCGTCTTCGTCTTCGTCTTCAAATTCGTTTCGTTTCTTTTCGTGTCGTGTCGTTCGTTCGTTCGTTTCCCACCACACGATCTGCCACGTCATCGAATCTGATCACGCGCTGACCAATCGTATCGTGTCGTGTCGTATCGTATCGTATCGTGTCGCGAACAGGCGTACACCGCGCTCGCGTTGTTCAACATGCTGCGGTTCCCGCTCATCATGGTGCCGTTCCTTCTCACGACGTTGCTCAACGCGCTCAACGCGGTGGACCGCCTCGGCGCATTCTTGCTTCAGGACGAGAGCGACGACCTGGAGCGCGACGCGTCCGAGCCAGGGCGCGTGGTCGTGACGAACGGCCGCTTCGCGTGGCCAAAGGTGAGACTCAGACTCCTCCCCATACGATCCCGTTCGCGTGGTGAAGGCTGTTTCTTAAGGACTTCGCCCGGCGCGTCTCTGCGCCCAGGGTCCCTCGCTTTCAATCCCCGCCCTCGACGCCTTTCAACTCCGCTTCTGACGCCTTTGAACTCCACCCCGACGCGGCCAAAGGTTCCGAAAAAAACCGAGGCGCCCAAGTTCCCCCCCGGGCCGCAAGGCCGCAAGATGAAGAAAGCGTGGGAGGCGGAGCAGAAGGCGAAGAAGACCGCGGAGGACGAGGCGCGCGCGGAGGCGGAGGCGAAGGGCGAGGAGTTCATCGTCGACACGGACGAGCCGGAGCAGCCGCCGTTTGAGCTCGGAGGCGTCGATCTGGATTTGAAACCCGGGTGCGTTCTGTGTCACACTGGTCCCCATACGACCGCGTTGGCGTGGTGAACGCCGATCCTTAAGGACTTTCTCTCCCGGCGCGTCTCTCCGCCCAGGGTCCCTCGCTTTCAATACCCGCCCTCGACGCCTTTCAACTCCGACTGACGCCTTTCAACTCCACCCCGACGTCGCTTTGAACCCAGGTCGCTGACGATGGTCATCGGCCGCGTCGGGTCCGGGAAGTCCACGTTCCTGTCCGGGCTGAACTACTTCGTCCCGCGCGTGGAGGGCGAGATGAAAGTCTCCGGGTCCGTCGCGTACGTCGCGCAGCAGGCGTGGATCCTCAACAGCACCGTCCGCGAGAACATCCTCTTCGGTAAGCCCTACGACGAGGAAAAGTACCAAAAGACCATCGCGGCGTGCCAGCTCGAGCAAGACCTCGACGTGCTCCCGAACAAAGACTTCACGTACATCGGCGAGCGCGGGGTGACGCTGTCCGGTGGGCAGAAGCAGCGCGTCGCCATCGCGCGCGCGGTGTACGCCAGCGCGGACGTCTACCTCATGGACGACCCGCTCAGCGCCGTGGACAACCACGTCGGCGCCGCGTTGTTCGAGAAGGGTGAGATATATAACCTGAGACTGGTCCCCGTACGACCCCGTTCGCGATGTGAACGCCGTTTCTTAAGGACTTTTGCCGTCGTTTCTCTCCGCCCATCACCCCTCGCTTTCAAGACCCGACCGCGACGCCTTTCAACTCCACCCCTGACGCCTTTCAACTCCGACCGACGCCTTCGCCCGGGAACAGTCATCGCGGGGTCGTTCATGAAGAAAGCCACGCGCGTGCTCGTCACGAACGCGCTTCAGTATCTCCCGAAGGCGGACTCCATCGTCGTCCTCGACGACGGCGAGGTCGTGGACGTGGGGACGTACAAGGAGCTGATGGCGAAGGGGTTGGACTTCGCGACGCTCATGGCGGCGCACGGCGTCGGCGCGTTCTATCTCACACTGGTCCCCGTACGACCGCGTCGGCGTGGTGGACGCCGATCCTTAAGGACTTTTCCCGGCGTGTCTCTCCGCCCACACCTCGCTTTCAATCCCCGCCCGCGTCGCCTTTCAACTTTACCCCTGACGCCTTTCAACTCCATCTGACGCCTTTCAACTCCAGACGACGACGAGAAAAAACGCGCGTCGCAAGACGGCGGATCCGGCCGGCCGTCCACAGATGGACGGAAATCGTCCGTCGGGTCGCGCCCCAGCGTGGACGGCAAGTCCCCGAGGAGCCCCACGGCGGCCGCGGCGAAGCCCGGCCCGCCGATCGCGCCGCCGCCGCCGGGCCGCCCCGGGAAGAAGGAGGATATGAACGTCGAAGAAGAGCGCGCCGTCGGACACGTCAGCGGCGCGGTGTACGGCGCGTTGTACCGCGCGACCGGGTCCAAGTTCAGCGTCCCGGTCATGGTGTTCATGTTCGCGATGGAGTACGGCTCGAAGGCGACGCTGGATTACTGGCTCTCGCGATGGGCCGCGGACTCGTACGGGTGGGAATCGAACCGGTACCTGGGGGTCTACTTCGCCATCTTCGTCTTCAACGGCATCGCCATCTTCCTTCGGTCGCTGTTCATCTACTTCTTCCTCGTCCGCGCGGCGAAGAACATGCACGATCAGCTCATCGGACGCGTGATGAAGTTCCCGATGGCGTTCTTCGACACGACCCCGAGCGGACGCGTCATCAACAGGTTCTCCAGAGACACGGAGACGATCGACATCATCCTCCCGGGCATCATCATCCAATTCTTGGGCTGCATCGCGTCCATCTGCACGACGCTCGCCGTGGTGTGCGCCGCAACGGGCTGGTTCACGCTCGCGATCCCGCCGATCGTGTTCATGTACGTCTCCATCCAGCGCTTCTACATCCCCGCGTGCCGCGAGCTGCAGCGCATCGAGTCCATCTCGCGGTCGCCCATCTACAGCGGCCTAGGCGAAGCCGTCAACGGCGTCGAGACGATTCGATCCTTCGGCGCGGAGAAACATTTCATCTCGACGAGCGACGGGCTCGTGCAACACAACGCGGACGCGTACGTCACGCAGAAGCTCGGCAGCGGCTGGCTCGGAACTCGGCTCCGGTTCCTCGGGACGCTCATCGTCGCGTGCACCGCGTTCCTCGTGATTCAAGGCAGCCGCGCGGGGACGGTGTCCGCGGGCGTCGCCGGTTTATGTTTGGTGTACGCGTTGGACGTGACTAAGGCGCGTCCCGTACGCTGGTCCCCATACGACCCCGTCGGCGTGGTGAAGGCCGATCCTTAAGGACTTTTCCCGGCGTATCTCTCCGCCCACCTCCCCTCGCTTTCAATCCCCGCCCGCGATGCCTTTCAACTCCGCTTCTGACGCCTTTCAACTCCACCCCGACGTCGCTTTGTATGGACAACGACCCTCAGTATTTGGAGCACGGGACGAACATGGCGACGGAGCTCGAGACGAAGATGAACGCGGTCGAGCGCGTCAAGGAGTACGTCGACCTTCCCGAGGAGTCCGAGCACGACACCGATCCCGTGATCGCCGCGGCGCTCCCGCATTCGTGGCCCGCGAAGGGCCTCCTCGAGGTGTCCGATTTAAGGATGCGGTACCGACCGAGTTTACCTCTCGTGTTGAAAGACGTCACGTTCGTCGCCGCCGCGGGCGAGAAGCTCGGGATCTGCGGACGCACCGGCAGCGGGAAGAGCTCGCTGTTCCTCGCGCTGTTCCGCATCATCGAGCCCGCGGGCGGGGTCATCAAGATCGACGGCGTGGACGTCTCCACCCTGGGTTTGCATCAGCTCCGGTCCAAGATGGCGATGATCCCGCAAGGCGCGTTCTCTTTTTTTCTCTCGCACTTGTTCCCATACGACCGCGTCGGCGCGGCGAAGGCTGTTCCTTAAGGACTTTTCCCGGCGCATCTCTCTGCCCACCCCTCGGTTTCAATACCCGTCCTCGACGCCTTTCAACTCCGCTTCTGACGCCTTTCAACTCCACCCCGACGTCGCTTCGTATGGGCAAACGCCCTCATCAGACCCGTTCATGTTCGCCGGCACGATTCGCAATAACCTCGACCCGTTCGACGAGCACGACGACGCCGCGGTGTGGTCCGCGCTCGAGCAGGTGGGCCTGAAGCACATGGCCGAGGACGCCGCGAAGAAGCTCGACATGGAGGTGGTGGACAACGGCGGCAACTTCTCGCTCGGGCAGGCGCGTTCTATTACCACACCGGTCCCCATACGACCCCGTCGGCGTGGTGAACGCCGATCCTTAAGGACTTTCTCTCCCGGCGGGCGTCTCTCTCCGCCCACCCCACGGTTTCAACGCCCGACACACCTCGACGCCTTTCAACTCCATCTGACGCACCCTCACAACTCCAGCGGCAACTGCTCTGCATGGGCCGCGCGTTGCTTCGCAACTCGCGCGTCTTGATGATGGACGAGGCCACCGCGTCGGTTGACATGGACAGCGACGCGCTCATCCAAAAGACCGTGCGCGAGGCGTTCGCCGCGTGCACGACGCTGACGATCGCGCACAGGCTGAACACGGTGAGACTGCTTCCCATACGACCCCGTTGGCGTGGTGAACGCCGATCCTTGAGGACTTTTGCCGGCGTTTCTCTGAGCCCTCCCCTCGCTTTCAATCCCCGCCCTCGGCGCCTTTCGACTCCATCTGACGCCTTTCAACGCGCACAGGTCATGGACTCGGACAAGGTTGCGTTTTTGGACGACGGCGAGCTCGTCGAGTTTGGCGAGCCCGAGGAGCTTTTGAAGGTGCGTTCTGTACAAAAGTTTGTTTTTCACCCATCGCCCGGTTTCAACACTTGATCGCGTGGGCCCCCTTCAACTGACCGATGAACTGTTTTCGTATGGAACGGCCGTGAAGAACCCCAAGGGAAAGTTCACCGCGCTCGTGAACCGGACGGGTGAGAAGCAGAGTAAGTTTTTGAGGACGATGAGCACGAGAGCGCACGAGAGCCGGCTCGCGAGGATCGCGAGCGAGTCCGAGATCGCGGACGCGGTCGGGAAGTGATGAGCGGCGAATCGACCGACCGCGGCCGAAACAGCGACCAAAAAAAACCAAAACCAAAAACCAAAAACCAAAAACCAGTACAGTATTTTTTTCGGCGCCGCCGGCGCCAAAGCGCGGCGGCGTCGCGTCGACCCTCATGCATGCTATTATAATATCTCATATACACATATCATACGGTACGTCGCGCGCTACCTACGCGTGCGCACTTCCGTCCCGTCGTCACGCCCGCCGCGGTCGTCGCCTCGCGGTCGCGGCGCCGCCGCGCGCGGCGCGCGGCTTGTTCGCGACGTCGTCGTCGCCGCCGTCGTCGTCGTCGTCGTCGTCGTCGTCGCCGCCGCCGCCGTCCATCGCGCGGCTCCCCCCGTCCATGCTCTCCTTCCTCCGCGGCTTCGGCAGCGCCGGCGCTTTCACGCCCACGCGCATCGCCCTCGCGACCGCGCCGCACGCCACGCCGCACGCGAAGAAGCACCCCATGAACCGCTCCCAGGACGAGAACACCTCCGTGAACCCGCCGTGCAGCGATCCCCACTGGGTGGAGTTGAAAGGCGTCAGAAGCGGGGTTGAAAGGCGTCATAGGGGCGGGGATTGAAAGCGAGGGACCCTGGGCGGAGAGAGACGACGGCAAAAGTCCTTAAGGAATGAAGTTCACAACGCGGACGGGGTCGTATGGGGACCAGTGTGAGGAATCAGAACGCGAACGGGGTCGTATGGGGACCAGTGTGAGGAATCAGAACGCGCCTCGCCGCGCACCACCGCGGACGTCGCGACGAGAAAGAAGGCGCTCGACGCCGCCCCGCGCGGCTTCAGCGCCGTCATCGCGCCCTCGACGACGCACACGAGCGCGCCGCCCAGGGTCTCGCCGTACCCGATCGTGACGAGCTTCGGCGCGAGGAGCAGCGCGGCGGCGACAATCTTTTTGGGTCGTTCGTTCCGCGTCCAAAGGCGTCAGTCAGTCAGGGGTGGAGTTGAAAGGCGTCGCGGTGCGTCGGGATTGAAACCAGCGAGGGACCCTGGGCGGAGGGAAACGCACGCCGGGAGAGAAAGTCCTTAAGGATCGGCGTTCACGACGCGAACGCGGTCGTATGGGGACCAGTGCGAGGAGATCGATCGCACCTCGAGGCGTCCGACGTAGACGCTTCCAGGGTGCGAGAGCATCCCGGACGCCTTGCGCGCGCCGACGCTGAGGGTCGTTCCATACGAGCGAACGTCGGGGTGGAGTTGAAAGGCGTCAGTTGGAGTTGAAGGGCGTCGAGGTGTGTCGGGATTGAAACCAGCGAGGGGTGGGCGGAGAGAGACGCCGGGCAAAGTCCTTAAGGATCGGCGTTCACCACGCGGACGGGGTCGTATGGGGACCAGTGTGTATAGAACGCGCCTGAAGCAGAAGACGATGAGGACCGCGAGCGCGAGCTTGGGGTCCAGGCGCGCGTGGACGAGCGCGAGCGCGGCGCGGAGGACCCCTTCGGGCGGGGACGACGACGACGACGAGTGAGTCGGCATCGCGTCTCGCGCGTCGCGCGGCGGCGGCGGATGATGATGACGCGATCGGACGGATCGACGACGATCGTACGAAAGTACTTTCGTACTTTCGTACGAAAGTACTTGTACGAAAGTACAACGTACGGTGCGTGTTTCGTATGCGTGTACAGTTAACCTTATTGGCCTGTTGAAGGGCCCATTTTAATACGTTTCCGGTGACGGAAATGGACGGCGCTGGGGCGCGGAAGCACGACACGTCTCGGGCGCGTGAAAGCCAATTTTCCCGCCCCCCGCGGACATTTTCACCCGCCCACCCCCCCCCCCCCGCCGCGCCGCCGCCCGCGCGCGCGGAAACGCCCCTCTCCTCGCGCGAGGAGTCGCGCGCGTCCGTTCCGTCGCGGCGGCCGGCGTCGTTCCCTCGCGCCCGCGACCGCGGACGACGGATCGATCGCGTCGCCGCGTCCTCGGTCGTCGCGCGATCTCGATTCTCGACTCTCGCGATCCGAAAGCCGATCCGCCGATCGATTCGGATCGTCGAGCGGCGACCGCGCGCGCGATGCCGATCAAGCACAAGCTGAAGCAATGGCTCGCGGACAACGACCCCTCCCTGGCGATTAAACCCGAGCGGGACGCGGCGTCCGCGGCGCGCGCGTCGTCCCCGCCCGGCTCGCCCAAGTCGACGACGCCGCCGCTCCGCGAGAGCCCCGGGCCGATCGAACGCTCGCCGTCGTCCAGCGCGGTGAACCAGGTGCGTTCTCCTCGCACTGGTCCCCATACGACCGCGTTCGCGTGGTGAACGCCGTTTCTTAAGGACTTTACTTCCTGGCGTTTCTCTCCGCCCACCCCTCGCTGCTTTCAATCCCGACACACCGGGACGCCTTTCAACTCCGCTTCTGACGCCTTTCAACTCCGCGCGGTGAATCAGTTCCCGAGCCTGAAGACGAAAATCTTGGGCCCGAAGCTCGAGCAGCCGGAGTGCGACGTGACCGCGGTAACGGAAAACGTAACGGCCCCGCGCTCGCCGTTTTCGCCGTCGCTCGCCGCGGCGGCGGTGGCGGCGACGGGCATCGCGGCGTCGAAGCGAAAATTCACCGAGGACGTCTTCCAACCGGACCCGGCGAGACTGGCGCGCGAGCTGCAGCGCGAGCGCGACGCCGCGAACAAGTCGCCGAAGCCGAAAGCGCCGCGGCCGAGCCCGAAGCCGAAGACGTCGACCTCCTCCGCGGCCGCCGCCCTCGCGGGTAAGAGCGGCGGCGGCGACGGCGACGGCGGAGACGGAGGCGGCGGCGGCGAACCGAGAGAAGAGACGGACGAAGAGGTGGCGCGGCGGCTGCACCAGGAGTTCAACTGCGCGCCGATGCGCCAATCGCGGTCGCGCCGCGACGTCTCGAACTGCGCGAGAGAGGTGATGGAGGACGCGAACCACGGGCAAGACCCGGGGATCTTGCCGTCGTGTTGAGCCATGTACGCTTCGTCGAGGTGAGACGCCTTCCTCATTACTTTCTTTTCTTTTCCCGGAGCGAGGAGCCCTCTCGTCCACTGAAACGTCCACGTCATCATTACATTTTAAAAAACTAACCAATCACATCCCTTCCCGCCACCTCCCGATCCGATCGCAGGACGAAGGACGTGCCGTTTGGATTCATCTGCGGCTACCCCGTCGGCGGCGTCTCGTCGGAGCTCTACGGGTACTACGAGGGCCAGGGCGGGAAGAGCGGACGGCAAGGGCAGGCGGTGATCGATGCGATGAAGCGCTGGGGCGAGAGCAGCGAAGTCGGGGGTTCGAAAGCCACGGAGCTCGGGTTCGCGGTGTGCAAACGCGGGTACAAGCCGTTCGACGAAAACGGCGAGCGGATGTACGGATGCGGGAAGCACTCCGAGCTGAGGCTCGAGTCGATGCGTCAGAAGCCGCCGAAAGGGAGCTCCGTGGGGTGCTTGACCGCGGAGGGTCTGTACGCGCGACCGGGGTGGCAGGCGTTCGATCAGTGGACGTACGGCGAGAAGAACGCGGTGGCGAGTTCGTCGGAGGACGCGTCGTCGTCCGGCGCCGCCGCCGCCGGCGGCGGCGGCGGCGGTGCGAAAGACGACGAGGGCGAAGCGCCGACGTCGCCGCCGCGCGCGAAGAAGCCGAAGACGACCGCGAAGGAGCCGGGACCGGGACTGGCGAATTAGAGAGACACGCCAAAGCGCGGCGGCGAGACGCGCGAACGAACGAGAGCGAGCGTTCCTGTTTCCGTTCTGTATGTTCCGAACGAAAACAGAACGGTGGGCGGAGAGAGACGACGGGCAAAGTCCTTAAGGATCGGCGTTCACCACGCGAACGGGGTCGTATGGGAACCAGTCGTCTCTCCGAACGAACGGAACGGAACGGAACCGAACGGAACGGAACGGAACACTCCGCGGGCGCGGACGTAGAACGACGCGTCGCCGGTGACGCCGCGCGCGCTTAAACGCATGTTGCCAACATGCGAGGCGCGCGGCCGATTGCGACGCGTTCACGTACGCGACCCGCGCGTTCTTTGGCGCGTCTGAAGGAGGAGGAGGAGGAAAAAAATGGAGAAAAAAATAAAACGTCGCGTCCCTTTGAGGCCGAAAGAAACGATCGGCGGCGAAGCGACGCGGACGATAGCACACACAGAACGTGTACGTAGCAGAGAGTTGATTGCTTGATCGCGCGCGATATTGTAATTATTATCCGAACGAAGTATTAGAGAGAAGAAAACAGAGCTCGAGAGATGACCGATTCGACTCTCACTTCTTCGCCGCCTTCTTCGCTTTTTTCTCCTTGACCTTACCCGGCGTCTTCCTCTCCTCTCCGCCCCCCTTCGCGTCTTTCCCCCCCGCGCCCTTCCCTCCTTCCGTCGTCTTCGTCGTCGTCTTCGTCGTCGTCGTCGTCGTCTTCGTCGTCTTCGCGCGCTGCTCCGCCTCGAACTCCGCCTTCGCAGCCTTCACCCAGGACTTCTCCTTCTTCTTTTTCGGCTCGTCGTCCACGCCGACGCCGACGCCGTACCCGTCGCCGCCGGTTCGATCCCCGCCGCCGACCTTCTTCCCCTTTTTCTCGCCCCCGCCCGCCGCCTTCGCGTCGTCGTCGGCGTCGTCCTCTGAGACGTCCTCGGAGACGTCGTCCACCAGCCTGTCGTCCACCGCGTCGCCGCCGCCGCCGCCGCCGCCGCCGCCCGCGGGCGCCGTCTTGTTGGACAACTTTTTAATCTTCGCCACGAAGAAGCCGTCCATGTTGTGCACGTGCGGGTAAAACCGACGCGCCTTGGTCACGCTCGGGTGAAAGTTCTTCCCGCGGTAGCTCGCGAACGCTTCCCTGCCAAACTCCAAGCCCGTCGATACCAGCTTGACGTCGCGCTTCTTCAGGAGATAATCCACGACGGCTTCGTTCTCTTCAACCGTCACTGAGGGTCGTTCCATACGAGCGAACGTCGGGGTGGAGTTCAAAGGCGTCAGGTGGAGTTCAAAGGCGTCGAGGGTGGGGATTGAAACCGTGGCGTGGGCGTAGAGAAGCGCCGCGCGAAGTCCTTCAGAAACGGCGTTCACCACGCGGACGGGGTCGTATGGGGACCGGTGTAAAGAACGCACCTGAACACGTCGAATACACGACGTATCCGCCGGTTTTTGACGTCGCGTCGCAGCAGTCCACCGCGGCGACGAGCAGCTCCTTCTGCAGGTGCGCGCACTTCGCGATGTCCGCCTCGCTCTTGCTCACCTTGACGCTGCTGTCCTTCGCGATGACGCCCGTGCCGCTGCACGGCGCGTCGAGCAACACGCGATCGACGCGTCCTAAGGGTCGTTCCATACAAAGCGATGGCGGGGTGGAGTTGAAAGGCGTCAGGTGGAGTTGAAAGGCGTCGAGGGCGGGGATTGAAAGCGAGGGGTGGGCGGAGAGAGACGACGGCAAAAGTCCTTAAGGATCGGCGTTCACCACGCGAACGGGGTCGTATGGGAACCAGTGTATAGAACGCACCCAAGACTTTCGGGAGCTGTCTCCCGTCGTAGTTACACACCACGGCGTTCGTGCACCCCATGCGTTGCAAGTTAGCGACGAGGCTCGACAGCCGTTTCTTTTGAAATTCGTTCGCGAAGATCTGCCCGGTGTTGCGCATCAGCGCGGCGACGTACGTGGTCTTTCCTCCGGGCGCGGCGGCCATGTCGAGCACTCTCTCGCCGTCTTGCGGCGCGAGCGCCATGCACGGCAAAAAACTCGACGCCGACTGAAGCATGTCGGGGTGGAGTTGAAAGGCGTCAGATGGAGTTCAAAGGCAACGCGGTCGGGGATTGAAAGCGAGGGGTGGGCGGAGAGATGTGCCGACAAAAGTCCTTAAGGATCGGCGTGCACCACGCCGACGCGGTCGTATGGGAAGCAGTCTCACCTGAAGCATGTAGTGCCCCGCCATGTACTCCGGCGTCGCGCCGATGGGAACGCGGCTGTCGTACACGAGGAGACCCACCTTGCTCCACTTCCCGATCGGGTCCAAGTTCACGCCGCGGTTGATGAGCGCCGCCGCGAGCTCGCGGCGGCGGCACTTCAGGGTGTTCGTCCGCAGCGTCACCGGTCGTTGCGTCTCGTTCGCTGGAGGAGGGAGGCGCGGAGGGAGGGACGAGAGATTGGATGACGTGTCAGCGCGGGATTGGTCGTATGTGATGATGTGGCGGTGACGTGGCGAATCGCGTATGGAAAGCAGTCAGACGCCGGACGCGACGCGACGCACCTTCCAGAAGCTCCATCGTCTCCGCGACTGAAAACGTCTCGATGAAGTACCTCGTGAGAAACGTGTTGTAGCCGTAATACGTCGCGAGGTCCGCGACGAGACGGTCGACGTACTCCCCTCGCGACCTTCCTTCCTCTCTGCGCGACTTGAAGTCCTGTAACACGCGCACGACGTCCTGGATCCTCGCCTGGACGCGTTGTAAGTCGGGGACGGCGCCGCCGTCGCCGCCTTCGTCGTCGTCGGACGTCGGCTCGAGTTTGTACGCGTCGTCGTCGTCGTCGTCGTCGTCGTCGCCCTCGACGTTGAGGTCCATGACTTGCTCCGCGGCGGCGTCCTCGGCTTCTTTGAGTCGCCGCGCGTCCTCCTTGCGCGCCTTCTTTTCGATCGGCAGCAGCGCCTCTTCGTCCTCCGAATCCGACGCCGACGCCGATTCCGATTCCGATTCCGAATCTGAGTAGTGTCGAGGGTCGGGGTGGAGTTCAAAGGCGTCAGCAGCGGAGTTGAAAGGCGTCGAGGGCGGGGATTGAAAGCGAGGTGTGGGCGGAGAGATGCGCCGGGAAAAGTCTTTAAGGATCGGCGTTCACCACGCCAACGGGGTCGTATGGGGACCAGTGTATAGAACGTACCTGATTCCGAATCGCTCGCGCCCTCCTCCTCGGACTCGGACGGGGACGCGAAGTTCGGCGGCGTCTGCTCCGGCTCGTCGCCGTCGTCGTCCTCGGAGTCGTCCCCGAGGCCGGCGAACTCGTCGTCCTCGTCGTCGGAGTCGTCGTCGAGCTGGAGGCTCTTCGGGGACTTGTTGTTCATAACGCCCTCCATCGAGTCGTCGTCCTCGTCCTCGTCCTCCTCCGTCTCCTCGTCCGAGTCGTCGTCGTCGGAGTCGTCGTCGTCGTCGCCGTCGGAGTCGTCGCCGTCGCCGCGGACGCCGCCGCGGACGCGGGGGTTCTTCTCCACGTCGAGCTCCTCGTCCTCGGAGCTCGACTCGGACTCGGGGTCGCTCGAGACGTCGTCGTCGTCGTCGGACGGCGACGCGTCGCGCTTCTTCTTCGACTTCTTCGCCGGCGTCGCCGCCATCGCCGCGCCGCTCTTCTTCTTCTTCTTCCCCGCGCCGCCGCCGCCGGCGGCGGCGTCGGACGCCGCCGCCGCCTTCGCGGGCTTCTTCTTCGCGGGCTTCAGCCACGTCTTGTTATCGTCCGAGAACGCCGCCGCGCCCTTCTCGGTCGACCGCGGCGATGACGATCTCTTCTTCTGATGCGTCCTCTTCGCGTCGCCTCCGCCGCTGCCGCCGCCGGCCGCCGCTTTTTTCGCCGCCGCGGCGCGCGTCGTCCGCGGCTTCGGCGGCGACGGCGTCGTCGTCGCGGGCTTCTTCTTCTTCGCGCGCGCGTCGCCCGCGTCGTTACCCGCGGGGCGCTTGCCCTTAGGACCCATCGCGTCGGGGGGCGATGCGTGCGTGCGACACCGCGCGCGATCGATCGGTGGCGATCGATGTGGATTCGTCCATCAGTTATTAAATTAGTTTCTCGCGGCGCTCCAAACCCGCGCCGATGTGTACTGTACTCGCGCACGCACGTGTATGGGAACCAGTCAGGAGGGATGTACGAGATGGCCCGAAGAGTCAACTCGTCTACGTGATCGCGATGAAAACGAATACTTTTCCTTTCAATAACAGAAGACCGCGCGACCTTCAAGCCAAGCCCTGGGGTCAAAGTCCGTCACACCGACCGCGGGACGCCTCTTCTCACCCGCTCGCGGTCATCGTGGTCTGAACGCGAACGTTTGAAACAGTCAACGATGATGATCTCGGCACCTTCTTCTTCACTCGACGCGCGCACGTCCCCACGCACGCCGCCCGCGTCGAATCGAGCCCGCGCTCGCACGCACGCTCGCGCGCTCCTCCCCTCGAATCCACGACCGCGACGGCCGGCGGTCGTCCACCGTCCGTCGTCGATCATGACGAACGGAGCGCCGCACTTTAAGAACACCGAGCTCAGCGCGCTGCGCGATTACGTCACGCACGACTCCGGTTCGCTGAACAAGGCGGACAGCACGCTCCTGCTGATGGTCACGCACAGTAACCTGCAAGCGCGGTTCATGGAGATCCGCTTCGACCGATACGTGCGTGCTCGACCCCGCGGGGAAGCGACCGATCGATCGACGGGTCGATCCGATCGTTCGTTCGTTCGCTCGCGCGTCTTCCTTCCCGCGCCTTCCAGCGCCTTCTTCTCGGTCTCGGTCTCGGTCTCTCCTCCGACCCGACCCCGAGCCCTAACCCTAACCCTAATTCTAATAACTCTACCTTCTAACGCTACGCAGATGACGATCCTGCGCGTGAAAGAGAAGCTCATGACGCACGTGGGCAGCAACGTCAGCACCATGAACCTCTCGCTGAAAGATTGGGACGGCGCCGTCGTCGCGCGCATGGACGACGACGCGAAGGCGCGTCCGTATTGTATTCACGCTGGCTGGTCCCCATACGACCGCGTTCGCGTGGTGAACGCCGATCCTTAAGGACTTTTCCCGGCGCGGCGTGGCGCGTGTTTCTCTCCGCCCACTACCCCTCGCTGGTTTCATCAGTCCCGACGCCTTTCCACTCCTCCCTCCCTCCGTCTGACTGACGCCTTTCGACTCCTCCGAACCCTCCCTCGACCTCGTGTAGATGCTCGGATACTACTCCCCCGAGGACGGGTGGACGATCCACATCACGGACACCGACGCGAACTCCGCGTCCGCGGGGGGATGGCTCGAGGACACGAGCAAGGTGAAGAAGTACGAGATGAGCGCCGAGGAGGCGCGTTCTATCTTACACTGGTTCCCATACGACTGCGTTCGCGTGGTGAACGCCGATCCTTAAGGACTTTTGCCGTCGTGTCTCTCCGCCCACACCACGGTTTCAATCCCCGCCCTCGACGCCTTTCAACGCCATCTGACGCCTATGAACTCCACCCCGACATCGCTTCGTATGGAATGGCCCTAAAGTACAACGCGCGCGAGGGGACGTACCGCGCGTGGAAGATGGAGCAGGTAGTCGAACGAACTCGCGTTCTCTCGCTCTCTGACGCCTTCCCCGAACCCTAACCCTAACCCTAATAAACCTACCCCTAATAACCCTACAGCTCGCGAAAGACCCGACGTGGTGCGTGGAGAAGCACATGGCGGAGAAGCGCGGCGAGGTCTGGGTCCCGCAGAAGAAGACGGAGGACGACGAGCACCAGGCGCGTCCATTTATTCATTTGACTCTAAATGCCCATACGACCCCGCCCGCCGGTCGTGTCGTTCCTCTCCGTTCACCGCCCCCACTCGCTTCGCTTTCAATCGATCCCCGACGCGCGGCGCGCCTCGATCGATGCCTTTCAACGACTCCCGCCCGACGACGCCTTTCGACGACCGACTAACTCTTTGAACGCTTCGAACGCGACAGGCGGCGGAGGCGGCGACGTGCGGCGTCGGCGATCGGTGCGAGGTCAACCCCGGGGGTAAGCGCGGCGAGGTCATGTTCGTGGGGAATAAGGTCGACGGCCTCCCGAAGGGGTGGTGGATCGGCGTCAAGTTCGACGAGCCCGTGGGGAAGAACGACGGATCCGTGAAGAAGAACGGCGTCCGACTTTTCGAGTGCGACGACGGCTACGGCTCGTTTCAGCGGCCGAGCAACGTGACGTGCGGGGACTACCCCGTCGTGGACGAGTTCGCGTTTTCGGACGAGGACGAAATTTAAGTCGTCGAGGTGTTGTTGTTCTGTTCGCGCCCACGAACGACGACGTGGGCGCCGTGTATTGTGTACAGGTATATACGTTTACATCTCCAAACTAAAAGAATCTACAGAAGGATCAGCCGCACGACGCGCCTCGTCTCGTCGTCTCTTCGGTCGTCCTCCCCGTCCTCGCCTCTCGCGCTTCGCTGTTCGCCGCTATCGCCTACCTATCTCCTCTTCCGCGCGCCGCCTCTCGCGTCGTCCTTCCCGGCGGCGTCGACGACGTCTTCTCCCCGCCGCCGTCGCCGTCGCCGCTTCCTCCGGGTCCGCCCCAGAGCGACGGCGTCGTCCATGACCACGACCACGACGACGAGCTCGCGATCGGGGACTTCCTGAACGCGTCCGAGGACGTCAGCGACCACATGTGGAGCTGCAGCGCGCCCGCCCAGAGGACGATGCCGCCGGCGAGCAACGCGCGCTTGTCCACCATGCGCGACCGCGCGCGCGACACACTGCGCGATGTGCTGACGTCAGATGATGACAACGCAGAAAAATCTTCTTCTGGTCTGGAACTTCGACGCGTCACCACGCCGCTCCCCCCCACTCCGCCGTCCCCGCCCGCGCGCGCTCACGCAGACATGTCCGCGACCGCCGGCCCGCGCGTCGCCCTCCTCCCCCATCGCGCGCGCGCGCGCGCGCGCGCCACGCGCGCGTCCGCGTCGTCGAACCCGCCCGCGGCATCCTCCGCGGCCTCCGCGGCCACGTCGACGTCGACGACGCCGTCATCGCTTCCCGGGGCGCCGACGCCGACGCAGCTGTACGCCGCCGACGCGCGTCAGACGCGATACGGCGCGAACGTCGCGCGGTACCTCGTCGACCTCCACGACCACCCGCCGGGCGCGACGTTCAACTTCTGCGGCGGGATGATGTTCGGGCTCGTCCTGAGCGACGCGCTGCGATCGCACCTCGCGACGGTCGCGGCGAACGGCGAGAGCGATCCCGCGCAGCCGGTCGTGCAGGCGCGTTCTCCTTCACACCGGTTCCCATACGACCGCGTTCGCGTGGTGAACGCCGATCCTTAAGGAATTTTCCCATCGTCTCTCTCCGCCCATACCTGCAGCCGCACACCGCGCATCGGATGGCGTCGCTGCCGGAGTACGCGCGAGACGCGAGCGCGGACGACGCGACGATCTTCCACGGGAGAGAGATTCGCGGCGTGACCGGCGCGCGCGGCGGGGTGAGCATGGTGATTCATCTCTCTCTCGCGAACGGAGAAGATCCGGAGGGGTGGACGTCGGGCGAACGCGAAGACTACGCGGGCTGGCTCAGCGACCGGCAGCGGCGGTGGCGCGACGGGAACGTCTTCGCGGAGGAGGGCTTCGCGGGGTTTAAGGTGCGTTCTGTACACTGGTCCCCATACGACCGCGTTCGCGTGGTGAACGCCGATCCTTAAGGACTTTTCCCGGCGTGTCTCTGCGCCCAGCCCTCGCTTTCAATCCCCGACCGCGACGCCTTTCAACGCCATCTGACGCATTTCAACTCCACCCCGACGTTCGCTCGTATGGAACGACCCTAAGCAAAAGTTTGGCGAAGACGCGTTCACGTTGCACCACCGGTTCTACCTCCATCGGGACATGCAAGGCGGGTTTTGGCTCTCCGCGGAGGACGGGTGCGAGGGCGTCGCGGAGGAGGCCAAGCCGCGCGGGAGAGACTTCGGCGGCGGCGCGTCCATCTTCGGGAGGTGAGACGGTGACTCGCGCGTTATATTCCGAGTTGATTTTCATGTGTACAAGGCAGTATATGGCAAACGCTCTCTGCGCGTCACCTGTTCAGTAGTCATAAACACCCTCGAAGTCGTACCACCCGCGTCCATTGCGGCGCGCTCGATCATTACAAAAATTAGCAAAACAAAAATTAGCAATACAAAAAAATTTCGCTCAACAAGAGGGCGCGTAGATGTCTGGCGCGTAATACGACGAGGAACGCGCCATGCGTTCGACCTGACTTGAAATGTGTTCCTTCGCCTGCGCCTCCTGCAACGCGTCCTTTTCCGTTGTCCGCTCCTTTTTCGGGGCGGACCGCGGAATCTTCGAAGACGGCGTGGTGATGCCGTAGTTTTCGCTCTGAAAGATGATGCTGTGGTGCTTGACCCCTTTAAGCGCTTTCGCGCCGCACATCGTTCGAAGGCATGCCTTGTTCAAGAGCGATGAAACTAAGGATCCGCCGCAAAAGGTCACGAGCGTCGGAGCGACGACGGACCCGGCGGTGCCGTTCAAAATGGATCGATGCACGGTGTCCATCATCATATCGTTGATGATCTGTTGGAAGTCTGGTCGCGTAGCCTTGAGCGCGCCCGCGGCTTCGAGCCTCGTTCCTTTTACTTTACTTTGAAGCAATTTAACCGCTTCTTCGTCTTTGTCCGTGACAAAGACGCGAACGCTGGATACCCTCGATGCGTACGCCTTCCACATCGTTTCGAGATCGGACCACCATCGTTCGAGGTCGTCCCAGACGTTAGAGTCACCCGCACAAAAAAACAGTCAGTCACGCACACGCCCGAGTAGTTTGTCAAGTCATAACGCGACGCGAGTTGTATAAACAGACGGAACGGACAGAGATCAGAATACAGAGCCCGCGGAAGATACGGGGAAGGGAGGGGATCCCCACCACAGATGCATCGCGAACGGCGCGGACCGGGTAACGAAGATGAGCTCAAACTGATCCGGTAAGTCGCCGCCGCCGACGAGCTCCATCGCGCGTTGTCGTAAGCCGCGTAGGTGAGAGTAGGGACCCGTGAGCGTCGCGTGCGACCAAAGGCGGTAGAAGCGATAGAGGCTTAAGCCGAGAAACGCGAGACACTGGTACAACGAAAACTTCCCGAACGCGTCCAGACGGTCCCACTCGACGGCGGACAAGATTCCGACGCCGACGATGACGGTGTCGGCGAGGAAGTACGGCGTCTTGATGCCGACATGGGTGAGCCAATACAACGCGTGCAATGAAATGCCGATGCACGTGAGGACCAGTAAAATGTTCTGCATGTCGTCCGTTACGATCCCGTGTGAGTGATTGAGGATCCGCCACGACACCGCGAAGATGGACGCGGTGAACTCGATGACTGGGGGGATGAAGTAAAGAAGCGCGCTCGAGGAAGATAGAAGCATTCTTTCCTCGGTTCTGATGACTGCGTTAGACGTCGGGTTCGCCCTTTTCGTATCCACCGCTTCTTTGATTTTTCTCGAACGCCATACCAGTTGCGCCTGCTTTATGATCATCTTCGCGTCGTCGTCGATGTTTTTCATGGACTCCTTCAAGGGCGCGCGTTTTTCAAGAGCGACGTCGTTTCCGATCTTGAGCGCGGGGTCGCCGAGGACGAGAAGTTTCACGAGTTGCCACAACGTTTTCTGACGCACCTCGTAGGAACCTCGTATCTCCTTCGCCTTTTGAGTAGCGAGCGTCTGATTCATCTGGTGCATCTGCGCGTTTCGTTGGAACAATTTAAAGTATACGCTCTTCATCATGCTTATCATAGGGACGATCCCGGTGCCACTGCCGACGGCAAGGACCTTGCGATACTCCCCCAATGATGTCGCGCTGCCGTACGGTCCTTGCACGGTGACGTACGATTCCACGGCGAGCTTTGGATTTCCCTTCGCTATCTCCCACAACTGTTCTGTCCACGTCTTAGTTTTCGCCCCTGGTTTCGACTTGGCAACTTCGACGTAAAAGTCAAGGGTGTTTTCCTGAGGCGCGGACGCGATGCTATACGGGTGATACGTCCTGTCGATGGATGGGACGTGGAGGTATGCGAACTGCCCGGGTTGAAAATCGAAATCCGGCGGTCGTCGAAGCCGAAGGATCAACACCTTATTCTCTGCGAGCCGCTTCTTAAGCGCGTCTGACGGTTCGGAATTCGTCGCGTCGTTCGCTGGCTCATTTTTCTTGTTCTTTTTTTGCTTTTTGTCATCTGACGACGTCGCGGGCGCTCGTGCGATCTGATGATCACCCCCGAGCGCGCGCCACTCGACGACGGGGCACTGTTGAATTTGCGTCCACATGTACACTCGATCTGCGACATACCACGTGAGCGAGGCGGAGAACCAAATAAAAGTCTGCGACCGCGCTTTCCCCCGCCGGTTCAAGTCATCGATCGTGTGCGCGATCGCGAGAGCGAACATCACGAAAACAAAGTGATGCATCGCGTAAAAGTATTCGTACTTGATCCTATTTCGTAAATACGACGTGACGCCGACGAGGAAGAGCGCGGCAAAGATGCCGTACCCGGTGAGCATGATTTCACCGTGCATCTTCGTGCAAAACGTCTTCTCTCCGCTCGCGGACAAAGGTTCGTCGCCGGCGTGTTGATCCGCGCACCCTTGCCCGAAGAAAATGAAGAACAACACGGTGGACGCGGCCACGAAGCCAATCATGCAGTATCCCAAATGTATGTGCATTCGCGTCATTCGCTTGAACGGGATGATGGACGCGAGCGTGCTGTTCTCGGACGCCTTGGTCAGCGTGTACCGGCACATCGTCAACGGGAGAAGAGCCATTTGGAGTAAGATCGCGTGCATCGCTCCGAATTCGAGCGGTGGGACGAGCCTCTTCCACCAGTACAAGTTCGCCCCATTCGGAACGATGGCTTCCACGGCTCGAAATTTAATGTAACCGAAGTGAAACCACACCGCCATCGTCGCGACGAAATGAAGCAGCCCGAAGAAACAAAGAAGCCTTTCGCTGTACAACCACGCGAGGAACCACGTTCCCCAATGGTTTTTGGAGCCGTCGTACGACGACGTCAGCTGTGGCACGGCGGGTTAGGAGCTTTACGGTTAGGCCTCGGATTAAAGTGAGCGGCAGATGACGTGAACTTTCGATACGGACGATCGAGCGCACCTTGAAGACGTTCCCGAGGTACGCCGCTTGCGCGGACACGAGCTGCGACGCGTGCTTCATCGCGTGTCGCAATCGCAAGTGGCGATCGACGACGACGGTCACGTTGTTCGCGCGCTTTCCATACTTGTTTGTCGCATCGTTTACCCACCCCATCGTGCGACGTGTATAGGTTAGGATGAACTTCGCGCGCACGCGTGAAGATTTATGGTAATCGGCGCCCGGCCTGCGCGCGCGCGCTTGTGCGTTACCGAGGGGCGAACTGAAATACCTTCGTATTTAACCAATACCTTCGAAGGTAAGTCGATCCTTCACAACACTTGAGTATAAAAAATACGTATTAATCTGTGACTGATTGCCCATAGATTAACCAGAAATATTATCCATTCAACTGAAAATATCTGGAAAATATCCTACAAGGACGACGTGAGTAACAACGGCAGCTCAGGCTTTGCGTCGTCGTTCGACTCGTGAGACGAAAGCACGCACGCGGTGACGCGCGAAATAAATACGTTGTAATACACGCATCATGACGTGAAAGACTACTCACACGAGTCACCGGACGATCGCCGCCGCCGCCGCCGCCGCCGCCGCCGCCGCGCGCCAACAGACCCGCTCACCTCGGCGCTTTCATCTCCTCCCTCTCCGCCTTCTCCGTCTTCTCCGCGTCCTTCTCCGTCTCCCCCACCTTTACCCCCCCTAAAAACCCTAACCCCCCTAACCCTACGACGTCGACGTCCACGTCCACGTCCACGTCCACGTCCACCCCGCGGGAGAGCGCCCTCCCGCGTCCGTCCCACTTCGCGACGTTCAAACACGCCGGCGCGCACACCATCGCCGCGGCGACGGCGGCGCGCGCCCACACCAAATCGCCGCCGTCGTTCACGTCGAACGCGGGACCGCACGCGAGCGAGGCGTCGCGCGCGACGACGGCGACGACGAGGGACAGCAGCGCGATCTTCGCCGCGAACGTCGCGTCGGAGTCGTCCTTCCACACCGTCGCGAAGTTTTCGACGTCGAAGTCGTACCACGACGCCGATTTCGACGTCGACGTCGCCGCCGCCGCCGCCGCCGCCGCCGGCGTCCGACGCTCGCCGCCGCCGCCGCCGCCGCCGCCGCTCAGTTCCACCGCGGCGTAACACATCCCCGCGTTCCCGATCATCGTCAGCGCGCCCTGCGCGGCGACGAGCCACTCGAGGTCGTCGCCGTTGAAGAAGAAGTGCTGCGTAACCGCGCACACGCCTGCACAAAAAAACAGTCAGACACGCGAGAACAACTTCTGACGGAACAGACGAAAGAAAAGCGTTTTGTAATATGGAAGGGAGGGGAGAGCAAAGAAAAACCCTACCGCTCGCGTGCAACGGCAACATCCCCCACGTGAGCTGTGATAGGCCGAGGGAAGACACGTGTCAGTCGCGCGTGCATGTGATTGGTGGATATCATTCCCACGTGTCAAAACGAACGTGAGGTTCACAGCGCGCGAAAGGAAAGGAAAGTACGCCTTAAGAAACGGCGTTCACCGCGCGAACGAACGGGGTAGGTCGTACGGGAAGCGGTCTCACAGAACTCCTTAAGAAACGACGATCAACACGAGAACGGGGTCGTATGGGAACCAGTCTCACCTTCCTCCACCCCGGCTCGCCGCTGACGTCGGCGTAGTCCCACACGAGCCCCATCGCGACGAGCCACTCCACGAGCGAAAACACGTGCACGCCCCACGTGGGCACGCTCAGCGCGTTCGCCGGCGCGGGCGGGAGCCACGACGGCGAGAGCGCGCGCGAGACGGCGTCGGCGGCGTCGCGAAAGCTCGCGAGCGCGGCGGCGTCGATCGCGGATCCGTCGAACGCGGGATCCGGGATCAACCGCGAGTCCAACGCCATGAGCGCGAACGTCCCCACGAGGCCGATCCCCGCGGCGGCTTCGACGAGAATCCCAGGTCGTAACTGCTCCGTGGTGACGGTTACTACGATCGGCGACGACGCGGCGCGCCCGAGGCCGCCGTCGCCGCCGCCGCCCCAGTCCATCGATCGGAACGCCGCGCCGACGGCGGCGCCGTCGAAGCCTTCGCCGTCCCAGTCCCTCTCTTCGGCGGCGTTCGAACCGTCGCGGCCCCGGCTCGCGTCCTCGGTGGAGTTCATCGCGACGATAGCGTCGGCACCCGCCGCCATCGAGTCGGCACCCACCGCGAGCGGAGGCGTTTTCGGCGGCGGCCCGCTCCGCAGCCCGTCTCGAAACGCGAGCATGATTCTCAGATTCGTCAACGATATCGCCGCCTGAGGGTCGAAGGTCCATGCGAAGCGACGAATGTCGGGGTGGAGGCGTTCAAAGGCGTCAGAAGCGGAGTTGAAAGGCGTCGAGGTGGTCGGGATTGAAAGCAGCGAGGGGTGATGGGCGGAGAGATACGCCGGGAAGTAAAGTCCTTAAGGATCGGCGTTCACCGCGCCGACGCGGTCGTACGGGAACCGGTTTGATACTAGCTAGCTAGAACGCGCCTGTATCAGAAAGTGCAGCGCGTCGATGTTCGACAGCACGACGCCGTACGTCTCCCTCGTGTACGCCTCCGCGGGTATGGACGCGACGACGAACAGCAGCAGCGTCGCGAACGACGCCTTCATCTCATCCGTCGCCGTCGGCGCCGCCCAGACGCGATTCAGAAACGCGAGGTACGGCGCCACTGAGGGTAATTGTCCATACGAGCGATGATATCGGGGTGGAGGCGTTCAAAGGCGTCAGAAGCGGAGTTGAAAGGCGCCGAGGTGTTTCGGGATTGAAAGCAGCGAGGGGTGATGGGCGGAGAGATCCGCCGGGAGATAAAGTCCTTAAGGATGAAACGGCGTTCACCGCGCCGACGCGGCCGTATGGGGACCAGTGTATAGAATGAATGCTGCACCTGAAAGCGCGAAGAGCGGCGACGCGATCGCCCACCACACCGTGTGCTGGTCCACGATCGCGTCGCGGAGCGCGCGCGCGAGCTGCTGGACGTCGAGAACAGCGCGGTCGTCGAGCGGCGGCGGCGTCGACGGCGGGAGGAGGACGGCGGCGTGATGGTGGACGGACGCCGCCGCCGCATTCGTCGCCGTCGCCGCCGCGTCGACGTCTGAGGGTCGTTCCATACAAAGCGATGTCGGGGTGGAGTTCATAGGCGTCAGATGGCGTTGAAAGGCGTCGAGGGCGGGTATTGAAAGCGAGGTGTGGGCGGAGAGATGCGCCGGGCAAAGTCCTTAAGGATCGGCGTTCACCACGCCAACGGGGTCGTATGGGGACCAGTGTATAGAACGCACCTGACGATGAGAGCATCTGGGACAGCGCGCTCGGATCGAGCGACGCGCGCGCGACGCGGAGGCGCCGCCGCGCGCGCGGGCGGGCGCGCGGGCGCGGTGGGAGGCGCGCGCGGGCGCGCGCGCGCGCGGGCGCCGCCGCCGCCGCCGCGGGTCCAGCACCCGCTGCGCGCATGCCCCTCTGCGTGGCGTCCCGGAGAACACTTCTGCGCCCCAAGTTTTACTCCTATCTTATAACTTATAGTCGGCGCCGACCGCTGAGTCACTGCCAATCCATACAAAAAAAGTTTACCGGTCAGTTGAAACGGGACGCGATCAAATGTTGAAACCGAGCGATGGGTGAAAAACTTTTGTATAGAACGCACCACAGGGCTTCATTTCAGGTCACCTCATTCCGCGCCGCGCGTCGCGGGATGACGCGCGCCGTCCTCGCGACCGCCGTCGCGCTCGCGGCGGTCCCTCCGCGCCGCGGGGGACCCCGCCGCGACCGCGCGGCGTCGCGGCAGCGACGCCGCGCGCCCGCGACGACGACGACGACGGCGCGCGATCGCCAGCGCCAGCGCCAGCATCGCGTCGAGGGGACGTCCCGTCGCCTCGTCCGATTTCACGACGACGACGACCGGATACGGGTTCGCGCCGCGTCCGAATCCGAATCCGAACCGCCGCCGCCGCCGCGGTTCGCGCGCGACGTCCGCGCGCGCGCGTTCGGATTCTTCGGACGCGGCGTCGGACGACGCGGAGGGATGGGACGCGACGACGAGAAAGACGCGGAGGCGGACGGCGTCGGCGCGCGAGACGGAGGCGCGTTCTATACACTGGTCCCCATACGACCGCGATGGCGTGGTGAACGCCGATCCTTAAGGACTTTTCCCGGCGTTTCTCTCCGCCCAGGGTCCCTCGCTTTCAATCCCCGCCCTCGACGCCTTTCAACTCCGCTTCTGACGCCTTTCAACTCCACCCCGCCGTTCGCTCGTATAGAACGACCCTCAGAGATGAAAATAATGTACCTCGACCCGAAGGGCGACGACGCGCCCGTGCGCATCGACGCGCCCACCGGGTACTCCTGGGACGACGACGTCTCGTCCATCGTCGTCGAGGCGGACGACCGCGCGTCGTCGTCGGAATCGGAATCGGGACCCGGAGGGTACTACGCGGGGTACGCGTACGGCGACGGCGACGGCGACGGCGAAGCGTGGCTCCCGCCGGGGTCCCGCGCCATGAGAAGGGGGCGCTCTGGGATGATGAACGATACTAAACGAATTCGATTTCGACGACGAAGGCTGCGGTGGCCTCCGTACTTGGGCGCGGGGCTCGCGCCGCGGTTCGCGCGCAGCGTCTGGGCGCTCATCGCCGTCGGCGGCGTCGTGTGGGCGTTGTGGTCCGCGGCGAAGCACGTTTTGCTCTTCGGCGTCGGCGCGACCGGCGCACAGCTGGCGTCGACAGTCACCGCCGCGGCGATCAACCGCGCCGCGTTGGAAGCCCTCGCGGGCCTCGCGGAGGGCGCGCTGATCGGCATCTTAGTCGCGCCGACCACGGGCGCGCTGATCGCCGCGGCCGCTGAGGTGCGTTCTGTCTCACACTGGTCCCCATACGACCGCGTCGGCGTGGTGAACGCCGATCCTTAAGGACTTTCGCCGTCGTGTCTCTCCGCCCACCCCCCGCTTTCAATACCCGCCCTCGACGCCTTTCAACGCCATCTGACGCCTTTCAACTCCACCCCGACATTCGCTCGTACGGAACGATCCTCAGTTTGCGCTTCGCGCGGCGATGAGGTTGCGCGCGTCGTCGCTGCCGCGGACGCTCGCGCCGGCGACGGCCAAGACTTCCGGCGAACGCGGTGAGACTGCTTCCCGTACGACCCCGTTCGCGTCTCGATCGTCGTTTCTTAAGGCGTTCTTTCCTTTCGCGCCGCGCTATGTTATGAACCTCACGTTTTGACACGTGGGAATGATATCCACCAATCACACGCACGCGCGACTGACACGTGTCACGCGCGTCTTCCCTCGATCGATCGCCGCAGCCGAGCGCGTCGCCGCCGCGGAGAAACACGGGGACGCGCACGCGAGATTCGCGCGTCTGAAGAAAGCCACGGAGGCGGCCGCGGGGGCTCGGCACGCCGCCGCTGCGTTCGCCGTCGACGCGTGGACGCGGCCGCTCGTGTTTAGCATCGTCGCCGCGGCGCTCTACTTCACCGTCGTCTCAGGCGCGTTCTATACACTGGTCCCCATACGACCGCGTTCGCGTGGTGAACGCCGATCCTTAAGGACTTTTGCCGGCGCATCTCTCCGCCCACCCCTCGCTTTCAATCCCCGACCTCGACGCCTTTCAACTCCGCTTCTGACGCCTTTCAACTCCACCCCGACTTTCGCTCGTATGGAACGACCCTCAGTCTGCGGCGGGTTCGGGCTTCACGGGATGTCGAATCTCACCGGTCTCTCCGCGGGGCAGCAGCTTCTGCGGCTGCCGCGTTCGGTCATCGTCGCGTGGTACGGCGCCGTCGTCCTCGCCGCCGCGCTCGTGGCGTCGCTTCGAAGGAAGGACGGCGCCGCGGTCGCGAGCGTGCGGCGCGAGTTGGAGAAGAGAGAGAGGGAATTCATCGAGGGATTGCACCGCGGAAACTTTTCGTGCCGGTGGCGCGCGGACGCGTACGTCGCGCCGCAGGTGCGTTCTACATTACAAAAGTTTTTCACCCAGCGCTCGGTTTTAACACTTGATCGCGTCCCCTTTCAACTGACCGGTGAACTGTTTTTGTATGGAATGGCCCTGTCGTCAGGAGCGGCGAAACGACCAACTCAACAACGCGACCGAGTCGCAGTCCGCCGCGGATAAGGCGCTGACGAACGCGGCGGTCGCGGCCGCCGCCGCCGCCGCCGCGGTGGACCGCCACGTCCCACCGAGCGCGGCGCCGGCGCTAATTTTGGACGCCGGCGACGCGCGGACGTCCACCGCGCTCGCGTCCGCGTTCACCTTCGCGACGAGGCACCACTCGGGAGGCGACACGTGGCGCCTGGATTCGCCGCGCGGCGGCAAAGGTGCGTTCTATCTCACACTGGTTCCCATACGACCCCGTTCGCGATGTGAACGCCGTTTCTTAAGGACTTTCCCCGTCGTCGCGCTTCGCCCGCGCTTCCCTTTCAACGTACGTTTCGTTTGACTGGTGAGACGCACGATTGACCGACGCGTTCGTTCGTTCACCCGCGTTCACCCTTAAAGGCGACGGAGGACGCGGCGCGCAGGTGCACCTCCGAAGCGGCGATTGGGGCAGCGCGTCGGCAGCGTCCGGGGGGTCCGTGTCATTGTCCGGCTCAGTTGGCTCGGGATCCGGCTCCGGCTCCGGATCCGGATCGCAAGACGACGACGACGACCGGTGGGACGACGTTCTCGACGGCACCGGACGGTACGACTTTGAGGACACGTACGGCGGCGAACGCGTCGTCGTGACGTCGCCGTACGTCACCGGGAGCGTGGAAGTCGGCGAGGGCGTTCGTGACGGGAACGGGGACGGGGGGGACGGGGACGGGGAGGACGCGGAGGAGGCGCGTGAGGAGGGGAACGATGCTGACGTGGACGACAACGTCGGAGAATCCTCCGACGAATCATCCCGCGGCGCGAAATCCCGCGGCGCGTCCGGATTTCCCTCCGCCGCGATCTTCGTGCCGAACCAACACACGCACGTCGTCCGCGAACTCCGAGCGAAGTCGCCCTCGAAGTGCACGGCGTTCGCCGCGGACGTGCGCGACGTGTTGGCGCTGCGATCCCCGTGCGCGACGGCGCTTCACTGCGTGTACTTGGACCACTGCGGCGCCGTCGCGCAACGCGAGCAGCAGCTCTGGGACGTGTTTTCGCGGCACGCCGTCGCCGACGGCGGCGTCCTCGCGGTGACCTTCTCCACGCGAGGCAAACGCAGAGGCTGGAGCAAAGCGAAGGCGGTGAGCACGTGCGTCAGAGGGCTGATCGAAGCCGCGGACGCGCACGGGTACGAGCTTCACGGCGGCGCCGCGGACGGCGGCGGGTGCGCCGCCGAGGCGAGCGCGGATCTCTCGCGGCTGCTCGATTACACCGTGTCCTTCGGCGACGAAGGTGAGACTGGTTCCCATACGACCCCGTTCGCGATGTGAACGCCGTTTCTTGATGACTTTCCCCGTCCGTCGTCGCGCTTTGCCCGCGCTTCCCTTTCAACGTACGTTTCGTTTCGTTTGACCGGTGAGACGCACGATTGACCGACGCGTTCGTTCACCCGCGTTCACCCTTAAAGGCGACGGCGCGTCGGACGCGTCGGACGCGTCGCCACCGGAAGATGAAACGTCAACCGACGCCTCTCGCGCGAGTGCGCGAACGCGAACGCGAACGCGAAGAAGAACCGCGGGAGAGACCGCGAGCGCGTACCTCGCGCACGCGATGACGGTCGAGAACGCGCTGCAAAGGTACCTCGCGTCGTGCGACGCGCTCGGCGGCGTCGACCACGCGTTCGATCGCTTCCGCGCGCCGTCGCCCGCTAACGTCGCGCTCGTCTCCGCCGCGGTCTCCGCCGCGGGCGACCTCGCGCGAACCCTGTCAGGGTGGAGCAAGGACACGGGATACGCGGGAGGATTTGGAGGCGGAGGTAACGCGGAGGTGTTTAACACTTGGGCGGCGCGGCGACGCCGGCGGATGTGCGTTCGGTGTCTGACCGCTTCCCATACGCTCCCGTTCGCGCGGTGAACGCCGATCCTTAAGGACTTTTCTTCCCGGCGATTCTTTCCGCCCGCACCTCGCTGGTTTCAATCCCGACACACCTCGGCGCCTTTCAACTCCACCACTGACGCCTATCAACTCCATCTGACGCCTATCAACTCCACCCACCAGGTGCGGCTACGTGAGCGACCGCGTGCTCGGGAACGCTTTGGACGCGCGCAAGCCGTCGCGCGCGGATGCGCGGCTGCTCGCGTCGTTGGGGCGGGAGGTGGTGGAGGCGATGGACGCGGCCGCGGCGCTGGCGGCGCCGACCGCGATCGGGGGGAGGAGGCGCGCGGCGAGCGGCGACGACGACGGCGACGACGGCGACCGGGCGAAAGTCCTTAAGGAACGGCGTTCACCGCGCGAACGGGAGCGTATGGGAAGCGGTCAGAC